TAGCTCATCCTTTTATTTTCAATTTTTTACTTTTATTATTAATTAATTAATCTTATTATTTCATCTTTTTTCTTCATTTTTTCCTTCGAATTAACTATTTTATGATATATTTTTTCTTCAATATTTAAAAAGTAATAATTAAATTGGTGACGAAGGTGCATCAGGCTTAGGTTCTGGTTTAGCAAATTGCATTAATCTCTCAAATTTGACACTTAACCTTGTGTAAAAACAGTTTATTTGTTTTGGATTGTGATATTTTTAATTATAAAAACTAATTAAAAACAAGAAAGCTCTTTTTTCTTTTTATTTTTATTGCGCTTGCTTTTTTTTGTTCTTTCTTTGTTAATTTAATTAGCTCATCCTTTTATTTTCAAATTTTTTACTTTTATTATTAATTAATTAATCTTATTATTTCATCTTTTTTCTTCATTTTTTCCTTCGAATTAACTATTTTATGATATATTTTTTCTTCAATATTTAAAAAGTGGTAATTAAATTGGTGGAATGGGTGCATCAGGCTTAGGTTCTGGTTTAGGAAATTGCATTAATCTCTCAAATTTGACACTTAACCTTGAGTAAAAACAGTTTATTTGTTTTGGATTGTGATATTTTTAATTATAAAAACTAATTAAAAACAAGAAAGCTCTTTTTTCTTTTTATTTTTATTGCGATTGTTTTTTTTTGTTCTTTCTTTGTTAATTTAATTAGCTCATCCTTTTATTTTCAAATTTTTTACTTTTATTATTAATTAATTAATCTTATTATTTCATCTTTTTTCTTCATTTTTTCCTTCGAATTAACTATTTTATGATATATTTTTTCTTCAATATTTAAAAAGTAATAATTAAATTGGTGACGAAGGTGCATCAGGCTTAGGTTCTGGTTTAGCAAATTGCATTAATCTCTCAAATTTGACACTTAACCTTTAGTAAAAACAGTTTATTTGTTTTGGATTGTGATATTTTTAATTATAAAAACTAATTAAAAACAAGAAAGCTCTTTTTTCTTTTTGTTTTTATTGTGCTTGTTTTTTTTTGTTCTTTCTTTGTTAATTTAATTAGCTCATCCTTTTATTTTCAATTTTTTACTTTTATTATTAATTAATTAATCTTATTATTTCATCTTTTTTCTTCATTTTTTCCTTCGAATTAACTATTTTATGATATATTTTTTCTTCAATATTTAAAAAGTTATAATTATATTGGTGCAATGGGTGCATCAGGCTTAGGTTCTGGTTTAGCAAATTGCATTAATCTCTCAAATTTGACACTTAACCTTTAGTAAAAACAGTTTATTTGTTTTGGATTGTGATATTTTTAATTATAAAAACTAATTAAAAACAAGAAAGCTCTTTTTTCTTTTTATTTTTATTGCGCTTGCTTTTTTTTGTTCTTTCTTTGTTAATTTAATTAGCTCATCCTTTTATTTTCAAATTTTTTACTTTTATTATTAATTAATTAATCTTATTATTTCATCTTTTTTCTTCATTTTTTCCTTCGAATTAACTATTTTATGATATATTTTTTCTTCAATATTTAAAAAGTAATAATTAAATTGGTGGAATGGGTGCATCAGGCTTAGGTTCTGGTTTAGGAAATTGCATTAATCTCTCAAATTTGACACTTGGACTTAGGTAAAAACAGTTTATTTGTTTTGGATTGTGATATTTTTAATTATAAAAACTAATTAAAAACAATAAAACTCTTTGAATTTATTTTATAGTTTTTATTTGATTTATTTTTTTATCTTTATTATACCACTAATGCTATTTTATTTATTAATTTAAGAAATATTTTTTAATTTAAAAGTTTATTATATTTTGATATTATTTAAGATTTACACAAATTTATTATAAAATATTAGCCAAATCAATGAATCATAAAAATTGAAAGTTATAAGCAAGTGTCTTAAATCAAAAAGATTAGTTGTCTTTAAAAAATTATTCTGATTATAAAGAAATCACGAAAAAAACGATGAATAAATATTAAATGTTTGATTAATATTATATCAAATTTTGAAAAATTTTTTTAAATCTAAAATATAAACAAATATATAGATTTTATTATTGATTTATATTTTTAAATATCATTCATATCTATTTTTGTAAGTAAATAAATTATTTATAAAAAATAAAAAATAAAATTTTCTTAAAATTTTTCTTCAAAATTAGAATTTTTTTTGTTTTAGATTTTTAAAATTTTGGTTTAAAATTTTAATTATGATAAAACTTTTTAATTAATTAAATTTAAAATATATGCATTTATTTTATATTTATCTTTCAGGTTTTTGAGTGCTTCTCAAGCTCAGTCCTAGCATAAAGAGCTTTCTGAAATCGCTTGATAGGCTTATTAGCTTTTCTCTTAATATTTAGCAAGTCAGAACATGGTTATTCCACCAATCATAGGTAATAAATGGCCTTTAACACTTTAAACACTTAAAGTCTTCCTATTCAACTAATAGTTTTTACACATAAAGTTTTACAATTAACATCAGTTTTTACAATATTTACCCTAAAATATGATATTTTAAAAAATTCAATTAGGCAAACCAAATCCATTAAAGTAATATTTATTTTTACTATTTTATAAATTTTTGTAAATGGGTTTCAAAATTAAGTAAGTTGTGTTAATAAAAAAGAAAAAAATTGTATATTTAAATATTACAATAATTGGTCATTAATAGAGATATTTATTAATTAATTATTTTGTAAGAAAAGATAAATAAATAAATAAATAATTACTAAATATCAAATTCAGAACAAACAAACCAAAATAATTAATTAACAAAAATTAATATTAATTAGGTAATATAAAATGTAGAACCTTCCTAATTTTGATGAATAATCTCATTCTTAATAAGAGGTTTTAAGATAAAATTCTTCAAGGTATTTATCGTTTTAGTACACTGAGAATAATTTATATTCTTTTAAAGATCGTGAAAAAGTTTATAAGATAGAGAAAAGATATCAAATTTTACGATTAATTTGGAGAGATACTAATATTAGTTTCTGCCTTGCTGCTATTGATAGAGAATATGGATAAAAAGTATTTATTAAAGTAATAAAATTAGAGGAATGTATTTTGAAATATATTATTTAAGCAATTAGATCAATAAAAATAGAAAACCATTTTTAGCATGAAAATATAAATTCTAATTTACATATAATGATGGAATCTAAAAATCTATACATAGTAAAAGAGTTAATGGATATAAATTTGAAAGACGTTACATTCTCTAGACAAGAATTAACTGATGAACATATCAAATGGTTTGTGTATTAAATATTAAAAGCTCTTAATTTTTTGCATTCCTAAAATGTTTACCATACTGAATTAACTGCTAGAGATATTTTATTAAAAGAAAATTGTGATTTGAAAATAACTGGTTTTATTCATTCTAATTTCCCTCATGAAGTTAATTATTATAATAAAAAGGGATACTATCCTCCATAAAGAATTTTAGAATTACCTGAAAATTTATCTAAAACTGATATATGGCATGTTGGAGTAATTATTTTACAGTTACTATATGGATATCCTTTTTTTGAAAAAAGAAATCGTGGAGGCCGTAATGGAGTTCTATAAGCATATTTTTATTCCATAGGATCACCTTCGGAAGAGGATTTGTCATAATATAAAGACTATACAGAACAGTATGAATAATTAAAATCACTGAATTAATATTGTAAAAAATCTTGGTAGGATTAATTTCCAAATGCAAATCCTTTATTATGTGATCTTCTAGATAAAATGCTTGTTTTCAATGAAGATAAGCGTTTTTCTTTGAAAGAATGCTTTCTACATCCATACTTTGAAGATTTATACATTCCAGATGATTTTTAATAATGTAATTTAAAGTTTGATCATTCTTAATTATAAATTGGTAGTAATGAAGATGAAGATATAGATAAAGAAGAAGTAATGAAGGATATTTATTTTGAAGTTGAAAAAAGTTATTAAAAGTAGTAGTTGAGAAGATATTAAATATAAATAATTTAAAATATTGCTTTTTAAAAGCATTTAGCTCATTAAATTCCTCTTAATCCTAAATTAATATTTTATAATTTATATGAAGATTTATGAGAAATAAAAAAAATAAATTATTATTAATTAATCCTAATTTTATGGTTGGTTCATAAAATATAATTATCTGTTTTCTATTCATAAATCCAAAAAATTACATTAAAGATTTTTTTCTTCAGAAAATTATTAAAAATTAGTATTACTCATACCTACATAATACTTGATTATATATTGCTATTCTCGGGTAATTATTTCTGTAGTAGGAAATTAATTAATTTAATCTTATAAAAATTATTTATTTATTTTTATATTGTTTCCTGATTTTATGTGATTTATATTGAATATATTTTATAGAAGTTCGTTCTTCTTTTTTTTAAAGGTTTCAAAAAAGATTAATAAAAAAATATTAAATAATTAATTTACATTTGTTGAGTTTTTTTAAATTACTCTTTTAGAAAAAATATTTAAAAAAGTATAAAGAGATAATACTGAATGGAATAATAAATAATGTTCATTAATACATATGAAATAGTGTAATGACTACAAAATAATATAATATAATGATAATCATTGATATTAGTGTAATTATTAAGAAAATAAATAAATAAATAAATGAATATAATATTCTGAAGTAAATATTTATGAATTAGATGAATGTTATTTTATAATATTTATCATATTAATTAAGCTAACTAAGAAATAAATAAAGAATTAGAGAAGATTTAGTATAATCCAGTGGCATTTTGTGCTATAGTTATTTTTAAATCAATAATTTTTAATTGAAAACAAAAGTTAATAACAAAAATAAGTTTTTATGCCACAAATTAATATTATTTGTTAATATTAATTGACATTACATTCATACTATAACTCAAATCATAAATCTTTTTTTGCATTGATTTTTAGATATATTATTAAACAAGTAAATTAGATAAAAGAAAGAAGCAGTATAGTTTTTAATAAACATACTTTGTTTTACTTACATACGTAATATACTTGAGTCATCAATTAAAATTTTACCTTAGATGCTGTTTGCTAGAGGTGCAGATATTGAAGGAGAAACCTAGACTGCTGCTACTATTGAATCCGCTGAATAAATGAAGTTTAGGAGGCAGTAAGAAAAATAAATGAAAAAGTTTTAAAAAATAGAGAACAAATAAAATGTGAGAGAATATGAAGAAAATTTTCACTCTAAGAACTATACAAATATAAGATCAAAAGTATTTTAGCTCAGAATAAAGAAAGTTGATTTTGGAGGATAGAAAGTAACAATTAATGATAAAGTTCTTATAAACAGAAGAGTCTTGAATGATTATATTCATATTGTTAATAAGAGATAAGATGTAGTAGATTCAATGGAAGATAACTTTTGGTCAATGGTTTAATTATATGATGGGACTTTGCATTACTTCAACAAATATTATGGAAAGAAGTTAGAAGATTAAATGTCAAAGCTCAATCATATGCTTAAGCCAGAGCACAGATATTTGCTAAAGAGTATTGATAAAAATGAAGCAAGAATTAAAAGACGTTTGCTAGAATATGAATAAGTTAAAAAATCAGGAGATCCTACTATAAAGAAAGCATTGCAGGAATGTAAGAATATTGAAGAAATAGTAGAAAAACACCATTAGTAGCAAAAGTAGAAAGCAGCGGATAGAAGGAATAAAAATAAATCAGAAGGGCATATTGAGAAGCTTTCAAAAAAGAAAGGTTATATAGTGAATGAGATGGAAGTTGAGTAAAGAAGATAAAACCAAATGATTATGAATGAAATATAGAAGTTTGGTAGCGATAGAATCAAACGCAAACTGTTCGAGCAAGATATGAAAGTTATTTTAGAAAATCAAGAAATATAAGATAAAATTCATCATATTTAAATGTCTTTAGAAAAAATGCAGAATCAACCAGCAACTTCAAGCAAGTCAATCAATTTGATTTGTGAGAATGAAGAAGACCCTTAAAATGAAGGTCATAACTAAAATGAAAACACATAAAAAAACATTATGTCATTACGCCACATAAACAATCCTGTCTCTTTGCAGCATATAAATATGGTTTCGCCTAGATCTCCAAGGTTAGACCACCTTATAGGCAATAAAAATTCATCTTCTAATTTAGCTAATAACAATAGCCCATATTTATAGTCAGCTTTTGCTCACAATATGCAAATTTAGGAGCATGAATTAGTATTAAATGAGTTACAAAGAAGGCATTCTCACAATAACTTGAACCCTTTTATTCACTACAGTAAATAAATAAATACATTTTATTCTTGTTTTTAATAGTAACAATTTCAAATATTTTGAAGTTCAAAAAAATAAGTTTTTTTATGAGAAATCTGATTATTTATTTATTTGTCTATTTAAAAAATAATTAAAAGGACAATTTAGAAAAATATATTTTTACTTATTTTATTTGGTAGAAAAATAAAAAACTGAATATAAAAACAAGTTTATTTTTAGCTTGTTGATAATTGATCATTTTATTTGATTTGAATTGGCAAAATTAATTGAATATTTTATATTTGTTAAAAAATATTTTAAAATAAATAAGGTATGCTATCTAATAAGTAAGCTACTTCACCTATTTTCTAATAAGTATTAGAATAGCAGTCACTTCATTCTAAAAGCTTGGATAAAATAGGATTAAATAACTACTTGGATTAAAATGAAGGTAGCGAAGAGAAAGTTGGAAAAAAGGATCCAAGAAGTTCTATCTTTAATTTCTAACAAAATTAAAAGAATCAGAGTTAAGCTAAGTTAAATAATTTAACTATAAGAGAATAATAATTTATGATGCTTTAGTAAGAATTAAATAGCACTTCACCTCATATGAAGAGAGGAAGCATTGATGGAAATAATTCGCCTAGGAATTAGCCTTTTATATCTCAATTAAGAAATTAAAGTATTTTCGATAATTTAAGCACTATGAGTTAGTCAAAGAAAACATCAATTTTGAGTGCTAACGATTCATAAAATAATGGTAATAGTTAGTACAATGGAGAAAAAAGGTTAAAATCAAATGTTTCATTTAATTTGTCTTCTAATCACCCAGAAATGATATCTACTCCTTAGAAAGAATACATGCTTACTGAAAAATACAATAAATCAACTCCTTCCACTTCATTGTTTTCTAATAATTAAGAATAAAAGTCTAAATTCAATCAAATGAATTGCACAGTGGGATCGTTTACTGTAAAAGAAAATAGCTAAGCCTAAAAGACCTCGAAATAAAACCACATTACTACTAATTTAAATTTGAGAAAGGCGAGCTTGGATTAAGTAATGGGTAAAATAAATGAGGAAAAACTTAAGAAAGTAGCTATCAATATTCAGAGTTCGTCGGGTATTAAAGAGGAATTATTGCAAAGTAAAAGCACTATTGCTGCTACCCCTTTAAAATCAGTTTTAAAAAAGAGTCATAACAATATTTCTTTAACAGAAAATTAATTAAAATAAAATGTAACGAGTATTAAAGATGTCATCTCGACTACTAAATCTCTTGTGACGGCAAATGGATCATTCAACTTTTAAAACAATCAAGGATTGTAAGAATCAAGCAATAATTTAATTTCTGATTAGAATTTCTTAACTTCAGCTAGTAACATGTAAACTGTTGAATCACCATCTAAGATAAATTCAGCAAAGTCGAATAAGCAACAAGGCCTAATAAAAAGATTAACAACTTTGGTTTCTCAAGAAAACTTAGCTATTATTGGAAACTATCAGTCTAAAAGGAGACAGTCAAAGAGCATTTAGATAGAGAATGTAAGCTCTAACGAAAAAATTGAGGAAAATCCAAGCAATTAACCAAATATAACAAACGAAGATAAAAAATAAATAAAAATTTAGAACGATTCAAATACAGAGAAAATTTAATAAGAGGCATCTGATGATGATAATGAAGATGAAAATAAAAACAATGGGTCTAGATAGGACACAGTAAGTTCCAGAGGTAATAAAAACGATTTATATAGTTCAAGAGAGAAGAAAAAAAGAAAATCAATAATTCCTGAAATTTATGGTAAAAAGAATTCAAAATCTGCTGATAAAGTAAACTCACAGTAATCTGAAGAAGTGTTTGAAAAACCATTGATTCGTAACAAAATCTATAATGAAAACGATCTTTTTAAGTATAAAAAAATTAATAAATATGCCTTGCATGAAATCTATGAAAAGAGAATCCTTAACTTGCATAAAGATGAAACACCGTTGCTGAGCATGAAAGAATTGCAGTACATTGAAGAAAAGTAAAAAAAGTCGTCAAGTTAAAGTTAAATTAAAGTACCATACACTCACCATCAGCATCATCCTTTTTCTTGGAACAATTTAGAGGAGAAAAAAGCAGACTTTTTGAGCTTGGAAAAGCAGAGATCTCTTTTAATAAATCCTGAGCAAGAGGAAGTTTTTGACAAAAAAATAAGCTAAATCCATGGTACTGATGTATTCAACATGTATAAAAGCATTTAGAAAAACTGCAAAACTTAAATTGAGTAAAGCAAGTCGTTTTAAAAAGATATAAAAGAAGGAGAGTAGGAATTAAAGTTCAAACATAAAATATTGAAACAACAGTATGCTGAGCACTTGGGACCGAAAGAATACAAATCTAAATATGTGAAAGAGATACTCGATTAGACTAAAAAGTAGCTTAACTTTAAAATAAATAAAAAAAGCAGATCTAAAATTTCATCTCCAGAAAAAATACTTTAAAGCTTGCTTAAACAAGATAAACAAGTATGGGGAAAAACAATTAAAAGTTAAGAATTAATTAAAGATGAAAATGGCGAAATAATTTAAGCTTAAAAGCCTGAGAAGAAATACAATCTATTCTCCTCTCAGACTATGTCAGATACAGAAAAGTAATAAGTAAGAAATTAGTCAATGTAAAAGCTTGAGAAGATAGTTGACAAATATAAAAATAACTCTATGTCTTTGCAAGAATAGCTTTAATCCCTCATGAATTTGGACAATAACCGCAAGGCTTTGTTTGGCATGACTTAGAAGATGTATGTGCCAAGTAATCTGATAAAAAATAAGTAAAAAAATAAATATCTAAATGGAATCCTTTCAAGTAGTAATATTGATTAAAATACCTTCAACCAATTAAAATAATAAATAGCGAATAACCAAAATAATCAATCAGCTCAGTTCAATAACACAGTTGAGTTCCCTTCAAACAACTAAATGGGAGATGAAAATGATAATAACGAAAACAACAAATCAATAGTATCTGTAGATGAATAAATTAAGTCCAAAAATTTAGAATGAAAAGAATGAAACCAAATACAATAAAATTTAGTATTAAAAAATAGAATTTAAAAGATAACCAAATAACCTGTAAAATAATAATTATCAATAAAAAATATAATTAATACTAATGAAATTTTTCTGAAATAATTTTATTATTTAATGTAAATTATAAATATAATGTATTATAAATAACTTTGTATATGTTGTCTTCAATTACTAGCAAATTCCTAAAATATTTATTTAGCTAAGTTAAATAAATAAATGAAATTCTATTTAAAGCTTAAAGATGTAAATCAAAATAAATCAAATCAATCAATCAAACAAACAACATAAAAATAAAACACACAATGAAATTGAATAAATTAATTTAGAATAAAAAACATAAAAATTTAGAATAAATATTTTTATTTAAATTTTAACACAAAATAGAAAGCTTAAATTTATAAATTCGTCCGCTAGAAAACAAATTTTATTCAAGTATTTTTTAGAATAGAAAGCGAATTTATTAAGCCAAATTAAATAGAACTGAAATATATTTATATATAATCAGTCATCATATAAAATTAAATAAACACATCAAGGTAAATTGAATGAAGGATCAAATATCAAATAATTAGGTAAGTTAGTTAGTTAGTTAGTTAACTAGATCTAACAAATTGGACAGTATAATCTGTATTATTAATTAATAACACAAATACTTTAGTTCATACTTAAATAATACTTAATTTTAATATTCTTATTTTCTTTTTCCTATTTATTTGACTTTTTCAGAATTTTAGCATAGTTATATCCATTATTTTAGCTTTTAGTTAAAGAATGTAAATAGAGCTAATTTGTTCTTATCTGTAATTTTGTTAGTAGTAAATAAAATTAAATTTACTTATTTTAATATCTTACGTAAATTGAGCCATAACGCTGATTTTTAGTGAGACTGGCTTCAAATTTTCTTTTATCTAATTTCTGATTTTGTCTTATATTGTAGAAAAACAAAAAACCGCAAATTCGTATCTTTCTCAATAATGAATTCTAATCAGCTACTTTTAAAGTATTTATTGGGTTCATATTAAATGAAAAAATTATTTCAGATTAAACTGTCTTTTGTTATCCAAATGATAACTTTTTTAAGAAAATAATATATAATTATTTCTTTCTTATTCAGGCATTTAAGTTTTTAAATATTAGGAAAGTATGCTATATGAATTTTGATAGACAGACAGATACAAATAAATAAAGCAAGTAAGTAGGTAAACAAGCGCAAACAAGCATGAAATAAATAAATAAATTAATTAATTAATTAACAAATTTTATTTTGTTTTATATTACTTGATTATTAAAAATTTATTTTGCTTGAACAAGAATATCTTTCTTGATTTAAAAAAAAATGATATTTAGAATAGATAATAAAATAAGATTTAAAATACCGTATTAAATTGAGACTTACAGTTGGTAAAGAAAAATAAAAGAAAGAGAAAAAGAATAATTTAATTACAATTCAGAAAAGAAAAATTATTTGATATTATCGACAGGTTACTTCGCAGAGAAATTAATATAAAAAAATTAAATTATGTAGTTTATTTTTCATATTTTTATCAATAGGCATTTTGTATGCCAAAATTAACAAAATTAAGTAACAATAATTGTTTGGAAAAATTAAATGTTGATGGCAATTAATTTGTTTAGTAAAATGTGTTAAAATGAATACAATTCTTAATAAAATTTCAAAAGGTAGAATAAGAAATATATTTCATAAACTGTGATAATTTCTTTTCTTAATGCATTTGATCTAGTTAATCAGCTATAAAAATGCATGCAAAATGCAAGAAGTGATCTGGCTGGCTATTTAATTTATTAATTTATTTACTTGTTATTTATTGATTTCTTTGATAATCAAAATAAATGAAGTTTTTGTAAGTAAATAAATATTCACTTTTTTGCTTCTTTGTTTTTGAATGATTATTTGTTTGTCTGTTTATAAGTATGCATGTATTTATTTGTTTGTTTGTTTGTTTGTTTTTTCATTTATATGCATAAATAGAAGTGATTGTTAAATTGCAAATGGTTATTAAGTTATGCATAAATCCTTTAATTTCTAAAAATTAAAATTGAAAGAAAAACAAAGTAAAAAAAGATAGCAAGACTTGTATATTAAAGAGTATTGAAATAAATACACATAAAACGTGAATACAACTCAATAATTAAACTCTTGCGCACAAGATAAAATGAGCAATTCATTTTATAAGCAAAGGTGTGGAAGAATAATAAATATAGCACCTATAGGCTGCAAATAGCATCAACGTGCTTTAATGTTCTAATATTTAAGAATGCTCATATTGACGATCATTTATTTAGCTATTCTCGTCAGGAATTTCATCTCAAAAAAATATGATGTTAATGACTATTAGAATTACCTACTTTTTATACCTCCTGCATTATTTTTTACAAATTGGATTTGCGATAGACTCTTTTTTTCTAAGAGATTCGATATTGATTTTTCTCCTTTAATTATTATTTACTTCATTGTTCCTTATGTTGCGATATGTAGAAATAATTGGTAGTCTGATACACTTTCTTATTCAATATTAATGATTTGGAGCATAAATATAGTATTTAGTAGAAGCTAAGTGGCTTCCTTTTTGGGCTGTGCAATTGGACTATTTGCATTGATTTATCAAGGGTGGTATTACGATTATCACGAAATAATTGTTGGGATTGGCTTTTTATCTTGCTTTTTGAATTGGGAATTAAATAAGCAATAAGTAGGCCAAAAATTATATATTTAGTAAATTAGTAAGAAAGTTGAAACCAAATACTTGCAAAATCAAAAGCAAATTAAGATGATTGTAGAAGTGGATAAAAATTACAACCCAACCAACCAGAAAACAAACGATATAAAATTACTTTACATAAGCAGCAACGATTAAAATGAACAATTTTTTGGTAGTATAGATCCAATTCCTTTTATTAGAAATTGTTGGGTTTCATCAAAGAAGAAAAAGTCTTTTCTTCAGCAGTTAATCACCTCTCATCTAGAATCAAAAAATCAAGTTTCAAGCACTTTCAAAGTAAGGTATGTGAAGGGTATTAAACCTGTAATGATCAATGCTTCATTAACAGAGCAAGAAGAATTAGAATTAATTTAATTAGATGCAAATTAAGAAAATCAATAATAAAAATAGAATATCCAAACTTAAAGTGCTTCGAAATCAGAAATAAATTTTTCTAATGCCTTATCAAACTCAGTTAATTAAACCATTAAATTTACATTCCTAGTGAACCAAGAAATAGAAGAGCGCTAGTATTGGAAATTTTGCCAAAAATATCAATAGAAACTATTGCAAAACATATTGCGTAAGAGCATGGTCAACATGCAAAAAATAGTTAATATATTATCTCCGAACTGAAGGAGAAACAAAGGCTGGACACTCCTCGAAACAAAACAAATCATAAATAAACTAAGATACATAACTACAGTGATGCAGTAAGACTTTTACAACTTGTATGATTTTTAAAAGTAAAATTACGAAACAGCACACAGTGATTTCTACATCAAAAAGGTAACAAATAAATACAAACATTTTTTTATTTTATCAAAGAGATAACTCATGATTACACATGATATTTACAATAAAAAATATATTTTTTATCAAATAATCAAAATAAATCCAATTGATTATTAGATTTATTGGTCAAATTAGCTTTGCTGTCTTTAGACTTTTATGGATTTCTTCTTATATTAGCCAATCCTAAATAGTTTTATTATCCAATATTAAACATACACATTGTGCTAGAACCGCTAATAATTAATTAACAAATTAACACAAAATCAAAACTCCAATAAATATATAAACCAAGAAATCAATCAATCAATCATACAAATAAATAGATAAAAATATATTTTTAATAAATAAATAAGTTAGTTAATTCTTCCCATCGATCAATCTAAATTCGCAATTCTTTACATTTACAATTTAATATTTTCCTTTTAATTTATCTAAATTTGTTTGCTTGCTTACCTTATTGAAAAGATTGGATTATGGCTTTTCAATTTAAACCAAAAAAGAAAATAAAAGAAATCCATAAAAACTGAATTCTAAAATGTAATTTAATAAAATTTGTTAAAAAAAATCAACTTCTTTGTCAGATAACTGGTTAGACTCAAAATCACACTTTTTATGAAAAAGAACAAAAGTAATCTCCAAAAATAACTTAAAAAATTAAAAAATGTTTAGAGCTTACAATTCAAAAAATATGAATTTTTAATAATAATTTAAGTGATTTGTAAAGGAAGTGTTATAAACCAAATATAATTTTCAGCTAGAATAAAATTTCTAGTGAATAAAATACAAATTAGCGAAATGAGTTTAAAACCACATTTAAAGAATATTAAAATACAATATTTAATGTTAAAATTGAGAGTTGATCAGAAATGGGATGGATCTTGAATAAAAATAAATCAAATTTATTTACCACTTTATTTTAGAAGATACAACCCCTAATTTAAGCATATTTTACTTTGTTAATCTTTAAGCAAATATTTATTTGCTAAAAAAAGGATGTATCTTTGTTTATTTATCTGCTTAAATCTAAATTTTAAATATTTACTTTTGATCATCTATCTAGATAGTCTATATATATTTCTGTCTTTCTGCTCCCCACTATTATATTTATTTATTGATATCACTTGTGGATTTACTTAACTCTTTGATAGATCATATGCAATATTTTAATTATAGCCACTATTTAGCTTCAAATTAATTTTAAATTTAATGATATTTTTTGAATCTCACAAATCCTCGGTTTTTATTAATAAATAAATAATCTTTTTATTTAATTGATTGATTATGAGAAATCAGTTTGTGGACATCATTGGATTATTTTTTATTTTTTTGATAATATTACACTTTATAAAACCAATCCAATCCTTATTCATTTTTAAAACCTTAAATCCTTTTTAGATTACTCACCTTTTCCAACTATTACTAATTAATGCATATTTCTTACATTTCTTTTATCAAAAGATTATTAAAGAAACCATCGATGTGTACGCAGAACTCTCATAAGAAAAACACGTAAACTTGCTTTTTATAGACAAAGCTCCTGAGCTCAAAAAGATAAAAAACGATGAAAAAAGAATTCTATAAATCCTAATGATTCTTTTAGAAAACTCAATATCCAACACCTAAGAAAATGGATCTATTCTCGTTAAGCTAAAATGTAATGACATCACATCTCCCTATGCCATTTTAGAAGTAGTTGACACCGGTAAAGGTATCTTAAACACATTCCAGCCTCCATATCCCAACCCAAAAACCCTCTAACAAGCACAGCACAATGCACAATCTCCTGTTCAAATTGGTCTCTACAATCTTAAGCAAATCCTCTCTAAGATAGGTCCTTAGCAAGACATAATTTTAAAATCCACCAAAGACGTCGGAACAAAGGTAAAATTAAATTTCACACAAAAAAATACTTTATGAATGATAAATCTTTATTAAAGATAAGCTTCAAAATCTATAGAGATTTAGAGTACAAAGACTCTGTCTACTGGGGAAAGCACGGCGATAAAAATAGATATTCTATTCCCATTCTGCCTCCAGTAGAAGATAACGGATTTGCAGCAAGAACTGATAACAAATACAGCTCTATGATTCCTATTTAAAACGAAAACCAAATTTAAGAAGAGAGTTAGTAGCTTTCAGATGAATCTATTTATGCAGATAATAAATAAAAATATAAGCAAAAATCTCATCTTAAATAAAATATTTAAATATAAGAAAAAGAAATTACAACTTCTAGCTATAATTTATAGAAATCTAAAACAGAAGAAAGTCCTATTGGATCCAAAAAACAAATCAACGATAAACAGCCTAATGTTACTGCTATTGATCATAATATTCACAATAACTCTTTCAGCCATATTAACTTAGAAGATACCTTCATGAAATCTAAGTCAAATTACGGTAGTAAGGGTAACATTTCAATAATGAACTATCTTCACAACTCAAGTTAAATGATACACCCAGGCAACTAAGAAACAAATAAAGAATCCAATTAAATTAAATGTGTCAGCATACAAGAAGGACTGCAATAATACAGTCCATCTAAATAAAACTCAATTAATCCAGAAACTCCTCCTAGTAACAGCAACAATTCAAATCCAAACAATAACAATAACCAAGAAAAAGCTTAAAAATCTATTCTCAAAAGGCCAAAAATACTAATTTAATAGTCAGAAAACTTCATTAATCTAAATAAAATAATTAAAAACGATGAGTTCGAATAAGATAGTGACCTAGATAGCGACATTCATGCTATCGAAATAGAAGAATTCCCAAATCACTCACCTGGTAAGCCAGAACCTTTTGAGTTTATTAAAAGAACCTAAAAAGAAAAAAGGCTCTCCCATATAACTGATATATCAAGATTCATGACACCTCAAAATATGCCTTCTACAAACGCCTTTTCAAACAGCAGACTCGGATACGAATCGTCTCCTAAACACCTAATTAATAGGCATATGGGAAGAAATTCCACACTCAATTTTACAGAAGTTGATAAAGATTTTTGAAAACTTAATCAACTTATTCATTCATTAATTCAATAAAATTCTCAGTTTATTATATAATTAATAATATTAACCTATTTTAATCCTAAAATCAAAATAATAAAGAACTACTAAACAACAAACACTTTAACCACTGCCTAAAATAAATAAATATAATTTAACAATTTTAAGAAGTAAATAAATAAATAATTAAGTTATTAAACAATCAAATTAACAAAAAAAAAAATTTTTTTTGATAATAACTTAAAAGATTATTACTTGAAAGAACTAACACAACTCTTATAATGACAAGTATCATGATAAAAGAGGTGCTGCAATTTTAACATATAATTACTAAACTCTTTAAATATAAGTTTTTAATTATTTATATATTTAATGTATAAAGTATTTCTTACTAAATATTAACTAATTAATATTTTCAATTTAGATTATTAAAATAGTTTTTGTGTAATGATAAAAGTTACCTAAAACAATTCAAAAGGAAATATTCTAATTTTATTTACTGATATTAAAAAATATCTAATGTATTATTCTAAATGTATTTAATTTAGGCTAATTTAAATAAAAAATTTATAAATTATTAAAAAAAATACACCAGAAAATTAATATTTCAACACTAAAATTGCATGCCTATTGTTGCTTTTATGCAGTATTAACAACACTAAATTAATAAACTATCATAAATTAAAATCCTCAGCATATAAATTAAAAATTTTGTAACAATAAACTAATTTAATTTTAATTTATTTTTTTTAATTTAATTATTAATTAATTACTTAAAGTAATTTTTATTTGAAATTTTTATTTTAAAAATTAACAAGTTTTCGTAATTAAATATGACTTATTTTTTTATCATTTATAAAAAATTAATCTGAATAAGCTCATTTAAATAATATGACTTTGATTATAATTATAATTTATTTATTCTACTTTGTTAATTCGTAAATAAATCTGATCAATTATTTTAGTATTTTTGGTTTAAACGCATTTTATTGTTATCATTAAAAAAAATTTTTAAAGATAAGTTAATTTTAACATCATAAATAGATAAATTATAAAGTAGACCTAAATAAATAATATTAATTAATATCATAATATCATTTTAAAAATTATATTTTCAACTTATTTCATCAATTTTATATTAAAAAAAGGAAATTAATTATGTTCATCCTAAAAATTAATGAATACTTGTATTTATCATTTATATTTACTTCTAGTTAATAAAATAATTATTGATTTGCTGTTAACAAACTCAATATAAAAATAAAAAATATTTTAATATATGCTTGAAGTTATAAAAATTATCATTCAGGCCTGTTTTATTATGGTAAAAGATCGATCTTAATTTAAGTTAGTTCTTTCCAGAATTAGTGATACTTGGTTTTTTTAATTTTAGATTTAAATCTAATAATTATTTTTTATAGTATTTACACCTTTAATATAAGATTTATCTATGTAAAATATTTTTAAACGCTATTACCAAATTTCTATTAACCAAAGGTCTTATATAAAACAATTTTAAATAAAAATTTGTTTAATTAGATTTGTAATTAAGATTTTTTTTAAGCCTAAAATTTAAAGAGACTAATTTATTGATAAGATTTGTTAAATATTATATGCCATTTTAAATTAATAAATAGTTCTTAATTTTCCAAATCTATTAATTAGTTTAATGAAATAAATTAAAGCATTTAATAATTTTATATGGAATTTTTTTTTGTAATTTAAATAAGATTTGATAAATAAAAAATTTAATTAGCAATTTTAAGTTTGGAAAAAATAAAACATGCTTTTTATTATGAAAAACTAAAAAAAAGTTAATGAGTAAATTAAAATTTGGCAAATTGATATTTTTTTAAAAAAGTTTATTAAATAAGAAAAACATTAAGTAAGGACACTATCAAAGGAAACTTAAAAAATATTAATCATAGCTAAATTTAATAAGGATTTAATGATTTGAATATATTTGTTTATCTGATTACAACTATTTCGAAATGAAAATCCCAAGCAAGATAACTACACACGAGTATTCAATTAAATTAATTAAATTTGCAATTAATATATTCTTATGTTTAAAATTGTAGATTTAGTTAAAAATAACTAATTTAATTCAATAAATATATGGTGTTAATTCGATTTTAATTTGATTTATAAATTTAATTTGGATATTTTTCCTTCAAATTTTATAAAAAAATTAAAATTTACAACTAAAAAATGTGGTAAAATTTAGTTACTTTTTAATTAATCTTAGTTATTGATTAAAATCCATAGTAAAATTTGAGTTGATTTCTTAATTATAATAAAAACTTAATATTATTTACCTTCCTTCTAAAAGATCCAAACAAAAATTTCTCAAGAAATATTAAAAAGTTAATAATTTTAATCTTATTGTAATAATTATTATATTTCTGAAAGATAATTTATTTATTTTCTATAAGTTCTCATATTTAAAAAATATTTTTTTGCTTTTATAAAAAGTCAAAAAACAATACGTTAGAGCTTTTACTCAAAAAGATTCTTTTGAAAAATAAGAACTTAGTTTAAAAAAAGAGTATTATTACATAATTACTTTGCTATTGAATCTTTTGATTAAAAGATATTTTATTAAATTGAAGGGTAATAACAAATTATAGATAAACAAATAAATAATTTCTAAATATAAATTTATATTCCCTATAAGCTAATATACTTTTACATCACTAAGTATAAATTTATCAAACACACTTGAATAAAATGAATAATGTAAATATTGTTGAAATTATTGATAAAAGAAACACTATTTTCTTGAAAACAAACTCTCATCCTTTTTTCAAAAAGAAAATATTTAGTACAAAAAAATACTTGTTTGGTTCATTGTTATTTACAAATGGTTCTTACAAGCTATGAATTACGCTTTTAAGTTTTGTTTCGTTGATTTATTGTTTTTTATTTAAAATGATATTTTTTGTTAGAATTTTTGCTCTTTTATGAAATATGTTTATTATATTTTACTATTCATTTAACTAATAATACCTAAATAAATAAAAAATAAGCAATACATATTATAAATATTTAAGTAAAGTATTGTATATTGTATAGATTATTTTAATGAATTTGCTTTGTAATGTAAAAACCAATCTTAATATCTATCTATGTTGTCCTCACCCAATAATAAAATTGTAATAAAAACTCTTCTCATTCATATCTTTAAAAAATAAAATTATGTAAACAAATATCTAATTTTATAATGTGTTACACACAATCAATTTTTTCTGATCGTCTTAAATCGTCAGGGGGGACCTAATTTGCTGATAAATTGAACTAAGTCTGAAAATTAATGTTTCAACTTATTTTTTCTTTAAAATTTAAAGAATGCTAGTAACATTTAGAAATTCATATGAAAATTTATTCAAATCAATTTAAATTTAAGTTTACTACGATATAATTTCAAAGCTATTGTTTATACGATTTTGCTACTTTCATATTCTTAAATTATTTGATTTTTTTTATAATCAACTTTTGAAACAATAGAGAGATAATAAAAATGCAATAAAAGACAGGATTTTACTTTACAAAAGAAAATAAATGATTTAAAAGTAACCTTAATTAGAATAAAATTAGAATTAATGATTAAAACATATAAAAAAACTCTAATTTATAAATCAAGCTTTCTAAATATAAAAATTTCAAGTTTGTAAATCAAATAAATTCTAATGCAATCAAAAGTATCTATCTATCTATCTGTCAATTTTTAGATATTTATTTACATAATTTTGATGAAATATTAAAAAAATAAAGTAATTTAGAGTGTAAAAACGATAAAAATTTTAAATTTATGTGGTAGGAAATAGTATCTTTGAATTTAGTTTATAGATAATTATTAAAATAATTGGGGGTTTTTAAAAAAAAAACTAAAATAGATATAAAAAATACATTAATTAAATGAATAATTATTTATTTTTTTAGTTATTGATTTCTCTGTTTTTTTATTTTTTTATTTATTTATATTCTTGCTTGCTTGCTTGCTTTTTTGTTTGTTTGTTATTCATATGCTTAACATCCAAATCAAGTTTTAGATTAGAATATTTACATTTTACCAATCACAAAATAATAAAACAAGTAAATATTTTTTATTAACTAATTTAGTGTTGTTTACTTGTTTATTTAGCTAGCTACTAATATCTTTTGTTTGTTTATTTATTTATTTTTTTGCTGTAACATTACTTTTTCACAAGTGAGCTTTAACAAATTCTTAGAAAACAATCAAACTTCTCTCGTTGAAAGTATGTTACAAATTCTTAATGATTTCCCAGCGCACTTTGTGGGTTTATTCGTTTAACTTTGTGTAACTTTACTTGGATTGAGCCCATGGTAAAAGGGGGTCTTACTCACCATGACTGATTAAGATTTCAGTGTTTTTATTACTTTCATGATCTACTATTGTGGGGAATAAAAAGCCTGAATAAACAATCAATCCTCCTAGAGGCTTATCAAATGTAAGGCCAGCTCTCAAAGTCATGCATCCACCTTAACTGAAGCCCCCTAAAAAGACTTTCTTTGAATCTCCATTAAGCTTAGCGATTTCTTCATTGAGAACTTATTAGATTCTTTAGGCTGACTCGTTTGCTTCTTCTACACCTATTGCTTGATGGAAGTTTTACTCATTGACTTGGAAAGCCTTGAAGTCAAACCATGAAGGCATTTACATGCCCATGTTGATTGTTACTTTACGAGTAGGAGCAGTTAAAAGTACTATTTTCATATTATCAGGTGTTGGAGATGAGCTTTCACCAAAAAAGTCCAAATATCCCTCGGCTGTGTCACCCAAACCATGCATCCAAACTAAAGTATGGGTGTGCTATCCTTTAGGGATCAAATAAATATCATCGCCCTTTTTTTCAACTTTGTATTTATTAATACCTCCGAACATTTCTATTTTAAGCAAAGCTTCTATTAAATTCTAATTGAAATAATAACTTTTTTAATTGTTAGTTCTTGTTTTATCAATTTCTTTTATATTATTATGTAATAAGATAGAAGATATTGATTAAATTAAATTCAATTCATTTGATTTTCCTAGTTCACTTTCTTATTTAGTTAGCATCATATTCCTGCATTTACATCTTTTCGTTAGGTGTTTTAATGTTGCAATCTTTCATTCATAGATACATTCATTTATTATTTCACTCATTCACACTCATAATATCTATCATTCTAATTATTTTGAATTTATATTTATTTTGTTTGTTTCAATAGACTTTTGAAAAGTCTTTTTTGATAAATTTTTTATGTTGAATAGCAGCTCTATTTATATATTTAATGTAGTAATATTGAAATATGAATTGAATATTCATTATGAATTCTATTTGTTTGAACGTTTAATTGTTTATGTATTTTGCATTACTTTTGTTTCTTTTTACAAATAAGAAATTTACTTATCTTCATTTTATATTGGAAAATCTAAAGAAAACCCAAGGATTTTTATGTATTTTATTCTTTTATTGTATTTTGAATTACAATTGATATCATAGATAGAATGAATAGATATTTTGATAGAAAAATAATATAAGGTTTTTACCTTTTAAATATCTTTACAACCTTAATTGATTTCTTCAGTGGTTACTACTAAGAACTAATGAAATGAAAATTTTTTTCAATAACTGACTATAATCTAAAGAATAAATTATTTTGTTTATGTAATTAGGTAAATTAAAGTGAATCTTTCAAATTTTAGTAATTTTACTTATATTAAACTGTATTTTAACACATGGCTAAATGTAATTATGAATTTACGCTCTGAATAACAAATAATTTTGTATTGTCAAAAGATACCATAAAATTAATTAAAATTAATTAATACATCAGGTTTATCATAAGGTTTTGTTAAATGAGTAAAATCTTTTATGTAAATTAAATATCTAGAAATGCAGATAGATAAATTTGAAGCCAAAAGTTAATTTTATTTTAAAGTATGATATAAGCTTTCAATATGGCTCGGCTGAAGAGAGACAGAATTTATAACATATTGATTTGTAATTTAAATAGGAAAAATTAATCCAAATTAAAATTCATACTCAAAAGATTTCACATTTCACAATTTCTGATTGATTCTCTTGTAATTAATTTTCTCAAATGTATTGTTAGTCTAAAATTAAATTTATCTAAACGGGTAGTTTTTTTTTTTTTCCACGGTAATTAAGAAAAATAATTAAATTGGTTGCATGCTTTTTCAGTGCAATTTAGGAAGCTAAATTAAAAAAAACCATTATGTCAACTTTAAAAGCTCTTATAAAAGCTATTTTTCTTTGAATAAATTTATTTTATAAATCCTAACAGCCTCAACTCTGACAAAATTTAAATGAAAAATTTACTCACATTTAATGTGCTTTCAAGGAAAAATTTTTAGGATTCTTAACTTACAAGTAATAATTTGTAAAAGAAATATGTAAAAAGATTAATTCAACCTGAGCCAAAATTTAAAACTACTTACAATAAGTAAAGTTACGTAATTTATAGTTTGTCTAAAGTGTTTTAGTAGCTAATTTAAACATAGGATTCCATTTTTTTTGAGCTAAATTTCATGGGAAGTTAAGTTTATTTTTGGTAAATGAAGCAGAAAAGGCAGGCAAGATTAATGAGGAGAAAAAGAGTGAATTAAATGTAAGAATCAATTAATAAGCTATTTATTATGCAAATTGATATTTATTTAGTGGTTGAATGAATAAATGAATGAATCAATCAATCAATGAATGAATGATAATGTGATTGAAATTACATGGGTAAATAAATTATGTTTTTAACTAAATCAATTGATTGACAAATTAGTTTTCATGTAAGTTTTCAATTTATGAAAAAAGCTTTATTTGGTTAAGTATTCATTAAATAAGTAAGTAGAAGGGCCCTCTACTCTATTTTATCAATATTTACCAGACCCCTAATTACCTTCTTCATTTATGTTCAACACCTTAATTTGAACTATAGAGTCGTCATTTATTTTTGATTAGTTTTTAAAAAAAAAATTCTATTGGCTTTCTTTTGTTTGAAAATTTCATTTTACTCTATTTATGCGGAGAATTTCAGGTTTGATAGAAGTAAAAGTAATCCATTCTATTTAAATACTCCTAACAAAACAAAAGAATTTTTCAAAGATCAAAAGAACTTTGAATTGAAACATTGTAAAAAAACCATGAAAATGGTGCAGTTTCTTTTTGAGTTGCATGTATTTTATTTTAAATGAGCAGAAAGAATTAATTAGGCTAGGCAAGTAAATACAAAATAAATTATATTTGTTCACCTAGATATTATATAGCTTTGAATGTAAAATTATAGGCCTGTATTTATTTGTTACTAATCTTTACTTAGACAGATTCTAATACGTATTTCCAAAGTGAATGAAATTAACTAACTAACTAACTAACAAGCAAACAAATAAACAATAAAAATTTGAAAGAAAAAGCATTCCAAATTAATCAATCAATTAGTAAAATAAATGAATAACAAAAAGTTACCCTCCCCCTCAGATTGATTGTAATTAAAGCTCAGTTTGAATTGTGAGTGCTTTTTAACTTAATTAATTTTGTTAAGTGGTGATTAAATATCCATCGAATCACCAAATATTTTTATAATTATTAAAAACAGAACAAAATTAAAGATAACAACTAAAAAGAAAATCTTTTAATACAACCTTATTTAATTTTTCACTATATATCTATCCTTCCTTCATTCATTTGCTTGCTTGAAAAAGCAATTCAAAAATACTAAATAAGAAAAACTAACAAACATTCTAAATTATAAATACAGCCAGATTGCTCTGCTTTTGCTATTCCTTATAAAGCTCTCTTACTAGATAAATAAATACATACATACATAAACACAATCAATATAAAAAATTTCAACCCTATCTATTTACTTCACTCGGATTACAGTTTCTTAAAATTAAATAATATTATCTGATTTGTTGAAAATATAGTTTTTTCCTAAAATTATAAAAAACCAATTCTGATTCATTTTCTCTTATTGTATCCTTTCTACTAAATAATTAATTAATTAATTTACGCTACTGAAAAATAGAAAGCAAACAAAATTTAATTAAATTGTTTGAATTGTTAAAATTATAAAATTAGAACTTGCTAACTAATTAATTAATTAACTAACCATTTCATTGAAATAAGATAAATACATTGAAAAAGAAATAGATAATCAAAATAATATTTAAGCTACTCAAGAGATCAATCAATCAATCAATTAAAATATCACCCTTAAATATATCATGGACATTGAAAATACCACCAGCCAAATGGCTTCTCCTATGAATTGTCAATATTCTCAATACTCTGAATACGCTAAACCATAAAATGTAGATTACAAAATTGTTTCAAGAACAACAAGTAGAACAAGCAGTGGTGGAAGCTGCGAGTCCTTTGCCAGCCTCAGTACTTGTCTTCTTTAAGAGCTCTCTGCTTCTATTCAAAATGGAAGCGTTAATGCCCCTGAATTCCTTGCTAAAATGTTTTAGAAGCCAGAAGATACAAGAATACCTGTTTTAAGTGGAGAAATTCCTCTTGGAATCAGCTGCTTCCAACAATGGAAACGCGTCGTTGGGTACGAAAAGAAACTAGATGGAGAATTGTTCGAATTCTCCTTGCAGGATATGGAAAATGAGCGTATTTCATTTGATGAAGGTATCCGCATTCTCCAAAATAATACTAAATTTAAATTTCCTGCTTTACAGATATTTATTTCGAAATTTTAGTAAATACATGCAAAACGTCAAGCTCGTAGATTAGCTGCACAAAAATAATATCAAAAGTAATCTGTTTTCCACGAATTCATTGCTGACTTTTAATAAAAATTTGTAAAGCGCACTGATAAGGCTATTAAAGGTCTCCTTAGCAACACCCCTGGTTATATTGTAACTTTGAGATGTCGCTAAAATGTAGAAACTAACTAGCACGAAGTTTACAAAATGGGTTTCAGTAACAAATTTATTTAGCTTCTGGGAGTCGATTCTGAATAAATCTGCTACGATTTTATGAAGAATGGGCTGCGTGAATTTATTGACGAAGAATCCTTATTAAATTTATCGTCTGTACTAATTTGTTATCATATGACAAAATGCTTACAAGAACGCAAGATAATAAATATTAATTTAAAAACTTACGACAACCTTGTGCTCCCCACCACTTGCTCCATTCAGTTCCATGGCGAAAAAATGGATAAAAACAACTCCTACTTCGAGAGCATCATTTCACTAAATATCATTCCTGATTAGTAATTCTACCCATTAGTAAGCATGTTCAGATAATAAATGGCCCTACAATAGCAAAACTAATTACAATAATAAATGATAAATTAATAACCTAACTAAATATTACAACAACAGTAACAACAACAACAATAATAACAATAAATCCAAGGTCAAGCAAATTCTTAAAGCACCTTTTCTTCTGCTCAAAATGAAGCTTTTAAGAGATTCTTGACTCCAATAAATCCCGAATCTTTTGAAAACAATAAAATTATCCTTGAAAAGTTCTATGGATATACTTTTGAAAATGGAGTAAACACTTCTAAGACATGTAAGATTAAATACATTTGAAACAAAAAGCAAAAAAACAAATTTCAAAATAATTAACTAAAAAAAAATTGTACAAACCAAATAATGAATCAATCAATCAAACAAAGAAACAAACAAAGAAAGAAAGAAACACACAAATATACAAATAATTAATTAATTGATGATGATGATTGGATGATCAAAATTTTATTTATTCGCTAAGGCTAAATTAAGTGTTAATTAATTCATGAAGATAATCAACGAATTATGTATTTTTATTACTTAATCATTCCCCCCTCTTCAGTTTACTATTTTTGAGAAATCAATAAATCAATTACAGATCGGAATTGATTTATTTTGGTTTATTATTAACCACTCCTCACCTAAAATATAAACCTCATACAAACTAAATTTCTCAAAGGTTTTTGCTCATTAATCTAAAATAAATCATGAAGATAGACAGTTGTTTTTATTAAAACTACTCATGAATGAATACCCTCATAAATACTAACCACCGCTTTAAAGTCTAAAAAATATTAATTCACAATCATGGATAAAAATACAACAAAATCACTATAATTGCAAAATTAGCTAGAACAATTAGTTTAATCAACTGAGCCTGTAAGCTATTCGATCAAATAATAAGTCAATAGTAATCTTTTTGATAAGAAATTCTCAAAAAAAATATCAATCAGCCACTCAAAATAAATGATTTCAAATTATAAATATCAAACATTCATTCATTGATTGATTGATTTATTCTCATGCATAAAAAAAACAATCAAAAGTCTATTTAAATTAAATTTTCAACTTATATATTAATTAATATTACCAATTATCTTTATTTATCACTTAACTATTTATCTCACCTTCCTTAAATCTCTAAATAAATTCTTTTACTCACTAATCAACCTACCAACCAACCTACCAATCAACCTCATATTTTCATTACAATCCAAAATATATTGTTAAAATATTTTAAATATTTGTATTATTTTTTGCTATATTTATATAAAATGTTAAAATTCAATTTAAATTTAACTCCCAATCTTTAACCAACCATTCACTAAAAACATTTTTCTTTATTTATTTATTTGTTTATTTTTAAAGGCGATATTTACAGCTTGAAAAAATTTAAAATATTCTTACTTTTTTTAAAATATCTACTTCTAGCTACTCTATGATAGTAAAGAATAAATAATATTCTACATTTTTTTCAGGCTAATTTTTTTGTAACAAAAAAATTTAAAGAATCTAAATCGAAATTTGATCAAAGTTAAGCATCCGCACTTACTTGCAAATTAATGGATTAAACTTAAATTAAGAATTTTACTTTCAAATAAATAGAAATTTACAGTTGATTTCTAGTCGTAGCTAATTTCTGAAATTTTTGTTACTCTAAGCAATATAATTTTTTTCCCTTTTTGAAAATATATCCATACATTTCATCAAAATCAATGTAATCTAATTATTGTTTTTGGATAGTCATACAATTAATTTAATTTAATAGAGTAACTTAGTAATCTGCAATGATTAATTATTAAATTGTCTATTTGCTTTTATTACTATTTTCTCTACCTCAAACTTAAAAATGAAAATTGTAAAATTAATGTAAATAATAGCACTTGATTCTAAATCAAATTTACTTATATTTATCTTATTACAAAGTTTAATAACATTTCTTTTGTAAATTAAAAAGAGTAATTACTATTTTAAATATAAATGATTTACTCAAATTTCACAATTTTAAAATAAGTAGAATTAAATATTTAAAGTTTTGTTTTTGCTATTATTTCAGCTTCTGTAAAATTAACAAAAATTCATACAATGAATTTTTATTATTGTAAAGTTTTTGAGATTCCTGAAACTAAACAATTTATTTAAATCTTTTTAACACAATTAAGTAAAATAAATTAAGTTCTCTATTAAATTATTTTTTTTATCTTTTGATTATCAAATTATCAAAATAAACATTAAAAAAATAATAATTTCTTATATATTTAAATGTAGAATACTTTAATATAAAATAATTAAAATAGCCTATTCATTCTAACTTGAAACATTTTTTATTTTAAAATTGATTTAATTACATATTTATGATTATAAATTAATATCTTTATTTGAACTTCTCTTTAAAAGCTTATAGCTAAATTTATCATTTTTTAGATATTCATTTATTTTATCCAGTTTGAAGTAAAATATTATATATAGATAGTATAAATACTTTTTTTTATTAAAATTAATTTAAATTCTTTAAATTTCTAACCCTACTTTAGAATAATAAATCAATCTTAAATTTAATAAATAAATATTTTATAAAAAAGTGGGTGGGTGAGATGTTATTTCAAAAGATATTAAAATTATATAAATAAATTAAATTAGCTTTTGAACTCATTTCTATTTAGCCAGTGATTTTCATAAATAAAATAAATAACAAAAAAAGAATTTTAAATGATTATTTTTTGGTTAATAATGTTTATTAATTTATTATTTCTATGTAATTTATTTTAACTAAAATCATTTTCAAAATTAAGTAAGTGAATAGATAATATTCTTTACTATTCGACTTAATAAAATTTAAAGATTGAAAGAAATTAAATTCAGAATATATAAAAAATATCAAGTAAATTCTTTATTAAAATGTAAAATTCAAATATATTTTTTGATTGAGATATAATATCAATACTTTTTATATTAATTTAAAGTTCTACTTTGTTTGCTATTTATTCAAGATAGATAAATAAATAAATTCAATACAATTCAAATAAATCATGGATCACATGTTTAGGATTATTAAGTAATAAATTTGATATATTTTGATTGTATGCTACAATATATACAAGAATTTATTAATAAACTTTATTATCTTCAAAGGGTGAAAATTATTTATCTTGTTCTTTATAGGACACTTTGCATAAAGAAAGCTAGTAAAATGTATTGAAATAAGACTAAACAAACTATTCTCCTAAAGAGGGACCAGTTTTTTGTACATTTATTTAATACTAAAGAAAATACAATTCATTGAAAATGAGGGAATTAAATATTATTTCCAAGAACTTTAGATCAACAAAAAAAATATCTAAACTTATATCTTCTCTAACCATTTTAATATCAAATTAATTTAAAATACCTTGCTAATATACTTAATATGAGAAAAATCTTCTTTAGTCTTTTATGGTTTTATTAAGAATTTACTTAAATATGTCGAATTATGTTTATGTTTCATATATTATGTAATTAATTTTATTTTCATGCTTTTAAAAATTTGTAAACTTATCTAATTCAAATAGATTACGATTTATTTCTTATTCTTATATCTCTATTTATTTTATATGTGTACCATATTTTAGAAATTTAATCCATTTTTTTATTAAATATACACTAGAAGGAATGTAAAGCATGAAGCAAATATAAATCAAGTATCTGAGTTTTTTTAAAAAGTAGATATCATTTAGCAAGAAATCAATAATAATTAGAATTATGTTTTAACAAACAAACGCAAATTACCTTATTCTTTCATGACTAATATTATCGTCTCTGTAAATTTTATTTTTATACTTATCTCTTAGCTTTACTCTATTGAATCCAAAAATTTAAGATTCACAAATATTTGATTTTCCCTAGGCATATTTTAATTATAACCATATCATTTCAGTTATAATTACTAATAAAAATAAAAAAGCAGTGATTGAGTTTTTTAGGCAAAGAAATAATAATGAAGCATTTAAAATACCTCCAATAGAAATTTCTATTGATTATATTAGCAGAGATATATTGTTTTTATATTTTAAGTGATTGGAGTAATTTATAACACAAAAATAACTTAAAAACCCTAAAATAATAGCTATCATAAAGTTCAATCCATCATTTCCATACATCACCATAAAATAGACTTGCGTTAAAATAACATAATGATGAAATACAAACTCTTAAATTCTTAGCTGCAAGTAATATTAAGTTATTGATTGGGGAGTAAATCCTAAAAATGTTAGAATAATATTTTATCTCTAAGAAAAGAAATTATAAGTACTATACAAAGCCCAAATTAAAAACTTCTTTAAGAATATGAATAGTACCATAATTATAGGTAGAAAGATTATACCTTCATACATAACCATTATTACTGCATTTGATAAAGATATAAATTCAGATATTTATTAAAGCCCAATAAAAAATGCTATCCAGTTTCGTTTATCTTAAGCTATCTCTTAAGACCGGAAGTGCTATATGCCCATTTCTCTGCTGTTATTTTTAAAAGAATTTGTTGATTTTTAATTTAATAATTAATATCTTAATTTTTAATATTTAACTGAAGGATATTAAACAAATAATATATTACTATAATTCAGTTTACTTGTGCGATATCTAATAATTATATTTTTGAGCACAACTAAAGATGGAATGTTAAATTTAATAAAAATATATTCTGTGATATTTCATATAGGGTAAAATAAATGTCTTTTTAATTTTTGATATTCTTGCCCAGATTATTTAGTTTTTTGAGAAAATTTTAATATAAATTTAAATAAATGAATAAAAAACGTTTATGGTATGAATAGTATTTGTATAAATATTTTACAAAATATAAATAATAAAAATTTTTTATGAAGCACTTTTTTATGGTTTAATGAATTAAAAATTAATTATAAATTGTTTTAAATTTAAATTTTGTTTTAAAAATATTTTATTTATTTATTTAAGATTAAAATTAAAATTAATGAGTCTGTCTTGTAATAAAATTTAGCAAAATCTAGTAATTTATTTGATAGGATTGGCTAATATAAAAAATAATAAAATAGAAATGATTTCGAAATTTCTTATTTATAAAAAAAAGATTCTTTTTTAAATAAATTTCAAAAAATTTTTGATGAAATATTAATAAATTAATAAGTAGTTTATTTGTTTGAGTCCAGTTTTAAGTTGATGAAGGTTTTTGATTAAAAGTGATTGATTGATTGATTATTAATAAGTAGAAATGATATTAAAGAATATTCAACAAAAAGCATAAACATAAACCAAAGAACGAAGGTTAGCTGATTTAATATTATCTTACAAATTAATTACACTTTCTTCTCAATCGCTTTGATTTCTTTGATTTTTTAAACTTTTGAGTTCGTCAACCTTATTTTACTTTTATAATTCTTTAACAGCCTTTTGAATTCTAATTCTTTCTTCAGCTTCTTTTTCCAAAGAGCTTAAATCATCACTTCTAAGTCTGTACATAATAAACATAACAACTCCTCCAAACCATGCTGCATATGCCAAGAAATAGCCAAAATGTTTTAATCTCAAAATTCTGCTTTGCATTCTCAATTCAGGATCTAAACGAAATCTATAAAAATAAGATGAGTAAATTAATAATCAATCTTGGTTGATTTCTATCCTTAAAATAGAATTAATTAATTCTTACTCTTAGAAATATTATTCTCTAGTTGGGATAGGACCACCAAAGTTATTATGAACTCTCTTTTATACTCTATAATATTATAAACAAAAAATAAGTTCTAATTTGTTAGAGTGATAATTGCAAGCTTTGATATTAAATCAATCATTTTTGCTATAATATATAACTAATTAACTAACTAACTAGCTAATAATCCAAATTGATTGTAAAATCTAGTTATTATTTGCTCCCTATATATTTTAATATCTCTTCATTTCCTATTTAAATCATCACCTTTCACCCTTAAAAGTATGAGTACGCTCTACGGATTCATTTGACTTCAAAATCTTTTCGTCAAAATTTTTAATAAACTATTTGATTTTTGAGAACATTTCGTCTGCTTATCTAAATTACAAAGTACAAATAATAATTAATTTCACCTAATTAATCTTTTGATTATAAATTACTAAATTCATTAATTAATTAATTAACTAATCAAAGCAAGGCTCACATTAACACTAACACAGAATTTTCTTAATAGCCATAAAGCAAATTAAATCTAATTTTATAACAATATATATGATGCAAAAGATATCTATCTATCTTTAATTCTAATTCAAAACAATAATTTTAAATAATTAAAAAAATAAAAAGATATTTTGAATCATTTTTAAAGCTAAATAAAGCTTCTTTGTAAAGTTTTAAGATAACTTTCTAAATTAATAGAGAAAGATATTTATTTAAAATATTATTTTAATTTGAATTAAAATCTAAAATAAATAATTTGATATTAAAATCTATCTAATATTTCATATCAATAAATAATAAAGAAGTAGAATTTATGCATTTTTCTAATGTTTTTTGATATTTATTTAATTCAAAGAAGAAAATTTTTTAAATAAAATAATTCTTAAAACATTATATTTTGGATAATTTATTTGATATTCAATAAATTTTTCTTTTTAAAATTATAATTTCAAAAATAATTTTTTTATTGATAATCATATATGGTTTATTTATTGATGATCATACATGATTTATTATTCATTTTTATAGAAATTTTAAAAAAGAAAACAATAAATCAGATTTAAAATAATTTAAAGTATTTTATATTTATTCGTGAAAAGTAGCAAATAATGAAAAATAAATTGATATGATTTAAAGTAGATAAAAAAAATATAAAATTTTATTAAATTGAGATGAATATTGTTTATATTTATTTATTTAAATATAATATTACTTCCTTAATATAAATTACATAAATCACTCATTTAGTAATATTCATTTTTGATAGAAATATTTATTTATATCTTCTTTTATTTACTAAATATTAAATAAGAATTGCACAATATAAAATTAAAGAAATGGATTTCTAATAGCTTTTCAATGAATATTACGTTTATGGCGGTCTCATTCTGGTTGGAATTATGTGGGGCATTACAAATCCTTTGATGGAAATGGGATCTAAAACATAAAATTTAGAATAATTTGACATATCTCTTAAATTCTTTTTATCTATTTTCACAAGAATTGCTTTCCTCCTTCCCTTCATAGTCAACTAACTTGCTTCAGTTTTGTTTAATATTCTTTTAGGAAAAGCTCCTTTAACAACTGCTCAAGCCATAGCTAATAGCTGCTCCTCAGTTGTAACACTTGCAACAGAATCTATTATAAAAAAGAAACCCATAACTATAAAAACAGTATTAGGAATAGCTTTTGTGACATTTGGAATTTACTTATGCGTTACCTCTTAAAATGAAAAAACAAAATGATAAATCAAATAAAGCATATACAATAAATATTCTAACTTAAGACCTCTCTTTTATTAGAAAATTTTCAAATTTAAATGATCTATAAGAAGTTTTATTAGGAAAGGGCTTCATTTTTGGTAGGTTTATCAAAGAATAATTACAGTAATTTAATAAAATGTATTTCTATCTATCTATCAAAATGTGGTTAAGTTAAAATTAAATTTTACAAACTTAGTGAATGAACTAATATGTTTATTTGATTTAATTACATTTTTAAATTTTAAACAATCAGGATAATCTTATATAAAAAAATATATTATTAACAAAGGTAGGATTTAATTTATGAAAAATACATTTAGATTTTAAGATTATTGTATAAATAAATAAATATCATTTAAATCAAAATAAATAAAGATACTTTAATGATTTAGTAATTGAAATAAAAAGAAAAACATTTTTAATTCATATAAATTGTTTAACTTAGATTTTATTTATTTTAGAATCTCTGATAATATTATATATATTCTCAATTAATTTTATTATTTAAGAAGACATTAAACCAATAAACTGTATATGAATTATTATGAACTAAAATAAGTTAATTTATTACATAATTTTATCTTTTCTTTGAATTTTATGTTTATTATTTTAATTTGAATTAAATATGTCATTAAAGTTAACTAATTTAGTTTAAAATAGAATTATTAACTAAACCTATCTCTTTGTTTAGTAAAAAAATTATTATTAAATTATTAATTTTTTACCATCTTTATTTATAAATAAATATTAAAATTTTATATTTTAAATTTAAATTAAATAAGAAGAATATTTTGCACAAATTAATTTTTAAAAATGAACAATAAATATTAAAATAAAAAAGTAAGAAAATATTTTATTGATTATTTAGTATTAAATATGTGTCAATCAATAATTTGACTTTAAAACAGATGAAAAATGAGAGTTGGGGTTATTGATCAATTCTTGATAGGTGCCAGACTCAACAATTGAGCCGTTGCTCATTACATAAATTACATCAAAGTCTTTAAGGTTTTCAAGACGATGAGAGATTAGAATTAAGGTTTTGTCTTTAACAATTTTATTAAGTAAAAGATCAATTATTTTTTTATCAGTTTACGGATCCATGTTAGAGGTAGCCTCATCTAAAATAACAATTTCTTTCTGTTGAATGATTGATTGTAAGAAATTTACTATTTATTTTTCTCCATTAGAAAGGTTTTTTCCTGCCTTTTCTATTTAGAAATCTAGATAGCTGCTTCCTTTTTAGGCTTATTAAATTCTGTCTATTGACAAATTTAGATCATTTATAAAATCTTTAATTTGTTCATCACTGAAGATGCTGAGAGGATCAATATTTTCTCTCAGCTTTCCCTCAAATAAGAATCCGTTCTATGGTATTATACTCTATTTTTAAGATGATATTATAAATAATGATATATAAAAATAATTTATTTACAAATGATTTTCTTGCATCCTTTATCATCAAGTCAGTTAGATTTTTATTTTTAAGGAAAATATTTCCTTTTGTGATTTCATAAAGTCGCACAATGCAGTTAATTATTGAAGTCTTTCCTGATCCAGTTCTATTAGATAATAAAAAGGAATGAGTCAATTAATAAAATTTTGGTTTTGTTAAATAAATATATTCATTATTGATTCAATATTTACCTTCCACAAAAGGCTACTTTTTATCCTTTTTTGATCTTGAATGAAACATTATTGAGTGCATATTGAGTGTTATCCAGATATGAAAGATACACATTTTCAAATTCGATTACATTGTTTTCTCCTTCATCTTTAACTTTTTAAACGGATTATTCTTATTTTACTTCTTTAATTTCGTCACATTCGTTTTTCTCTTCACAAAATTCTCTAACTCTTTAAATAACTTTTTCAGTTTTTTCTATTTATTGAGTTGCTCTTAAACTACTTTGTATCTTAAAAATAATTGTTTTTTTTTAATAATAAAAGAAAAAATATAATTATTTTACAGATCCCATCATTCTATAACTGTAGGCTAGAGCCATACATATGCTTGCAGGTTCAAATGATTTGATGTCATTAGTAATTTAGTAAATTGCAGTAATACAAACAATAGATATCCCTAAATAATCTACAGCCTTACTAAGATAATATGGTAGTATATTTGCCTATTTTAATTAAATTATTCTATTTTTTATTCTTATAAATTCATTTTACTTAATTCAGAGTTCTGTCTCTCGCATATTTGTATTTCTGAATTGCTAAAAAGTTTTTCTTTATAAAATCCTGCTTTGCAAAGGCTCTTATTGTCTTTAATCCACTGTTAAAAAATAGAATTAAATTTTATTTCAAACATTTTAACTTACTTGAATGTTTCTATAATAAATGTAGTCCTGTCATTAACAGGCTTTGCAATATTCTATTTTAGAATCTTGGTGAATTCTTTTTGTCTTCTCTATTCAAAATCTATTATTTGCTTCAACAAAATTACAGATATGAAAACGACTATGTTTATAAAAAATTATTTTTTATAAATTAAAATATAATTTATTATTAAAGCAATTTAATTACTGAATGCCATCAGCTTAAATTCAGAGAGAAGTATGAATATGATCTGAGCTGCATTGAAGAAAACAATAAAGAAATAATTAACGGGTAGACAATCAAGGAATTCTACGTCTCTAAAGAGTCTATCGACTATAAACCCAATGCCTTGCTTGCTGTCTAAGAACTTCATTTTGGAAAACATGGTGCTTTTGAGCAAATCTTTAAAGATTGCATTTGAAGATGTAAGCTCTGCGTAGTTATACATAAAGCTTCTGATGATATTTAAAACGCTTAAAACAATAAAAATTAATCCAAGAGTCTGCTTAAAATCGCCTATGATGAATAGGGGTTTCTAAATTTCATTAACAAGTGATTAGATGAAAGTATGGGACCAGTACTCAAAAAGACCTTGGCAGCCTTAATGCAATATGGTGGAAATTAAAAATATTAAAAGAACATCGAAACCCATTTTCTTAAAGTAAAATAGCCAATTTTTAGAGTTCATGATTTGGATTTGCTCCTTTTCTTTTTTTTTCTTTTCCTTCTCCTTTTCTTCTTACTCTAGCAAACTTTACTCTTCAGCTTAACTTGATGTGTTGTCGTCTTGTTTTTGCTTAACTTCATCACTTTTTGAGTAATTGTGAGTAACATTATAAAGACTTTTGTCTCTTATTTCATAAATTTCGTCAGCAAAGGGTAGGTAACTGTATTAATTTAGCGAAATAATCACTGTCTTCTTTTATTCCTCAATAAGGTAAGCTCTAATTGCCTTATCAAAAATATTTTAAGCTACGTTTTCATCTACTGATGACAAAATATCATCAAACAAGTAAATATCGCTGTTGCTGTATAGCGCTCTGCATAAAGCCAGTCTTTGCTTCTAACCTCCACTCAACTTGCCCCCATTAAATCCAACTCCTTAAATAAAATTGTTTGGTTAAATATTTTCTAAGAAAACATATATATTATTTTACTGTAAAGATCTTTTTCAGGTATTTAGTTGATGTCTTTTTCTAGCTAAGATAATTGCATGCATTTTTCGTAATTTTCTTAGTTAAATTCTTTTCCAAAAAGGATGTTTTCTCTAATGGTTTCATTTTGGAGCCATGTATTCTAGCATGCATAAGCTATAGATCCATTAATTTTAATTGCATTCTGTTTAGCTGAAACTTCTTCCTTATCAATAGCTAATTCATTAAGGATTAAATCAAAAAATGCAGTTTTACCTGCTCCTACTTTTCCTATTATCATAACTAAGCTCCCTTTTTTAAAAGACACATCGACATTTTTTAATGCCAAAGGTAGTTTGTCTTCAGAGATTTTAAAATAATTCTTAAATACTTTGTATGAGAAGTAATAGTTTTAATAAGGCCAAAATGCTTTATTAATCTTGCACTCAATAGCATTTTATGAGTTATTTTCCTTTATTGTTAAATAAACTTTACTCTCTTCTTCTATCTCTATCTAATCCATGTAGTCTTTGAGTCTTTTCAATTAAAATATACTTCCCAACAAAGTGCCAATAGCCCATGGAAGTCCATTAAGAGGACTTACAAATTTATCGAACAAAACAAGGGACTTTTTTAAAAAAATTAAATCTTAAAAAAAGTTAAAAAATAAAATAATTTATTTATTTATTTACAGTGAAAATATTTATTGATCCTAATTTTTTAATATTTTGTAAAGTAACAAAGAGTAAAACAGATTAGGTTATTCTCCTAAAGAAATTAATGAATGTGTCTCCATACTCAATACCTTAAACTTGTTTGAATTCAAGATTCCTTATGTTTTAAACTTTCTTTTCAAAAAAAGATTCCCAACCTAAATATTTGATTTGCTTAAACCCATTAATGATATCTTCGATGAGTTTGAGTCTCTAATCTTCATAGACCCTAAGTTTGAAGACAAAAACTTATATGACTCCAGCTGATAGAATAGCTAATAGACTAACTAAGACAGCAGAAAATAGAGAGTAGATAGCAACTTCTTAAACCTTTTATTTATAAATAACAATAAGAACATCATTAAAAACATGAAAAAATAGTACCATCTAATAAAGGTAGTAAAAGCCGATGAAAAGTTCAACAGTGACTTGTAAAATGTAAAGTAATTCATCTATCGCACAGTCGATTCTTTCGAGTACATGGAGCATATTATGAAAAGTAAGCACTTTTTATTCAGGCACATTTTAAATACTTGAGAGATTGGTGTAGAGTTTCATAGATTTTTTGTAAATGATATTTTACAGGAAGACATTTGTTTCGATTCTAAGTTTTTTACCCATTCTTTCTTTGAAAACATAAACATAATCTGTTAAAATAATAAGTTAATGTTCTTAATCTAATTTTTTAAATTTCAATATATTACCTCTACATACATTGACGCCTACAAGTAGAATCGATAAAACAATTATTAGGTTTACGATTCCCGCTTATGGTCCAATAGTCTAAACTAATAAATACTAAATAAGTTGTAATAGTTTATCATTTTAAGTAAAGTCCTATGTCTGCGCTTTGTAATACTACTTTGTTAGCAAATCTAAAGTGATGGGACCAAGATATTCTAATATCGAATATAAAACAACTACTATGATTAAAAACACTAACTAAGGAATAAATTTGAAAAGTAAGAATCTTCTGCTCTATTGAGCTAAAGGATTTGATTAAATCTCATCAATATACTTAATTATGTTTTTCAAGCTATGGATGCTACCTAAAAAACTCTTTTTAGAACTTTAATCCATTTATAAAACCAAAGATATTTACAAATTAGTTATTATATTAATTAATAATAAATAAATAAATTAATTAACTATTTAATCAAAATATAACACAAGTAACTAACTCACTTTCTATTAAAAATTAAATAGAAAAAATATATCATAAATTTATTCAAAATTATTCCTTATAAGGATTTATCATTCAAATCTATCAGAAAAAAAAAATGAAATATACTTAAAACTTATAATTCATAAAATAAATGAGCTATTTATTCTATCTTTAGTAGTACTCTAAGTGAAATAATGAAGAAAAAGTTTAAACAATATATATATATATATACTAAAGTATAATTATTAATTTTGAAATTCAACCATTTATCATTTAATAACTAAAGTTATTAGGTTTATTCATTTTATTACTAAAATATTTTTAAGATATTTTTCTAATAAATTTTGAAAATATAAAGAAAATATCATTTTTAGATAAATTTTAAATATTAAGTTTTTAAAACTTTAACTATTAACGTGTCATATAGCCCTTGATTTTTGTTTTTATTTCATTAAATCAAACACGTGTGTTTAGTTTTAAATAAAATAACAAACTTCTATTAATGCAAATGTCAGATCTTTCGAGAAAATAACAAAAATTTATTTTACTTTATTTTATTTAAATCAAAAAATATATTGCTTTCTTTGTAAAGGTGAGTAAAAAATAATTTACAAACAACAAATATAAATAAAATTTGATACAATTATATTTTATTTTACTCTAAATAAAAACTAGAAGATATTAAATAAAATTTTAAATCAATAAGGAGCTTTAATAATTAGTCTATTGATAAATAAAATCTTTACTTTTATTTATAAATTAATATAAAATTTGGTTTATTTATTTATTAAATAGAATTTAATTAAAAAATTTATTTCTTTTAAAATTTAGAATTGATAATTTATTTTGTCTAACAAATTGCAAACAAACATAAATATTTATATATAAAGTGATGTTATTTAATAAAATTTAAAAATTGGAGTAATAAAGTAAAGAGTTAATTAGTTTATTTATTTATTTGTTTATTTATTTATTTTTTGTTATTTAAGGTTGAAAAGGTGGATTTTCTTCGTTGAGCAATATCTTGTTTTGTTTGTTGTTAAATAAATTTTTAGGTCTTTGACCTATTTTTTTTGTTTCTGTCACTCGTAGAAAAGGAATAGTCCCTCTTTAGTTATATAAACTAACTTATTTCCAGCCTACCATATGAAGGAAATTTATTCGGAAGGCATTTTTAGTTCTAGTTGAGAGACTATCTTGTTTAGATTCATGTCGTAAATCAGGAGCGACTCTTGGAGCATTATTATAGCAGTTCTGTCATATTTAAAGAGCCATGTATCTTCAAATATGATCATTTGTTTATACTAAAATGGCAGAGATTGTAGCCAATCTTCGAAACTTGGATATGAATTCATGAAGGAGTCATCCTTAGTTGTTAGCAGCTTTTAAATTGCAAATATTTTTACTGCTTGAATGTCATAGTACTGATCTAATTCTGATTTACCATTGAATTTATTCAGATATTCATAGAGATTTGAGTATGTTTTGTAGACTTCATTAGTCTACCAATTAAACAAAGTAAAAGTTTGAAAGCTGCATTCCAACACTATGTAGTTGCTGAATATGTCATAAACATAATGACCTGTAATGTTCAAAGTTCTGATACATTGCTTCTTTCTGAAATTCCAAATTGTGTAGTCTCTGATTTCTAAAAGAAATTCTGATTGTTATTCCATCAAGCAGAGCTAACCACTCTTGATCTTGTCCACACTAAAAACGAAATTTTTTGGTATGATTTTGATAACTTTGAGTCTTTTTTCAATTTCTTTCATTTCTGAGGAGTTTGCTGAAAGAGTGTTTAGGCAAAATTTGGATGAACTGTATTCCTTGCTGATATTATTTTTCTTAGCTAGATTACTTTAAATTAAAGTGCTGAAATCTTTAATTAGAACATAAGTAATAAAGTTGAAGCAGATGTAATAATTTCCAAGGTAAGAAATTTTGTAAAGATAATCTAAGTTATTTTGCATTGAAGGCTAATGTTTGTATGAGTAAATCACATTCTCATCAATCAAATCTATAATGTAAAAATCAGACTCATTGAGGTGATTTCTGAAGTGAATAGCTGCAAATCTGGAGTCAATTCTGCAACAAGTTTTCAACTTCATATATTTCAAATCTTTTTAGATAATTAATGGTTTTTTAAGAACATTCTTAAAAGAGCTATAATCAAATTTGTAGGGATTGAGTTATTGTGCCAATTAATTCATTTGCTTTTAACTTTGATAGAGATGATAGTTGATCATTTCTGTATAAGTAGAACTAAACTAGAAAGAAGCTATCTATTACTAAAAATTAGAATCTACTTAAATCATTGACATGTTGTTTACTGCCTATATTATGTCGTCTTCTTTCCTAGTTATTTATTTATCCTACTCTTTAAATATTTTTAGTGCTGTTTTTTCAAGCTTGAGTCTAAGAGATTCTTCTATTTTCGGTTTCTGCTAACTAAGCATTTAGACATTTATATGATTCATATTTTCAAGAAAAGGTCTCATTAAATCCTTCTAGGAAGTGTAGTAGTTTCTATAGTTTTTGATGTATCTGATACTACCTTGGAGTTCCTTCAATTAATTGCAGTTGTGACTCACTTTTTCGTTAAATGACTAGATTTCTTCAATATTGTGATCCTTGTGATATTATGTCACACATTTTCTGCAAATTCCTTCTCCCATCTGCTAGCATGTTTGTTCTTAGCAAATGAAGGTTACTTCTATTTTGTGCTTTTGACACAACTTCTTCTATACATCCTCCTACTAAACTGTTACCTACCTAATCTACCTTCTTTAACAATTGCCCATTTTTTTAAATATGCTGCTCGTTATCTACCTAAAATAATTTGTTTACAAATTTTTTTATTTGTTTGTATATATGAATCAATCAATGTATGTTAAAAGTGGGATTAGAATTCTTCTAATAAATAAATAAAGAATTCAGCAAATTTAATTAATTAATAATTATTTAAATAAATCTCAAATCTCTCTTTCAATAAACGGGAAAATATTAATTTTTTTTTTTTTAAAGGCTGAAGCACACACCCAATTAAACAAAAAAAAAAGTAAAAAAAACACAAAACCCACCGATTATATTCTAAAAAAAATAACTTTAAATTTTGCAATAATCAGATATTTGAATCTAATCTCTATGTATTTATCTATCTTTTTTTAATTAATTACGAAAGGAAAAATTTATTAATACTTTCATTACTTCAACATGCGATTGATTTATTGATTGATTGATTGATTGAATATGCGAAATAAAGAGTAATAAAAGTGTGTAAATAAATTAGTTTATAAATTAATTTCTTTTATTCTTAAAATTTAAATTTATTTTATTTTATTTGTTTGACAACTTATCCAGCTATATATATATACTTATTTATTTATTGATTTATTTCTTCAATTTAATTGATTAATGAGGGATTTCAACAAAATAATTTGCTCAAATTTTATAATTTCAATCCATTTAGCGAGCGACATGGATTATAAAATTTTGAGTTCTATTTTTTTACTTCTTCTTTCTTTCTTTTAGATTTGAAAAACTCTTTTAATGAGCAATCAAATGAATCTTTAATGACTATTTTTAAAATAATGTTGCATACTATCTTGAATTAATTAATATTCTTAATTTTTTGTTTTATTTTCTTTTGACTGAATCAAAGAGATTAGATAGAATAAAAAACAAGCAAGCTATTTAAGCTATTTATAAAAACAAAAGACTAACATTATAGATTGACCAAAAAAGAAAATTTAAATAGGAAAAAGAAAAAATAAAGAAATTGCTTTTGTTTATATTTCGATAATGGGAAATTTGTTCAGAATTATTTAGCATGAGGAAACGCCTCTGATGATGCCAGACTCTTCATTTGATAATTTAATTAATGCTGACATGCAGCATACTTTAGAATCTATCAAGAAAATTAAAAATGAATCTTAGCCAGTTTGCATGACACATAAAAGATTTGTAGATTAGATTTGCTTATATGAAAGATGCAGGGAAAGCGAGAGATTTATGTGTCCTATTTGCAAGATAAGAAGCCATTAAAATCATGAAGAGCATTTTGTATCAATTTACGATTTTAAAAATGATCTTTTGTAGTACATCAACGAACGTCGTTAAGAAAGAATAACTTTGCTAAACTCTTTCAAAAGGTCCTAAGCAACTATAAAATGTAATAGGTTAAATCAAAGCAATGAATCAAATGCTTCATCAGAATAAAATGTATTAATCAATAGAGCAACTACATCCTCCTTTTCTTCTTCTTCTTCAAATTAGAATGAGTTGTACGATTCTCTTGTTAAATAACTTTAAAAAACAGAAAAACTTTCTGAACAATTCATATTGGAGGGCTTAGTTAATGACATTGATAGTTTGATCAACAAAATAAGAAAATTAAATAAAACCCAATATGAATCCAAAAAAGCAAGCAACGAATTGATTCAATTTAATTAAACCTTTTAGAATATCTTCAAAAACTTTATTTAGAAAAAGAACTTATCTGAAGCAAAAATATTTTGGTCTCAGCATGATTTAATTAATGAAATAAATTGTGGATTGAATGATAATAATTATGAGATGAGTTCTCAAGCTGCTAGTGCGTAGCATCATGAACAATCAAATAGATCTCTTCTATCCAGATAAGTTCTAAGCAAAAAAAATTCAAGGGGATTGCAAACATCTGCATCTTCATATTCAGGTGATAAATGCAATTAAAATTAAGTCAACACCCAAATTAAAAGAAAGTAGAAATAGCAATAGCCGTTCATGTCTCTGATTAAATTTTTTGAAAGTTTTGAACATCGAATTATTGACAAACTATCAAATCAAAAAATATCGCACATTTATCCAATAATTTATCTAAGTTAAAATTACTGCTTAATCATATATTCTACTGGCTTCAGCCTTAACACAATTGGATTGTACGATTTAGTTAACTCCAAACTAGTAAAATCTTAAAGAATCGATTTGAACTAAAGTGGTCTTTAAAATTTTTATGAAATTGGATTATTTTAGTTTTTAGATGATGAATTTTAATAATAACATTATTTTCATCAACACAATACTGAGCAAATAAATTTTATTAACGAGCCTATTATATAAGAATAAATGGAGGAAACAGAAACAGTTGAACAAAGCATTATTTAAATATCAGATGATGATAATTTATCTAATCAATAAAGTGAAGAAGAAGAAATCTAAAGTGAAAGTTAATAACATAGATAAAATAGAAGGAGTTAAGATTCCCAAAGGAGATAATAGTATTATCCCCTAGCTGAAACTAATGAAATGAGAAACAATTATTCACAAAATTAACAAGATAGAATTAATAGATCAGCAGATGGTGAAGAAGAGGAAGAAATATAAATTGGGAGATATCAATTTTAAAATTAAGAATAAATGAATCAAAAAGAAGACAATTCTCCTTCACCTTAACATTAATATTCTAACAACTATGAAATAGATAATCATTATTAGAGAAATGAATATTCTTCCAATGAAGTTATAACAATAAACTCTGTGTCTAGAAAAACAAGCAGCGAAATAAGCTAAGATGATATTGCTGTATTTAGTCCTATTGAGGAAGACACTCGCTAACAAGACGAATATGATAGCGAGTTAGATAATCTCAAAAACATGTTCACTTGTAATAAGGATGATAGCTTAAAAGAGTCTTTTTCATAAAAACATAGAGACTCATTAGAAATTAAAAATCCTTTTGAATAAGATAATAAAAACGACAAAACTCTCTTCAAGCAAAATAATAAAAATGCGTCATAAATTTCAAAATCAATAAATTATTTAGAAACAGAAAACAATTCGGGTTGGAATTCTAATAAAATAAGCAAAAAATATGAAAGCAAACTGAATAAATTTGAAGAGAAACAAAAAACTGTAATCGAAGAATCAGAAGACGAAAGCAACGAAGAATCTAGCCAAAATAATAGTTAATAGAGTTATAAAATAAAAGATAAAAATGTTATAGTTATTTCAGATTCAGAAAGCTCAAATAGCGTGCAAAGCGATGAAGAAGTCAATTATAAACGAGCTAATAAAACAACTAAATAAAATTAATCTGATAAACTGTCTAATAGAAATCAAAAGAAACCTTTATCTAATATAAAAGAAGATTCATTTGAAGATGAAGTGGAAGAAATAGAAGAATTAATTGTAGAAGATGAAGAGTAGGAGGAATAAAGTGCCTAAAACGAATAAAATTAAAACTCAAATAATTACTTTAATTATGAAGAGGAATATAATTAACATTTAAACGATCATGATGAATTTATTCATGAAATGGATTATACAAATGATCATATTTACTAAGAACCCTTTATTGAACTGACTCCTACTTTGAGTCTCCACTATTAGCCAATTTTCTTTAACACTTTAGATTCCAGCGTTGAGTTAAATTTAAAAGCTAATTTCAATTTATTAGTAAGAAACCAACCAAACAGAGTTATTTAAATCGAAAAATCTAATTTAATATTTAAAAAAATAAACTTCCAAGGATATCAAACAAATTCAGATATTCTAGTTAAAGAAAAAACAATCTACACAAAAAATTAAATTAAACAAGTCTTTACAATTAGTCCTCTGATCATATGCGTTTGTGAGAAAAAATCCACATTGATGTTTTTGTTTTCTTCCCAAGATTCTCTAACTTTTTATAATACAAGAACGAAAAAAATGATAAAAAAAATAAATAATTTAGAATTTAACAATGAAAACATAAAGCCACTCAGGATAGGTAAAGGCCATTCTTTTATATGCTTTAAGACATTCAAAAGAAACTCAACTCACCACTTCGTCATTTACAACTGGAAAACAGAAAAAGAAGTTAAGAGGTTTGAATTGAAAGGAGGAGCCACATTTGAAAACATGAGAATTTTCATCGAATTCTACTATCAAATGTACTAAGATTTAGATTTTGACTCCAATAAAGTATGTCTACAAATAGGGGACAAGCTCTTACAAAGTACTAATTTCTAAGAAAACTCCTTGTAATATTGCATTCCTTACTATTGTCAAAACCAGGAAAGAAAATATTATCAACTTGGAATCTGCTATTTGCACAACAAAATGCTCAAATCAATACCATTTAGCATCAAGCATATCAGTCTTGATTAGGGAATATCCTAAATGTTCATCTCAAACGACTAGCTAGTAATTATTTTGAAAAATGGCGAAATTCACCACTGCCATGTCAAAAATCTCCCAGAAAATGTGTAAAAAAGTAACCAAGCATCACCCTAAACAAAGAAAAGCAATTTTATTTTAATAAACTGAGCTAAATGAAAGCATAAATTATGACTAATCAGTGAAACAATCAACCATCAAAAACAAAAAAAATAAATAAACATGCAAATAAAACTACCTTTCGTACAAAATTAATAATAATTATTATGATTACTAATATAAAAAACATGTGAAATAAATTAATAACATCTTTATATACATACTTGTAAAATACTCTTCTTGAATTTTTATAAATCCTTTTTTACTTTTTATTCAAATTATTTTACTATTGCTCATTTTCTCAAAATTTAATCACATTTTTAGCTCTTCTAAAATATTTCTAAAATTCTTTTGAATGATATTATTTATCTGAATTTGATTTAGATATTTTAAGGAAAAATTAGTTTAACAAATTGATTAAACCCACACTTGTGAATTATAAATCAAATTATTTTTATAACATTATAAGCAATTATTTAATTTTGGATAAATAAACCAATTTCTTAGATGAATATTTTTTTGGTAAAATAAAAATATTTCAACTAGCTCAAAAATTTTTCTCAAATTTATTTAAAATTGAATTCAAATTTCGACTAATTTTTATATTTTAAAAGATTGTCTTTAAAAATATTTTCTTTTAATCTAATAATTTATTTAATAAGATTTCAACAATTAAATTATAAACAAAGATTTAAATTTCTTTTTGAATAAAATGCTTTAAATAATTCATAAAATTCTCTCAAATTAAACAAAAAATGAAAAAAATTTAAAATAATTCTTGCTTTTTAAAAGATTGTTTCAAAATATCAACTATCCTGTCAAATATTTTTTTTTTCTCTAGATACTTCTGATAAATAGATATTCTTTTAGAAGAAATTTCTTTGATCAGAATGAATATCAAGACTTATCTTATTTTTTTGATAATCTTCTAAAAGAAATCTTTAAGATGCAAAAAAAACAAACTTTTAATATTAAAAAAATCTACATATTATATTTTTTTATTGATTTGATAATTTTAAGAAATTAAATAGAAAATTAAAACTACAAAATTTTATATGAGTTTTAAAACAAAAATCATTTAAATTTTAGAATAATTTTTCACATTTTTGAGAGAAAATTTAATAGTTTAATTTAGGTTTGTGTTGTTCTGTCAGTTTCTAAAAATAGTTTTGGTAGATTCTTTTACTATTATAATATTATCTAAGTAGGAGATGATAATATTATTATCGATACTTAATTAACAAAATACTAAGATACTTTATTTAAAATAAATATTTAAATTTAGTTGCTGATGCTGACCAAAATCTGATTACTTAAGTTATTGTCTTATCATCCTTGCTGATATACATATATACATACAGATAAATATAAATTTAAATAAGTGTGTTTATGAATAGACTAAAAGTAATTGATAATACAAAAAAAATATGAATGTAAAAGAAATTATTAAAATAAATAATTGAGGAATGGTTAATATGATAATTAATAAAAATGTAAAATTTTCTGCAGAAAAAAAATTTCTGTTGATTACTGGAGTTAATCAAGTTGTATAATATGTAAACAAAATCAAATTATTTATGATATAGGAAACAAATAATTACTCATTTTAAAAGGTGGTAAAAATTAGAAGAACACAATTTTAATTAAAAATCCTCAAAAAGATACGAAAGAGATAGTTTCTATTTAAATTGCAGCAAAAATTGATAGATAACAAAAAGGAACATACAAATTTTAGGACAATTAGGTTCTCTCATAAAAACAATTAAGCAAGCAAGCAAGGAATCAATCTAATAACATAAACTATATTTATTTAGCAAGTTTAAGATTTAAAATGTTGAGAGATAGTTTAGTCTCATCGACAAGCTCTGCTGATGAAGAAAAAATGCTTTAAGATTTATAGCGCAAACAACAAATGAAGATTATTCAAAATAACTTTACTCTACTTATTATTCTGAATATTATAAATTTTCTACTCTTTCTCTTTTCCTTTAGCTTTTACATGTGGTACAACTTGTAAATGGAGTTGACAGAAAGCTCAAGTAATGGAGAAAAAGGATAAAAAACTTAACAGAGAGTTTGGTTAAACATGCTTTATGTATTTGATGAATAGGGTTAAGATGGTTAGCATTATTTAACATTTTAAACATACAAAGACAGCGATATTTTTATTTGCAAGAAATTCACTGATCAATAAGATTTCTGTGAAAATAAAATATCTTAAATGCAACTTATTGGCTACATTTCCTTTGGAGCTTTATTCATCGGAGTTATTTTACAGTGTGTTGATTTATACAGATTAATCAAACTTAGAGCTTCTCATGGCAATAGGTCAGGTATAAAAGCATTTTGGCTCCATCCTACAATTATTATATTCTATATATCTGGATTCTCCCTTTATTTTATAGTCGTGCTTTACAATTAAATAGCCAACTCAGAAATGTCCTTCAACCTGGGAAGCTTTGGAGCTTCGTTTTGGATTGGAATTGCTTCGATTCCTATTTACATTGTCCTTACGATTTATTATCGCAAGACTAAAAATAAACTTAAATCCTCTGAATTAGTTAACAATCTCATTTAAAAAATTGATGTATTTGAGCAAACCCAAAAAGAAAAAAAGAAGATGAATATCAATTCAAATACTGCAAATTAATCAATGTCCAGCAATTAAAAACCAGAACCTCCCTTTTGATTATTTTACTTATTTAAATATTTAATTAACTAATACATTGATTTTTGAATAATTCTATTAAGTAAAACTATATCAATACGCTACATAAATTTTAAATGCTCAACTTAACCCTTGAAAAATGATCACTATTGAAGAAAATGAACTTCTTTCTAACAAGCCTGAAATTAAAATGATAATAAATTTAAGCTAAGACTTTATCCTTTCCAAAAACTAAAAAATAACTACTCAAATTAAAAAAAAAATTGTAAAGAACAGTTCCTTACTGAGTTAATGTTGTTTTATTTAATTTATTACCTCTATTGCTAGCTTAAAACATAATCTCAATAATAATTCTTATAGAGAAGGATATTCTTTTCTAGTTTATTTATATAGCAAAGTTTAATTATTATAAAAATTAAAAAACTGTCTAACATATAAAATTATTTTTATTTATTTATTTTGTATATTTTATTAATCATTCATTATTCATAATTAGCAAACAAATAAACAAATTATTTATTCAATTTAACTAATTATCTTTCAAACCCTTTTATTGTTAAGATAAATATTAACTAAGCAAATAAGCACACACAAAATTAATTTATCAATTAAGTAAATAAGTATATGGCTGCAATGATTATCCAACATGCAATAAAGCTAAAGCTATGATAATTTATATAACTTAATATCTTAGGATTGCCCAAATAAATTTATGAAATATGGAATTAATATATCGTACAATATTTTAATTTCTATATACATAATTGAAAAAGAACTATGATTTCATTTCTATTTATAAATAAATAAATCAAACACAAAAAATAAAATAAAAAAAAAACTTTATTGGATTGAAACTTTTTATTCAGCATATTTTTTAATGAAAACTATAATATAAAATATGAATCTATTTACATTTGCATTTGCATTAATTATTTATTTGAAAAACATTTAAATTTATTAAGTAAATTAAATGAAATATTTTATTTGTATCTATACAAGTACTTATTATTTACTATTTTTAAGGAGTTGAAAAATTCAATTTACAAATTCATCAATTATTTAGACTTGTTTTAATATGTATTTCGTATTTTCACCTTCCAAATGAAAGTATAAACAAAGATCATTGAATTAAATAAGTTTATCCTTATATTCATCATTTAATTCAATTTAATGTTGGTAATTGGGATAGTCAAGAACTTATAAAATTTTTCCTGCTAAATGAATACGAATTTCTACAGTAAAATTAGGGTAATATTTATTTATAATATCCCCTTTAATATACTTGTCTATGCCATCTCCAATTTTGTGTTCAATATTTGTATTATCATACCTAAAATCACATGAAAGCTTTTATTTAAAACCAGCTTCAACATTTAATTTAGACTTTTGTATTAATCCAATACTAAAAGCATGTTTTTTATTATCACTTACTAGCAATTATACTCTAAAAATGTATTTAAGTTCCTTATCTAGCACATTTCTTGAAATACAATTTGTTCCTTTATCTTTAAAACTACCAGTATATTGCTACTAATCTACAAAAATTTCTTAATAAAACTAATTGTCTTTGACAATTTAAATCCTTTAATTCCCATCATTGTAATTTGCTGACTCCATATCAAATTCTTATAAAATATCAGTTGTTTTGCTTCTGCTTACAATATCAAAAACTGGTAAATTTGAAAGAATTTTATCTAAATCAGTTTTACAAAATTAAAAATTATAAGTAAAGGGTAGCAATTTAATCTAATCTGATACACTTACAGTATTATTATTGTTTACTTGTAATTATTATTTCTTTCTTAAAATTTTAATAAAATCTTAAAGAACTTCATCAGATAAATCTTTGAGTAAATCAAAGTCTTCCTGTTATCTAAAAACTGACAAAGTATCTAACTTTTTCATTAATGGATAAAATTCTATCATAATTTCTTTAATGTAAGTTTACATGCTCTCATTTACAAAATTTGTTTTGCTCTCAAAAATTTACAATATCTTTTTGATTCTTTCTGACTGAATAATAGCTGAATTATACCCCTACTTATTTTGCAGCTATGTCAAGTGCGTAACATATTCATCTATTTCTTCTAGTTTAGAGTTATTTATTCCATCAAATTTAATAGGTTGCTTATTCTCTTAAAATATTTTATCGAAACAAACTGTTTCTAAAGATGGATTTATCTTTTCTAGACTTCTTCTTAATGATTCTAAGAACTCTTAAGTACAAAAATTAGATTTGTTTGATACTAGTTGCATTAATTTTTCAGGATTAGTCAATCTTTACATAGATAAGTTACCTCCATTATTATCATTAGTACAATTCTAGCTACTATTGGGAAAGAAATTTATACTATCAATTAGTTGATAAATGGAAAGTTTGATTGCATTCGATTTATCAAAACAAGCTAATTATTCCTTTTAAATGCACTAATCAAGTAAATTTTAAAGCTATTCTGTGTTGGTTTATTTTTATGATTCTACCTATTATATAAATGATCGACACTCCATTTCTTATTTTTAAACTGAATCTGTGTAGTCGCTTTGAATAAGTTTTTTTAGTTTTTCAATTTATGAAATTTCTTGATATTTCTTGAGAATTTAGTCTGTGCCAAAGGGTAAATCAAGAATTTAGTTGATCGCTTTTTTCTAGCAAAAATCTATTCTTCTTATAATTTCATCTTTTAATTCTGTAAAAAAATGATTTATTTGCTGTAAGATTGACTGAGAAGAATCATAATTTGATATTTATTTGTTTAATTTATCTAAAATAGTATAGTCATTTATTGGAGGCCACTTCTGTATGATGCTTGTTTGTGATTCCTCAATGATTTAAGAAATTAAAATATGATTTATTCCTTTAAATTCTAAATCTTAATTGACGCATTCATTACAATAAAATATTTTAGAGCTATCTTAATTGAGCGTCTCGTTAACCTTTAAAAAAGTAATTTGGTTTTTTTTATGTTTAACACAAGTTTAGTTTTAGGAAAAAGTTGAAATATCCATTTATATCAATCAAACAATTGTATTAATCTAAAAGAAAAAAGTATTTTCTGATATTTAATTTATTATTTGGATATTTGATAAAGATATTTTTTTTTTTGATTTAAAATCATCTATTTATTAGAGCTACTTCATTCATTTTACCTAATAAACTTTTTTGATCTTATTAACAAAACATTTGATGTAAAAAACCATTATTTATTTATATTTACTTCTTCTTCCACATAATCAAATAAAAATTAACATTTTCTGATTTCAATCTTGCCCAAAAAAAAAGTATTTTTCATATAAAATCAACAAATAAAGGATGCATCATAGCTTTCAGTGGAGGTATGAAAAGAAATAAATTTAATAGAAATAAATATCCATAGAAATATGTAGATATTAATATTTTTACAAACTCTGCTGATTAAATATATCCAATCAGCGGAATTTTAAAACCAGGAATAGCTATATAAATATTTTAAATAATAGGAAAAAATAGTGTTTTATTCTGATTATTATTTTATTTGAGTAAAAAAAAATACTTTTATTTTTCTTAATAATGGATTAGTATCCACAATTTAATTAAAAGAAAAGTAAAAAATAAAACACTTTTATTTTTAAACAGTTTTGAAAAAAATTATCTATGGAAAATATAGCATACAACAGATCAAACATCAATTAGACTTTATATATTTTATATGTCTTTTAATATGAAATTATATTTTAGTATTTAAATTTTAGTTGCTGTAAGTAAATGGAGATCGAATATTTTTTCTAATAAATAATTCTTTATTTATTTATTTATAAATGATGTTTTGATATCTGCTTATTTATTATTAATTATTACTTGATGTAATGGATAATAATTACAGAAAAAAGATATCATAAATTTAAAATTCAATCAATTTTTGAGATATTAGTATATTTGCGATTAATTATAAGGCAATAATTAGCAGTGATATAAAACATAGTCAGATAGATAGATATCTTATCTTAAATAAGTGTTTTGCTAATTCTTTAAAGAGTAAAATAGAAAGCGAAAAATAAATCTATCATTTAATGATTATATTTCAAAAATTAAGCAGAAAAACATTTTAATGATTTTATTTTAAATATTTTGTTGTTAAATTTACATAAGTATTTCCACATTTTATTATTTAATGATTAATAAAGTATTAATTTATTATTCATAATGCAAAATTAGATTTATTTTCTTACTTCAAGAAATATTTCAAACACAAAAACTTTCTTAACATTCATTAATTTTTTGCTTCGTATTATGATATTTAACCATTAACACCTTTGTTATGATATATTAGCTCTAAATTATCATTTAGTTGTTGTAATAGTTCTTATTTCTACTAACAAATGCTTTAAAAATGAATATACTACAAATGATCAAAGCAGCCCCTTGAAATAGAAAAATTTGAGCTTTTAAATATTTTTGATAGTAAAATAATCGACTATCTAATAAAATAAAAAGAAGTTAACTTAGAGTATTAGTTTTGCTACAAAGAAAGAAATCAGAATTATGAATTTTATGTGAATTTAATTTTGAGATAAAAGCATATTTTATTATAAATTTAAAGAAGAAATAATAGGAAACTTTTATAAAAAAATCAGCTTATCAAATTTAATCTAATACTTTCAAAAGCTTTAAGTGCCAACAAAACAAATTAATAATTCATAATTTATAATTTTTAATAAAATATTAATTTAATAAAAAAAAAAGGAAATCATAAAAAAATGAGTTAATAATAATAATAATCAGGAAAATGTAATTGCTCTTTTTGTAATAGATTTAGGGCTTTTTAGGGAAAAAAAGATGGAGATGAAATAGAGGAATCCAAAGAAAATAAATTTAATTCATTTATCTAAAATTATTAATAATATGAAAAATTAAAAAATTCATAAAATAACCAATAAGATGAAATCTAACAAAATTAAAATGATTAAAATAACCAAAATAATCCCTTAAATGACTAACCATTTAAATTTGAAGCAAATCATAATATAGATAATGATTTATAAATGATTAAAGATTGGATAGGTCAATTTTCTAATTTAAAAGATGTTCAACAATAAAACGAAGCCAGTCATGATTTTATGAAAAATTTTGTGACATAATACCCAACCTCTGATTTATCATTACCAGATATTTCCTTTCATTTCAAATCTGATGGATCATAAGCTATCCTCTTTAGCATTTTCTGTTAACCTGAAATACTATAAAAGTGTGTAGCTAAAAGAAATGATATAGCCAAATTATATTATGACCCAATAGGATTCACTATACTTTTAGTTATTGATCCCAAAATTGCCTATGAGAATTTTGACTAAAAACATTAAGAATTTAATTCTAATGAGATACCTCTGGAGGTTTTTATTTCTAACAAGTTTGAGAATTAATAAAAGATCTTGAAAGAAAAAGGTTTGTAAGCAAAAGCATAAATAAAGTAATTCCCTCTAATCAAAAATTTAAGACTTAGAAGAGATTTAAATGAATTGTTTGAGTGTTTAGATGATCAATTTGAATTTAAATATTCAAATTGCAGCGATCACTGTTTCGCTTACTACACTTAGTCAGATAATTTAAATTAGCTTGAAGGCTTGATCATAGGTCCACAAGACACTCCTTACGAAGGAATACCCTACACTGTTACTATTGTTATACCTGATTAATACCCTATTGAGCCTCCTAAAGTTACTTTCAACCAGTAAATTCTGCATCCAAACATCAGTGAATAAGGAGAAATATGTCTAAATATTCTCTAAGATAAATGGAATACAGTGCTTACCATTTAAAAAGTGCTTGTAAGTATAGTCAGTTTACTTTATGAAAAGAATTTAGATGATGTTTATAATCACTATGCAAAAACCCTATATCAAGAAGATCCTGAAGAATACAAAACCTTAATTAAAAAACAATCCATATTACAAGACAGCCAAAAGCTATTAATTGACTTCAAATAATTGGCAAAAGTACCCATAAATTAATAAAATGGATATGATGAATATGAAACTAATGATTACTATAATAATTATGAAGGATATGATGATGATGATGATAACTAATATATGGATATAGAAGATGAATGAAAAGTGAATGTATTAAAAACAAAGAGTGTATATTTGTTTTTATTATTTTATGTTATCAAAATACAAAGAATTTATTAATTATTTATTGCTTACTTGTTTTTTTAATTTGTTTATTTGTAAAATTTAAAAAGTTAAAATATGTTTTTTATAATTAATTAATCATTTTTTAAACTCTATTGTCTTTCTTTATTTTTTACCAAATAAAATAAATATAAAAATGAAATTAAAAAATTTTAGATCAATTTTTCTCTTTAGATAAATTCTAATTATATTTTAAAAATAATCAATTATAATGTTTATGGTATATTTTTTATTTACTTATTGTGTTTTATGTTTTATTTTTATTTTGAATATCATAATATTGCAAATAATATTTCATATTTTTATCATCTTCTTTATTTTAATTGATTTCTATTCGAATTCAAAAAATTAATTTTTCATAAAAGAATTAAAAAGTAACTCTAAAAGTGTATTCGATCTTCTTAATTTATATTTTTTATCATTATTTATACATCAGAAATATTTGAAGGAAGCACTTAAATCCTTACTTTAATCTTTAAATATTTTAAATAATAGGAAAAAATAGTGTTTTATTATGATTATTATTTTATTTGAATTTAAAAAAATACTTTTATTTTTCTTAATAATGAAATAGTTTTCACAATTTAATTAAAAGAAAGTAAAAAATAAAACACTTTTATTTTTGAACAGTTTGGAAAAAAAATTATCTTTGGAATAGATAGCATATAACAGATCAAACATATCAATTAGACTTTAAATTAAATTTATTATATATGTCTTTTAATATGAAATTAGATTTTATTTAAATTTTTTTAGTTTCAGTAAGTAAGTAAATGCAGATAAAATATTTTTTTGAATAAATAATTCTTTATTTATTTAAAAATGATTTTTGATATATGCTTATTTATTATTAGTTATTACTTGATGTAATGCATGTTAATTACTGAAAAAAGAGACTATAAATTTATAATTCAATCTACTTTTGAGATATTAGTATATTTGCAATTAATTATAATGCGATAATTAGTTGTGATATAAAACATAGTCAAAAAGATAGATATATATCTTATCTTAAATAAGTGTTTTGCTAATTCTTTAAAGAGTTAATATAGAAAGCGAAAAATAAATCTATTATTTAATGATTATATTTCAAAAATTAAGCTGAAAGACATTTTAATGATTTTATTTTAAATATTTTGTTGTTAAATTTACACGAGTATTTACTCATTTTTTTATTTATTGATTAATAAAGTATTGATTTAATATTCATAATGCAAAATTAGATGTATTTTCTTACTTCAAGAAATATTTTAAACACAAAAACTTTGTTAGTAATACTTTTGTTTTGGGTAGTATTATGATATTTAATCATTAACACCTTTATTATGGTATATTAGTTGTAAATTATCATTTAATCCTTTTAATACTTCTTATTTCTACTAACATACGCTTTAAAAATGAATTTGCTACAAATGATCAAAGTAGCAACCCCTTTAAATATAAAAATTTGAGCTTTTAATATTTTTGATAGTAAAATAATCGACTATCTCATAAAATAAAAAGAAGTTAACTTAGAGTATTAGTTTTGCTACAAAGAGAGAAAGAAATCAGGACTTTGAATTTTATGTGAATTTAATTTTTGAGATAAAAGTAATGTATTTATTTTATTACAAATTTAAAGTAGAAATAATAGGAAACTTTAGGGGGAGGGTGAAATCCAGAACGCCATTATATTGATTTGGTATTAAATATCATAGATAAAATACCATATTTCCACTCCTACCTTTATGCTTCGTTCTGGATTTCACCCTCCCGAAACTTTTATAAAAAATCAGCTAAGCAAATTTTATTTAATACTTTCAAAAGCTTTAAGTGCCAAAACAAATTGATAATTGATAATTTATAATTTTTAATAAAATAGTAAATTAATAAAAATAATAAAGGAAATCATAAAAATGAGTTAATAATAATACAAAGGAAAATGTAATTGCTCTTATTGCTCAAGATTTAGGTCAGTGTAGGAAAAAAAAGATGGAGATGAAATAGAGGAATCCAAAGAAAATAAATTTCCTTCATATATCTAAAATTATTAATAAAATGAAAAATTAAAAAGTTCATAAGTATAACAAGATGAAAATGACCAAAATTAAAATGTTTAAAATAACCAATAAGTAGAAATCTAACAAAATTAAAATGATTAAAATAACCAAAATAATCCCTAATATGATTAACCAGTTAAATTTGAAGCATATAATAATATAGATAATGATTTATAAATGATTAAAGATTGGATAGGTCAATTTTCTAATTTAAAAGCTGTTCAACGATAAAACAATGTCAATCATGATTTTATGCAAAATTTTGTGACATAATACCCTACCTCTGATTTATCATTACCAGATATTTCCTTTCATTTCAAACCTGATGGATCATAAGCTATCCTCTTTAGCATTTTCTGTAAACCTGAAATACTATAAAAGTGTGTAGCTAAAAGAAATGATATAGCGGAATTATTTTATGACTCAATAGGTTTCACTATACTTTTAGTTATTAAGCCTAAAATTGACTATTAGAATTTTGACTAAAAACATTAAGAATTTAATTCTAATGAGATACCTCTGGAGGTTTTTATTTCTAACAAGTTTGAGAATTAATAAAAGATCTTGAACAAAATAGGTTTGTAAACAAAACGATAAATCAAGGTATTCCCTCTAATCAAAAATTTGAGACTTAGAAGAGATTTAAATGAATTATTTGAGTGTTTAGATGATAAATTTGAATTTAACTATTCAAATTGCAGCGATCACTGTTTCGCTTACTACACTTAGTCAAACAATTTAAATTAGCTCCAAGGCTTAATCATAGGTCCACAAGACACTCCTTATGAAGGAATACCCTACACTGTTACTATTGTTATACCTGATTAATACCCTATTAGCCTCCTAAAGTTACTTTCAACCAGTAAATTCTGCATCCAAACATCAGTGAATAAGGAGAAATATGTCTAAATATTCTCTAAGATAAATGGAGTACAGTGCTTACCATTTAAAAAGTGCTTGTAAGTATAGTCAGTTTACTTTATGAAAAGAATTTAGATGATGTTTATAATCACTATGCAAAAACCCTATATCAAGAAGATCCTGAAGAATACAAAACCTTAATTAAAAAACAATCCATATTGCAAAACAGCCAAAAACTATTAATTGACTTCAAATAATTGGCAAAAGTACCCTTAAATTAATAAGATGAATATGAAACTAATGATGGCTATAATAATTATGAAGGATATGATGACGATAACGTATATATGGATGATGTAGAAGATGAATGAATAGTGAATGTATTAAAAACAAAGAGTGTATATTTGTTTTTATTATTTTATGTTATCAAAATACAAAGAATTTATTAATTATTTATTACTTACTTGTTTTTTTAATTTGTTTATTTATAAAACTTAAAAAGTTAAAATATGTTTTTTATAATTAATTAATCATTTTTTCAACTCTATTGTCTTTGTTTATTTTTATCAAACAAAATAAATATAAAAATGAAATTAAAAAATTATAGATTCCAAAATAAGCTTTGGAACAGACTATAAATGCAATTTAATATTTTGAATAAATGATAATTAAGGAAAGGTTTTATATTATTAAATCAAACATACAATTTTTTTTATCTCTACATTATATTTATAAAACATATATGAAGTCTTATTACTATTTTTTAAAAATATATAAATAAATAAAAAAATAAATAAATATATTTTTTTCTCTTAGCTAAATTCTAATTATATTTTAAAAATAATCAATTAATGATTATGATATATTTTTTATTTACTTATTGTGTTGTCTATCTTATTTTTATTTTGAATATCACAAAATTTCAAATAATATTTCACACTGTTATCATCGTATTTATTTTAATTGAACTCTATTCGAATTCAAAAAAAATAATATTTTATATTTTTATCATCTTCTTTATTTTATTTGATTTATATTCGAATTCAAAAAATTAATTTTACATAAAAGAATTAAAAAGTAGTAACTCTAAAAGTGTATTCGATCTTCTTAATTTATATTTATTATGATTATTTATACATCAGAAATATTTGAAGGAAGCACTTAAATCCTTACTTTAATCTTTAAATTTTAAATAATAGGAAAAAATAGTGTTTTATTATGATTATTATTTTATTTGAATTTAAAAAAATACTTTTATTTTTCTTAATAATGAAATAGTTTTCACAATTTAATTAAAAGAAAGTAAAAAATAAAACACTTTTATTTTTGAATAGTTTGGAAAAAAAATTATCTTTGGAATAGATAGCATACAACAGATCAAACATATCAATTAGACTTTAAATTAAATTTTGGGTCGTATTATGATATTTAATCATTAACACCTTTATTATGATATATTAGTTCTAAATTATCATTTAATCCTTTTAATACTTCTTATTTCTACTAACATACGCTTTAAAAATGAATATACTATAAATGATCAAAGCAGCAACCCCTTGAAATAAAAAAATTTGAGCTTTTAAACTCATAAAATAAAAAGAAGTTAACTTGGAGTATTAGTTTTGTTACAATTAGAGAAAGAAATCATGGCTATGAATTTTATGTGAATTTAATATTTGTGATAAAAGTATTTTATTTTATTACAAATTTAAAGAAGAAATAATAGGAAACCTTTATAAAAAAATCAGCTAAGCAAATTTTATTTGATACTTTCAAAAGCTTTAAGTGCCAACAAAACAAATTGATAATTAATAATTTTTTAATTAAATAATAATTAAATAAAAAAAAAAGGAAATCATAAAAAAATGAGTCAATAATAATAATATAAAGGAAAATGTAATTGCCCTTTTTGCTCTAGATTTAATAAAATGTAGGGAGAAATAAACAGAGATGAAATAGAGGAATCTAAAGAAAATTAATCTAATTCATATTCCTAAAATTATTAATAATATGAAAAATTAAAAAGTTCATAAGTATAACAAGATGAAAATGACCAAAATTAATATGTTTAAAATAACCAATAATATGAAATCTAACAAAATTAAAATGATTAAAATAACCAAAATAATCCCTTATATGACTAACCATTTAAATTTGAAGTAAATCATAATATAGATAATGATTTATAAATGATTAAAGATTGGATAGGTCAATTTTCTAATTTAAAAGATGTTCAACAATAAAACGAAGCCAGTCATGATTTTATGCAAAATTTTGTGACATAATACCCTACCTCTGATTTATCATTACCAGATATTTCCTTTCATTTCAAACCTGATGGATCATAAGCTATCCTCTTTAGCATTTTCTGTTAACCTGAAATACTATAAAAGTGTGTAGCTAAAAGAAATGATATAGCGGAATTATTTTATGACTCAATAGGTTTCACTATACTTTTAGTTATTAAGCCTAAAATTGACTATAAGAATTTTGACTAAAAACATTAAGAATTTAATTCTAATGAGATACCTCTGGAGGTTTTTATTTCTAACAAGTTTGAGAGTTAATAAAAGATCTTATACAAAATAGGCTTGTAAGCAAAAAGGTAAATAAAGGTATTCCCTCAAATCTAAAATTTAAGACTTAGAAGAGATTTAAATGAATTGTTTGAGTGTTTAGATGATAAATTTGAATTTAACTATTCTAATTGCAGTGATCACTGTTTCGCTTACTACACTTAGTCAGATAATTTAAATTAGCTTGAAGGCTTGATCATAGGTCCACAAGACACTCCTTACGAAGGAATACCCTACACTGTTACTATTTAAATACCTGATTAATACCCTATTGAGCCTCCCAAAGTTACTTTCAACTAGTAAATTCTGCATCCAAACATCAGTGAATAAGGAGAAATATGTCTAAATATTCTCTAAGATAAATGGAGTACAGTGCTTACCATTTAAAAAGTGCTTGTAAGTATAGTCAGTTTACTTTATGAAAAGAATTTAGATGATGTTTATAATCACTATGCAAAAACCCTATATCAAGAAGATCCTGAAGAATACAAAACTTTAATTAAAAAATAATCCATATTGCAAGATAGCCAAAAGCTAAAAATTGACTTCAAATAATTGGCAAAAGTACCCATAAATGAATAAAATGGATATGATGAATATGAAAATAACGATGGCTATAATACTTATGAAGGATATGATGATGATGATTACTAATATATGGATATAGAAGATGAATGAAAAGTGAATGTATTAAAAATAAAGAGTGTATATTTGTTTTTATTATTTTATGTTATCAAAAAATAAGTAGCTTATTAATTATTAATTACTTGTTTTTTTTAATTTATAAAGTAGTAAAACTTAAAAGTTAAAATATGTTTTTTATTAATTAATTATTTTTTATAACTATGTTGTCTTACTTTATTAAAGTTTATTTAAATAATAAACTATGCAAACCTTAGTGTTTTTTTTATTTTTTAAATTTGTTTAGGTATAGTAAGATACCTTTCAAAAATTCGGTGAAAATATTTTTTTTTCTTAATTATATTTTGAAAATAATCAATTAAAATATTTATGGTGTATTTATTTTTTATTTACTTAATGTGTTGTCTTATCTTTATTTTGAGTATCATAATATTGCAAATAATATTGTTATCATAGTCTTTATTTTAATCAAGCTCTACTCAAATTCAAAGCAAATAATATTTCATATTTTTATCATCTGCCTTATTTTAATTGAACTCTATTCGTATTCAAAAAATTAATATTACATAAAAGAATTAAAAAGTAATTCTAAAAATTTATTCTTTCTTTTTAATTTATATCTTTTATCATTATTTAAACATCAGAAATATGTGAAGGAAGCACTTAAAGTCTTACTTTAATCTATCAGTATTTTAAATAATAGGAAAAAAAGTGTTAAATTCTGATTATTATTTCATTTGAATTAAAAAAATACTTTTATTTTTCTTAATGATGAAATAGTTTACACAATTTAATTATTAATTAATTATTACTTTATGTAATGGATATTAATTACGGAAAAAAAGATCATAAATTAAAAATTCAATCTACTTTTGAGATATTTATTAGTCAGTATATTTGATATTAATTAAAGACGAGCGATATAAAGAATAGTAAGATAGAGATCTTATCTTAAATAAATGTTTTGCAAATTCTTTAAAGAGTTAATATAGAAAGCCAAAAATAAATCTATCATTTAATAAATATATTTCAAAAATTATGCATAAAAACATTTTAATTATTTTATTTTAAATATTTTGTTGCTAAATTTACACAACTATTTACACATTTTATTATTTCATGGCTAATATAGTTTTTATTATCCATAATGTAAAATTAGATTTATTCTCTTGCTTTAAGAAATATTTAAACACAAAAACTTTGTTAACATTACTTTTTTGGGTCGTATTATGTATGATATTTAATCAATAAAACCTTTATTATGATATATTAGTAGTAAATTATTATTTAGTTCTTGAAATAGTTCTTATTTCTACTAACAAATGTTTCAAAAATGAATATGTTACAAATCAAAGCAGCAACCCCTTGAAATAGAAAAATTTGAGCTTTTCAATATTTTTGATAGTAAAATAATCAGCTATCTTACAAAATAAAAAAGATTTAACTTGGAGTATTAGTTAGTTTTTCTGCATAGAGAGAAAACAGGACTATGAATTTTATGTGAATTTAATTTTTGAGATAAAAGTAATGTATTTATTTTATTACAAATTTAAAGAAGATATAATAGGAAACTTTTATAAAATTATCAGCTAAAAAATTTTATTTGATACTTTCAAAAGCTTTAAGTGCCAACAAAACAAATTTATAATTTATAATTTTTAATAAAATAGTAATTTAATAAAAAAAAAAGGAAATCATAAAAAAATGAGTTAATAATAATAATAATACAAAGGAAAATGTAATTGCTCATTTTGCAATAAATTTAGTGAAATGGAGGGAGAAAAAAATGGAGATGAAATAGAGGAATGCAAAGAAAATTAATCTGATTCATCTTACTAAAATGACTAATAATATGAAGATTTAAAATTTAATTACATATAAGATGAAAATGAACAAAGTTATAATGATTTAAATGACCAATAAGATGATGAAATTGAATAAAATTAAAATGATTAAAATGACCGATAAGATGATGAAATCGAACAAAATTAAAATGATTAAAATGACCAATAAGATGATGAAATTGAACAAAATTAAATTTATTTAGATGACCAATGGGATGATGAAATTGAACAAAATTAAAATGATTTAAATGACCAATAAGATGATGAAATTGAACAAAATTAAATTAATTTAAATAACCAATAAGATGATGAAATTGAACAAAATTAAAATGATTAAAATGACCAATAAGATGATGAAATTGAACAAAATTAAATTAATTTAAATAACCAATAAGATGATGAAATTGAACAAAATTAAAATGATTAAAATGACCAATAAGATGAAGAAAATAAGCTAAATAGTCCCTAACATGGCTAGCCATTCAAAGATGAAGCGAATCATTATTTAGAAAGCGATTCATAAATGATTCAAGATTGTATAGGTCAATTTTCTAATTTAAAAGCTGTTCAACGATAAAACAAAGTCAATCGTGATTTTATGGAAAATTTTGTGACTTAATACCCAACCTCTGATTTATCATTACCAGATATTTCCTTTCATTTCAAACCTGATGGATCATAAGCTATCCTCTTTTACATTTTCTGTTAACCTGAAATACTATAAAAGTGTGTAGCTAAAAGAAATGATATAGCGGAATTATATTATGACTCAAAAGGATTCACTATACTTTTAGTTATTAATCCCAAAATTTACTATGAGAATTATGAATAAAAGTATTAAGAATTTAATTCTAATGAGATACCTCTGGAGGTTTTTATTTCTAACAAATTTGAGAATTAATAAAAGATCTTGAACAAAATAGGTTTGTAAACAAAAGGATAAATAAAGGTATTCCCTCTAATCAAAAATTTAAGACTTAGAGGAGATTTGTATGAATTGTTTGAGTGTTTAAATGATCAATTTGAATTTAATTATTTAAATTGTAGTGATCACTGTTTCGCTTACTACACTTAGTCAGATAATTTAAATTAGCTTGAAGGCTTGATCATAGGTCCAAAAGACACTCCTTACGAAGGAATACCCTACACTGTTACTATTGTTATACCTGAAGATTACCCTACTGAGCCTCCCAAAGTTACTTTCAACTAGTAAATTCTGCATCCAAACATCAGTGAATCAGGAGAAATATGTCTAAATATTCTCTAAGATAAATGGAGTACAGTGCTTACCATTTAAAAAGTACTTGTAAGTATAGTCAGTTTACTTTATGAAAAGAATTTAGATGATGTTTATAATCACTATGCAAAAACCCTATATAAAGAAGATCCTGAAGGATTCAAAACCTTAATTAAAAAACAATCCATATTACAAGACAGCCAAAAGCTAAAAATTGACTTCAAATAATTAGCAAAAGTACCCATAAATGAATATAATGGATATAATGAATATGAAATTAATGAGGAATATTATAATTATGATGACGCTAACGATTATATGGATGTAGAAGATGAATGAAAAGTGAATGTATTAAAAACAAAAAGAGTATATTTTTATTATTTTATGTTATCAAAAAACAAAGAATTTATTAATTATTATTTATTGCTTACTTGTTTTTTTAATTTGTTTATTGAAAAAAAATTTAAAAAGTTAAAATATGTTTTTTATAATTAATTAATTAATCATTTTTAAAAACTCTATTGTCTTTCTTTCTTTTTTACCAAACAAAATAAATATAAAAATGAAATTAAAAAATTTAGATACCAAAATAAGCTTTGGAACAGCCTATAAATGCGCTTTAATATTTTTAATTAATGCTAACTCAAGAAAGGTTTTATATTATTAAATCATAAACATACAAATTTTTTTTACCTGGATAATATATTAATAAAATTCCTATGAAGTCTTTTTACTATTTTTTAAAAATATATAAATAAATAAATAAATAAAAATATCTCAAAAAAATATTATTAATGAAAATATTTGATCAATCCAAAATTTTCAACAAAAAAGGTAAATAAATCACTAAAATTTATAATCTTACCCTCTCTCAATTCATGTTACTTCCTTCATTACTAACAATTTGGTCTTGACCCACTGCAGAAATTATAACAACTTTAACCATAATTTCAAACAAGAAACTTTATAGTTTCAATCAGGTTCTTCTCAACTTTAACGAAAAATACTCTAACTTCACCATAGCTTCTACTTCTCTCAAAGCCATTGATCTATCTTATCCCCTGTAGAGGCTATCGTTTTTCTAAAAAGACTGAATTTGGTCCTTATCATTTGATAATACAATTAACAATCAATTAAAAAATGAATTCAATCTTTTAATATATGTTTTTCTATATTATTTATACTTAAAAAATATGGGAAGGATGCACGAAGAACCTCATTTTAATCTACAAATATTTTAAATAATACAAAAAATAGTTTTTTTATTCATAATTTTTACTTTACTTGAAAGGAAAATAAAATACTTTTATTATTCTTAATAGTTTAATAGTGAAAGAGTTTTCATAATTTAATTAAAAAAAAATAAAAGACTTTTACTTTTGAACAATTTGGAAAAAAATTGATTCATGGAATAGATAATATACAAATCAAAATTATAAATTCGACTTTAGATATTTTATATTTCCTTTAGCAGCTTTTTAATATGAGATTCTATTTTAGTATTTAGAGTGTTTTAATTTATTTTATAGCTTCAGTAAATTGAGGTGTGTGTCATTTTATTTTGAATGAAAAATTCTTTATTTATAAAATATTTTTGATAGAAGATTATTTAATAATAAATTATTACTCTATTTTATGGATATTAATTAGTTAAGGGAAAAACTTATAATAAATAAATTTCAATCTACTGCAAAGATATTAATTAGTAAATTTGCAATTAATTAAAAGGATATATTAGTATATTTGAAATTAATTATAATGAGATAATTAATTATGTAACAAAAATAATCAGATAGATATCTTTTTAGATATATTATTAATGAAATATTTTGCAAATTATTTAAAGAGTTGATGTAGAAAGTCAAAAATAAACTCATCATTTAATTATTATGTTTCAAAAAATTAAGCATAAAAATATTTTAAGGAATTTCTTTTAAATGTTTTTTTGTTTAATATACACAAATATATATTTACTCGTTTTATTAGTTAAACATCTAATATAGTATCTACTTTTCATAATGCAAAATTAGTTTTATTTTCTTGATTCAAGAAATGTTTTATACTCTAAAATTTTGGTAGCATTACTTTATTGAGTGGTATTATGGTATCCCATCATTTAAACCTTTATTATGATATATTACTTGTAAATCATCATTAGGATCTTTTAATATTTCTTACTTCTACTAATAAATGCTTTAAAAATAAATAACCTAAAAATGATCAAAGCAGCTACCCTTTGAAATACAAAAATGTGTAAGCTTTTAAATATTTAAAAAATAAAATAATCATCAATCTCAAAAGGAAAAAATGTTAGCTTAGAGTACTATTTCAACTACATAAATATAGAGATAATCAGGGCTATGAATTTTTTTTGTATTTAATATTTGAGAAAAGAAAAAATTATTTTATAATAAAAAGATATCTTAATAATTTCTAAAAAAGTGAGGTTGAGATAGATGAAGTTTTATAAAAGAGATATTATAAAATAATTCAGCTAAAAAAATTAATTATTTTATACTTACCACAGTCTTAAATACCAAAAAAATAAATTGATAATTTATAATATTTAATTAAATATTAATTTAATCAAAAAAGTAAAAAAAGTAAATTAAAAAATGAGTGAATAAAAATAAGAAATATGCATTTGCTCTTTTTGCAAAAAATTTCAGTTTATGGAAAAATAAAATGGGGAAAATTAAATAGAAGAATAGAAAGAAAATTAACAAAATTCATATGATTAAAACTACCAATAAGTTAATTCCTTTAATCAGTAATCATTTTAATTAAATAAAGAAGACTTTACATATGACAGCGATTTATAAATGATTGAAGATTGGATAAATCAATTTGATAATTTAAAAGCTGTTCAACGATAAAACAAAGTCAATCATGATTTTATGAAAAATTTTGTGACTTAATACCCAACCTCTGATTTATCATTACCAGATATTTCCTTTCATTTCAAACCTGATGGATCATAAGCTATCCTCTTTAGCATTTTCTGTAAACCTGAAATACTATATAAATGTGTAGCTAAAAGAAATGATATAGCCAAATTATATTATGACTCAAAAGGATTCGCTATTCTTTTAGTTATTAATCCCAAAATTTACTATGAGAATTATGAATAAAAGTATTAAGAATTTAATTCGAATGAGATACCTTTGGAGGCTTTTATTTATAGCAAGTTTGAGAGTTAATAAAAGATCTTTAACAAATTTGGCTTGTAAGTAAAAAGATAAATCAATATATATCCTCTAATCAAAAATTTAAGACTTAGAAAAGATTTATATGAATTGTTTGAGTGTTTAGATGATCAATTTGAATTTAATTATTCAAATTGCAGTGACCACTGTTTCGCTTACTACACTTAGTCAGATAATTTAAATTAGCTTGAAGGCTTAATAATAGGTCCACAAGACACTCCTTACGAAGGAATACCCTACACTGTTACTATTATTATACCTGAAGATTACCCTATTGAGCCTCCCAAAGTTACTTTCAACTAGTAAATTCTGCATCCAAACATCAGTGAATAAGGAGAAATATGTCTAAATATTCTCTAAGATAAATGGAGTACAGTGCTTACCATTTAAAAAGTACTTGTAAGTATAGTCAGTTTACTTTATGAAAAGAATTTAGATGATGTTTATAATCACTATGCAAAAACCCTATATCAAGAAGATCCTGAAGGATACAGAAACTTAATTAGAAAATAATCCATATTACAAGACTGTCAAAAGCTAAAAATTGATTACAAAAAACTGCTAAAAGTACCCTAAAAATTATAAAAGGTTAATGGTGAATATGATGATGATTATAATGAATAAAATAATTATGATGAATATGATGAATAATTAATATATAATATTGGTTTTTGATTTTTTTAATTTAAATATGCATACCATTTCATATATAAATAAAATTTTTAATTTATAATATAATAATATATATGGTTAATTATTTTAAAATAAAAATTAATTATTAAATAATCAAAAAATTTCCAAATTCTTTTTTCTAAAAATCTAAAATAAAAAAATTGAATATTTTATTTTAAAAAAATGAATTAATATGATTATTAATTAATCAAAACTATTATTCAAATTTTTATTGTAAAAAGATAGTACTAATAAATGAAAGTCTTTCCAAAAAATGAATAGTGATACCATCTATATCACTAGATTTAAGAAATAATCTGGGCTCTATTAAAGCTAATTTAGAAAATATTTTATTAAGAAAAATCATACTTAACTAAATTATATATTATATATAAAATCTGTATTAATATATTATGAATACTTATTTACCTTAAATCAAAAATTTTCTAAGATTTAAAATTGAATTTATTAATTAATTAATTTATTATTATTTATTTAAAAATTACAAATTAAAAATATAAAAAATAAAAAACACATCAAATCAATGGTATTTATTTATCTTCTGTACTTTCTTAATCTTAATTTGGATTTTATATATTTTATTATGAGTTTTGCTTTTCTTCTATTTATGGTTGTGATTGCTAATCTATTTATTCTGCTATTCCTTCTTTCTCTTCTGAAGATTTTTATTGATTGACATTTATTTCTTGATTGGAATTTAGCTCATTTTAAGATGATTAATTATTTGAGTCAACTGTTTTATTATCATCTGTATTCATTTTGCATGAATCGATTACATTATTGTTTTCGTTCAAATTTTACTATGAGTAGAATTTGGGCGATATTTACAGCTTTTCTTGCTATAGCTATTATAATTGCTATGATTGTTATGAAGCTTAGGGACTGTAAGGAATGTTGAAAATTTAGTGGAAGCTAACTTAAATATTATATTTCTGGCAAATTTAGTTACACTTTTAAACTGATAAACTATCCTCTAATAAATAAAGAAAATAATATATTTAATTAATAATTTAACTATTTAAAATAATTTATTTACGTTTCAAGATGCCTTCATTGCTTAAATGTGTAAATATTTCTGTAATTTTGCTTTTTATTACTGTACATATTTAATTGAGCTAGTTTTCTGCTGAAAATTTATGTATTTCAGCAAGATTAACTATAAATGGATTAAGGAATATTTCATTAAATCTTTCTTTATTAATCCAGTTTAGGAATAGGCTTGACAAAATATTGATGTAATCCCTAAGAATTTGGTCGTTTTTGAATAATAAAATTTTATTCTAGCAAAGTCTTATCTAAAATTTATTTAAAAAATAAAATAAAAATAATTTTTAAAAATAAATTACACAATCGTATATCTGTCTGAAAAGTTCATCACTAACATATTTGTATCTAATTTGAACTATTGTTCTTTGAATCATTTTGATAATTTATTCTACAGTAGACTAACTCCAGTCTTTTACACATAAAATAAGGCTTAAAAGAGCTTACAACAAAGTGGCATTAAGCTCTCCTTTTATTTTATGAATAAGTTAAAATTTTAAATTAAATTTATAAAATTGTGTTTAATTTTACTATCGAATGCTTTAATTTAGTTTGATCTTGCTCCTTCTGAAATAATTAGTCCTTGTAAAAGATTTAAAGCGTATATTTCAGCATCAAGAACTTTGAAAATCTTTGATTTAAGATAGTTTTCAAAGAGTTTCATTGTTTGGATTAAAACCTAAACATATTCTTCATCATCACTTATATTATTTAATTGGTAAGCGAAATTTCCTATTGAATCTTTAAGAGTGACGCAATTAGTAATGACTTCCTACTTTTCTAAATTTTTTCCATTGAGAACTTCTTGTATTTTATCAAACATCTTTAAAGCCTACAAATAAGATCCTTTACGACTATATAAATAAAAAATATTGTTAGTTGTATATTATTAATAAAATTAAATCTGCTATAAAATTACCATTCAAAAAGTTAGTTAGAAGCTATGTAAGTGTTCAACTAAACATTGAATTCTTCGAGGAGTTGTAAAGAGCAATTATCAAGATAGTTCAATCCTTCCTATAAGCAGTCATCATATGAATTAAACTTATCACATAAATGCATGTGATTCATGCATAGCTCTAATAAGCAGAATTTGCTAAAACTGTGTAAAAAAGTTTTCTTTTTCTTTTTGAGAATTGACATTTCGTTCAAAGTGAAAATTAAAGATTTCAAATTTTCATTATCAATCTAGAAAAGGAGTGGATCTTTTTTATCAACCTTATCACGACTAAATCCAAGCTTTAATAAAATGCATATTTTTTCCCATACTTTTTCCACTCTGTCCTGGTTTTTCTTCATAATCTAGATACATATATCAATTAAATGAGCAAAAGTGTGAGTTCTTTAGGAAAATTAGGCAATGCTATAACCATTAAATTCATTCAAAATACTATTAATAAGATCTTCATATTCTTTATCATCTAATAATCTATTAATTCGGTTATTTAAATTTAATAAAATATTATTCAAATAATTAATTCTATTTATTAAGATGAATTTTATCTTAATTAATTAATGATTGATTGATTGCCTTAGCTTGAAAAAATTATTTAATTTTATTGTTTGAATGAATGAATAAATGCCAATTTAAGAGTAATTTACAGTGTTTAAGATAATATCTCAGAAGTTAAATTTTCATTTTTGAATCTCTTAGCATAAATGGAAGAAATATCGTATGGAACTCTCTATTACAAAGAAACAATACTTTTTTCTTCTTATTCATCGTCAGATTGCTCTTCTTAGACCAAAAAGTTAGAGAATATATCTAAAATTGAGCGACTGTTATGTTTATTCTAGTTATAAAAGTCATTTGATTCTCTTATTTTTTTCATCAAAAGATTGCATCTTTGAGCAAGGGAGTCTCTAATCAAACTAGACCTAATCTTAGTTGTTTTAGTTAGTAATTTTATTGCCTAAGGTCTCTAAACTTTAATATGTGCAAAAGCTTTTTTTAACATTAAAAAGCAACAAAACAAGTATTATATTGATTTTTCATCCTGCTCGCCAATATTTTCTACTTTAGCATTTATATAGAAATTCTATTTACCAATAAATTAATAAAAAAATAAGTAAATAAATTATATTTATAAGACAAAAAAATTTAGAATTTTAAATAATTAAATAGGTTTTTTATTTGTTGTATTTGGTATAAAAGCCATTTTACGGAAAAAATAAGTTCAATTTAATCTGTTTTGTCATTTTGAACACATAGAGTTATGAGAGATTCTATGAACTATGAGACACTCTCTTCATCAAGCTCGAAGAATTTGATGATTATAGAATCAATGTTTGAAATAATATTTGACAATATAAGATCGAAAATAGCCTTTTCAGAAACTTACTATTTCATTTCTGGATCGTTGTCAATTTCAACAAGTTCAGGTTCTATGAAAGAGAGGTTATTAGTATCCTTATTAAATTCTTAGTCCGACTCAAGATAATTCCAAATTATTTTAGTTGTATATTGAGAAGTATGGAAATTTCTACATTCTCTAATTTCTTCCTTTTAGATATTTTGATAGCATTCAGTAACAAATTCTTTTGGTAAATCAACTCCTCCAGTGTGCTATCCTTATTGAAGGTTACATCCTCTTACTTGATTGATGAATTACTCCAGTTACATTTTATTTTAGTTATTTTCATTATGAAGATCAGAGTGAAGCATCATCATAGCACTTATGTACACATAGATTGAATCACTCGATAAAAACATATGCTAATAAAATAATTTTTTTAATTAGAATAAAATCAAAAGATTTTTGTAAATTTTACATTGTTATTTTCAAAATACATATTGGAGTAAGCTTCCAAGAATCTCAAGACCTATTAAGTTTCTTTTTAAAATATAATATTAATTTGTATTTCAAATTGTTAAATCTTTTTTAAACTTAAAATTGTTTTATTTTTATTACTAAATAAGATTGAATAAATAAATCAATAACTTTTTTAAATTTCTCATCTAATTAAACAAAATCATTTTGCTATGAGATTTTATTAGGCTATTTTTAATATAATTTTTATAAATTATTTATTCTTTTGGTAATTTAAAATTATAAATTTTAACATTTTTTTTACTTTTAATTTTTGTTTAAATGATTTTTTTTTAATTGATTTATTTGTTTGTTTGGTAAAATGTTTTATTTAGGTAAATTATTAATTTTTATTTATTCAATGCGATGCTTAATAAATTTTAAAAGAAAAAATTAATAAATTACCTCCAGTCATTAAGAAGGTAGAGAAAACCACTCTTGTTGCTTCTAGAATTGATATTTGGCTAAAATTAAATAATTTCAAATACTCAATTAAACACTTATTGTGGAATTTTTCTGTTCCTCCAAGAATTTCAATCATATGCTTTTGATTAATGTCACTGTATACTCTTAAAAACCTAGTGATCTACTTTATTGAATCGTCATCGAGGTTTCTAAAATCTTGAACTTGCTTAAAACTAGCTATTTTTTTCAAAAAATCCTTAGGATTCTCATTGAATATATTGAAGAGTTCAGTCCATTTTAATTTATTTGATTGGTAAAGTTAGTACAAACTTTGAACTTTTTATTCATCAACATTTTTGCTTTATTTCTAATAAGTGAGAAGACCCATAAGCAAATCACTTGAGTAGGCAGTTATGTATTTAAAATCATCTTTATCATACTTTTCCTTTGATAATTCTATAATAATTGAAATCATTTCATTAAGCAAAGGTTAATTTTATATCATAAAATCATTCTTTTAATAAATATAAATTAAGTTCTCTCTGTCTGAGAGGAAGCCTTTGAGAAAGTTCATCAGACAAAGAAATTCAGAAGAAATTTCTTTTTCTTCTTTCTTTTTCAAGCACTATTTAAGTTTCAAGTAAATGATTTATCCAAAGAGGAACCTAGTTTGAATAGTATCTAAGATTTTCCCACTTTTGTAGCATTCGAAAATAATCTCAAATGCCTGTAAAATTTTAGAGTAAATTCCTACACTCTCCAGTCTAGATAACTTTAAATTAATATTAAATATTTTTTAATTATTTAATAAATTTTGCACAAAAGCTTATTTTAATTAAATCATTTTTTTAAAATGAATTCATTATTTATTTAAAATGAATCAATGAATTGTTTGTTTAAAATAAATTGAATAAACTCACTTCAACTTTCTAATTTTTTCTATTTATACTATCAAAATTATTTTTCCATTAAAAGATAAATTTTTCTTTTAAAAAAACTGAGTATTTAGTTTTGCAAATCTTTTATTCATTTGAATGTTTTAAAAGCTTTTTATTTTAAATTTATTTAAGATTTTTAATTTTAAGCTTTTCGTTTTTAACCGTCAATTAAAATCTTGTTGAAATAAGATAATTTTAACATATTTAAAAAAATAATTTATTTATTTATTTAATATTGAAATATTGTTATACCTTTGAAAGAGTGAAAAGAAAGTCTCTTTAAATGAACTGCAAATGATTGTTCAATAAATTATTCCTTTTTAGCAACTAGATAGCAAATATAAGTAGTTATAAGGGTTGTTCTATAGCTTTAATGCTATCTGAAGTTCTGCCTTGAGGTGTATTGTAATAGCTTTCATAAAACTTATTAATTTTGCTACTTAGAATCTGTAAAATATAATCTATTCCTAATTTAAAAATATAAAAATTAAAAAATTTGTTAATAACTCAAAATATATATACTTTGGATGTCATTATTGTGATTTGCTATAACTCTTTCTATGTAAGAAACTACAGTAAAAAATATAGTATCTCTTGACTATTCCTTTATTTCAATACTTGGAATTTATTCGCAAACTTACAGAAGATTCCAAACTACTTCAAAGACATCGCTGGAAATATACTCTAAAGGCAATTCTAATATGGTTTTTAGGAGCTATTTTAAATAAAACATAATTCTTAATATCAAATCTATAAAAAAGGCTATTAATTTTATTATATTTTAAATTCATTTTCCTTATCATAATTCAAATATTCTTTAAAAATTATTTAAATTTTTATAATTATTGCTTATTGGTTGCTTACATTGAGTTTTTTGGATATGTAAATGTCTAATGTTGATTCATTTATAACCACATTAGCTAATTTGTATAAAATTTCAACTATTGCTTGAGGACTTATCCAAGTTTGTTCTCCTTCTTAAAGATGCTATAAATCAAATATTGTATCTAAAATTTTATATTTATAATATATTAAATATGATATTATTCTAATTGATTTTACATTTGAATATCTTATTCACACAAGAAATAAGCGCTATATGTATGAATTCATTGTTTTCCTCAAATTCAAACATTTTGATAATGATATCCTTTATTGTGTATTAATCTCTTTAGAATACAACTATTTAATATAATCTCTCAAAAGACAAGGAAATATAATAGCTAGTTTGCTTTTTATATTCACGTATCTTCAGAAATGTCTGAAGTAACTCTTGCTCTATATTAGTACTCATGCTTAACAATGCTATATCCTAAATCTAATTCAAATTAAAAATTAAAAGCTAGCTTTTCTAGACTTTATTGAAACTTTAAAATATTTTGTCTTAGTTTCTTGATTACTTACTATCCAGACTGACTTGAAGTAATTAAAAAATAAGTGTTAATTATTTAATTAATAATTAATTTTTTGTGCAGAATATCTTTTTTGTTTTACTTTAAATTAAAAAACAAACTTGCTTGAATGTATGCAAGACACCAAACAATTAGCTAGCATTTAACACAATTAAAAAAAGATAAGTTTCCGATCAAATTAATAAATAAATAATTTACTTACAAATGTTGTAATTATAATTAATAAAATCAAAAACGACAAATAAAAAATAATACTTTTTCAATCAACAAAAATACATCTAAACACGTGTTTCCAATTTTATGAACAAAATAAATATTTTAGCAATCCTATTTATTTTCAAAAAAATAAAAATTTCTTTGAGTTATTTTCTCGTTTCATTTAATTGAATAAAGTAATAATTTTTCATTTCAAAATAATTATATTGTGATATGTAATGCATCAACTAGATAAGTCCTGTTGCTTTTTTTAAAAATTTAATTATTAATTTTAAAAATAATAAATAGAAATATTTTAATAATTTTCCAATCAAATAATTACTAAATTTACTTAATTTCCTGATTTAGAAATATTTAGAATATAAATAATCTAATTTAAATGGTAAATTTAGTTTATATGAATATATAGATAGATGTATTAAACATGTTCTCAATCAAAAAGTAACTATTTTATTTTGAAAAATTTAATCAATATATTTGAATAAATATAGTTTATTTTCTAACACCTTACAACAATATTAATGAATTGATTCCATTTATTTCTAGATTAAAATATATAAGAAAGTAATTAATTTTAAATTTTGTTAAATGTTAAAAAATTAAAATAAAAACAAATAGCTTGAACAAATTTATGTAATAAATTTGATGTTAGTTGTTAGATTGAATTAGTAAGTTTCTAATTTATTAGTTAAAAATATTTAGAATTAAACTTTAAAATAAACTTTCTTTCTACATAAAATCATTTTTCATTTCCATATTAAATTTATTAATTAATAAGTTATAAATCAGTTTAATTAGTTAAGAGCTAATTTGACTTTGAAAAAATGTAATTTAAATAGAAATAATATAATTTTTTAATTTATTATCTAAGCATTTAAAATGGTTTTTTTTTTTTGCTATCTCTACTATTATTGAAGCAAATTCTTAAAGATTAGACTAGTTTCTTCTTATCCTGCTGCTATTAATGACAGATCAACCTTGTCTTTATTCTTACCATATCTTATACTTGCTTACAAATTTATGAAATATTAAAAATAGATATAAAAATATGTTTACGATTTCTCTTTTACTGTCGCAAAGAGAGTTATTCATATACTGTGATTAAATTAACAAGTCATTATTCAATTATTAAAAAGTGTACTTTTACTTTGCAAATGTGAGAATTCATCAATTTAAATACTAAATACATACATACTCTTTTACTTAAAGTCCTATTCAAATGTATTAAAATAAAAATATAACTTGATAGAAAAATTCAAAGTAAAGATAGAAAAATTTAAATAAAAAATAAAATGATTTTTATGTAAAAGAGAATCTAAAAATTTTTAAAAAGTAATGTTCTTTTAATAAATTTAAATAAAACTATAAAATGATTGAATAAAAATGCTAATTAGTCTTTAAATAATTTTTATTAGAATAGTTAATTTAAAGTACTAAAAATTTTTTAAAATAGTTTGAATAGAATCAAAAACAAAAAAAATAAAACTTTTATTTTTTCTGAATAAATTGAAAATTTTAATTTTTTAGGAAAATTGTTTTATTAGAAAAACCTTAAAGTAATTAGCTGAATTTATTAAACAAAGGGGTAATTTATCTTATATTTTGTCTAAAATTTTAAATAAACATCTTAGAAAATGAATAAAAAGATTGATATAAAAATAATTGCAAAATTCCACTTTATTTTGAAATATATTGGATAATCATAATAAACGAACATACACATTATCAAAAAACATATTTAAAATAGTTTAATGTTAAATAAATGACTGATCTCAGTATTTGACAATCTTAAAAAGGAACAAATAGATCAAAATTTATAAATCAATCAATATAAGTAACAACTATCTGATGAATTTAAAAGTTAACATACAATCCAGCATACTATTTTATGATACTAATCTAATGTGAATTAGAATATACCTACTTCCTAAATAAAATATGTTTGCTTCAGTCAAGTTAATATCTCATTCTTTCTTTTAACTTGCATAAATTCTAGTACTTTAACGAAGATTCATGTTACTGCCTATACATTTACATTAATTTTTTTTTTCAAATGCGGTTTTTGCTATAAAAAATATTTAAATTCTTCTATTCTATTCTCTCAATAATTAGAGCCGCTTTTATTTATGGTAAAAACTAGTGTTATGAATAAAATTCATCATTGATATTTTTTGTATTTTTTTTATTTTAGTGGTATTTTATTTAGAATTTACAGCAGATAAGAATTAAAAAATTTAACTAAAATGTAATAAATAAATTTTATTTTAAGATTACTTACTTTTTTATATTATTTATGATAATTTAAGTTAGTAATGTTAATCACAGATAAGGATTTAGTTTAATGTAAATTTATTTTAATTATTTATTTGTTTATATAGCTGGTTAAGAATGATATCGATCGCTGGCTGATTTTATTGTTTTGTATTTTTAAATTTGTATTATTAAATTTAATATAGACAGATATATACCATTTATTTTAGACAAAATACTTACCAAAGAAACATAATTGAATTTATTTTTTGTATTATTCAAATGGATGAGTTATCATAACAATTTTATTATGAGGCAGTTATTTGAATGAATTATTTAATGGTTTTTAATAAAAGTTGAGCAATTAAATTTGTTTGTTTGAAACAAATGCTTTTGATAAAATAAAATATAAAAAATTCAGATGATAATATAAATTATACACATAGAAGGATAAATTGAAGGTGATTGATTTATTGAGTTGATTCATTTGAAATTGTTTGTTTGTTTGTTTGTTTGTTTGTCCAATAAATAAATAAATCAATCGATATGTGATACTTTTTTTTAGGGAGAAAGAATATATCAATAAGTCAATCAAAGTATATTTTATAATATAAATATTGTGAAAATAATTAATTAAATTCTCTTTGCATTAAGCAATTAACCAGTCAAGCTAGTAGCGAATTTAATATTAAAGTTTCTGGATTATTTATATAACAAAATATTAATTAGGTCAAAGAAAATAAGTAAATTTAACTACAAACTGTCACTGCTTAAAGAGGAAATGAGTCAAGCAGGAAGTTAAAAAAAGGGTTTTCAGCAGAACATCAAAACCGAATAAAATGAATCATCTCAGAATTTTGCGTCTTCTTCTTGTGTTCCTTAAACTGATCGCTAGAATTAGAATTCTAATATAAACACATTTAAAATATATAATATGAATATACAATCAAATGCTTTTCACTACGAATAGACTGTGCGAAAAAAGCAAACAAAGTAACAAAACTTAAACGATAACAGCACTCCTTCAGTACAATCAGAGCAGTCCTTTGACGAAAATCCTGAAGAAGAAAGTAAATAAATTAACTAACAAATTTTAGAACAATAGAAATAAAATTTATCATATTTATTTTTAGGAAACAGATAGATAGTTTTTAAGTTATAAGAATTTTATTAATTTATACTAGAAAATATCATTTTTCATTATTAAATGAAATATTTTTTTTAAAATATAGTTTTGAACAATGTGCCTGTAGTGCGTGACTTGTTGATTGGGTGCAAGCCGGACTCAAATAATATCATAACTGATAAAGAGCTTCATTATTTATTGCAAAAACTAGGAATATCATAATAAAAGGTAAATTGAGATAAAACCATTAAAAATGAAGAAAAAATTCATTTCATTTATATTTAAAATGATCAAAAATGGAACAAAATATTAAAGAATTTGAAAGAGTTTTAGTTTTGCTGCATTTCTGCAGCAGATTCGCGAGCGAAATGCAGTAAAATTGAATATAAATTGAGAAAAAGAAAAATTCTAATTTTATTAATTGGATTAGTTTAATTTGGTTTGTATTATAATTTATTATTATTTTAAAAAAAATAGAGTGAATCTGACTTATTATATCAAAGAATTCCTAAAAACTCATTAGGTTTAGTAGATTTTCTCAGTAATTAAAATTAATTATTTAAACAAACTCTTTATTAATAATAATAACTAATAACTAATAACTTTTTTTAAAATTTGTCTAGATTTTGGGCTTTTTGTCTGTTAAGATATAAAGCAATTAAATTTAAAATTACTTCCACTATGTGAAATAACTTTTCGACTAGGTAATTATTTTTTCTTAATTTATTCCATAAATAACTAACTAACTGCTTTTCTATTTTCTTTTGTTTATTGTTGATGCTATTCATTTTTTAATGTAAAGCCAAAAATTAATTTTATATTCATTTAATTTAGGCTTGGAAATATTTAGAGTCTTAACTGAGGAAAACACTTCATTCACTTTGAAGCATTTAATGAAATATTCTAAAAAGCACAAAGACTTGGACATTGATTTTGTAAATATTTCTTTCATTTTTAACTTTTGCTTACTAAATTAAAAAATGTATTGAATAGATTCAATTAATGGAGCTATTTAGCTTTTATAGCAATGTTTAAGCTGGAGTGTTAAAAAGAAAGCAGAATATTATTCAATATTTTTAGGTCATTAGTCCAAAATTAAAAGGATGTTTTAATCCTGCTTTAATTAATGATTTATAAATATTAATTGAGTAGAACTGACTCCTTAACAACTCCTCTCAACACTCTAACCAAAAAAATAACAATAACCCATCTCTTTCGCCTTCTCTATAAAATGGATAATTCAATTCTTCTACAGGTACAAACAGCAATATACAATAACTGCAATAGCAGACGAATCAGCCAAAGCAACCAAGATAATTTGAAAACAAAGCAATTTAGCCAAGTGGATCCACTTAAGCTAGAATTTAAGAAGTCCTTTTTAAAAATTATCAGAAACCCTATGAAGTTAGCGAAAATAAAGATGGAATGAAACAAATCCACACTTATCAAGAAAATACCATAGAAAATGAATTAAATGAATACCTATTGCAAAATAAACCTAAAAGCAAAGGCTGGCTCTACCGCCTCAGTAAAAAAAAAGTTGGCAAATGGTCAAACTTGTTCTTCTTTATCAATCCTACTACTAACACACTTTTTTCTGTGAAGCCTACTGATTTAAAAGTGATTTAATTACTTTAACTTTAATTTTATTTTCTATTTAAATATTTAAAAATCATTCAAAATTAAAACATATTATATTTATTTTATATTTGTTTATCAATATTTTATTGAGCTTTTTCATTATTTAATATTTTAGAGAAGCATCAATCTCGAGCACATAGAGCTTTATAAATGTTCATTTATTGAGATTTTGGAAACTGGATAATAAAATTCTACAAGAGATTCAAAGGTGAAGAAGAAATTAGAGACAAAACAGACACTTAAAACATAAGAAAACATTATTAATGATAATAGTGAACAGGAAAAGAAAACATTTTTCGTAGTTGACACGAAAGAAAAGAAGACTTATTTAATTCGATCAGAAGAAAGCATGGAAGTTATTTCTGTCATTACAATACTCAACAACAAAAAGAACAATCTAGATGTTCTAAAGTAGAATGATATTTATAAATACATTGAAAATGTGGACTTAGAATACACTGGTATAATTGATGTTGCTATTTGCAAGCGCAATTGTATCAATGTTTTCCACTCTAATTTAAAAAATTACACTTTCAAAAGATAGTATCTGAGCATTAGATAAGGTAACTTTATAATCATTTATTTAAATAATTTTAATATTATTTTAACATATATTAGGAAAATTTATGATTTATAATGTAAAAACGAAGGACACACTAGATTTGCAATAATACAACTTAATAGTTGATTAGAATCTGCCTTATGCGTAATCTAATCCTTATTCTTTTGCCTTAGAAAAAATATAAGATCATGAAACCATTTCATAGTAAGCAGAGAAAACCTAAAAACTGGGTTAACTCGCTAAAATTGAAGAGAAACATGGTAACTATACAATAGAAAATTAAATTGATAAAGAAGAAGGCAGCATAGTAGCCTTCAATACACAACAAGCAGAAATAAACATTGAATATGAAAAAAAAATTGGCACAACATAAACCAATAACATTTAAAACAATAATAATAACAAGCAGGTTTCTGCTGATACTTAAAATAAAAAAAGTGAAGGTTTCTTCTCAAAAATATTTAAACGAATAACTGAGAAAAAACCCGATCGTTTAGTACTTGCCTCCGATTCAGAGTACAAACGTAAATAGTGGATTTTCACTATTAATTTCTATAAATCAATAATTTTGAAAATATAAAATGGTAAATTATTTATTTATTTCTTTACAAAAGTTATACTAAATTTAAAATTGAATAAATAGGTGAAAAAATAAGATTTTAAACAGAAGAAAATGTAAATAAACACTCAATTCTTAGTTAATAAGCAGCTTTATATAAATACTAATAAACTAAATAAAAAAATAATTTTGACGACTTCGGTTTAGGCAAAGGCTTGAATGACATAGATGATTAAGACGACTATTATAATGTGTTTAATCATCAGAATGACAGAAAAGAAGAAGAAAAAGAAATTGATTTAGGCTAAAAGAAAGAAGAACCTAAATAACCATTAAAGACTTAATAAAAACCAACCGAAGATATATAAGACAAAAAGAAAAATGTAAATATAATTAATACTGAAGGATCTTAAAAAATTAACAATAACATTCTAATAAACAATAAAAAAACTTTTAATATATAACCAAACACTACAAAGAATTCTCAACCTCAACCCTATACTATAACAGAACCCAATGAAAAAGTTACTAATAGGCTTGGTAAATAAAACAATTCAAATATATTATTTATTTATTCATTCATTCATTCTTTGATTTAGAATTTCTATTTACATTTAAAATAAATTTTAAAAAATTATTTTGTATTAAAGATTCAGAAGAAGCACTCCTTACACTTACATTCCCTAACTTTTTAGCAGAAAATTTGCATTTGCTAAAGCAGGCGCAAATAATGAAGAAAGAAAATTTTACAATAAATTCAAAAGAAATAAGGACATTTACTGAAAAAGAAATTTGTGAAAAGTTTATCAGGCATTTCTTCAGCTTTAATCACAAACACTTTGAGATCAAAATGAAGCAGCATGGACTTGAAAAATTCAATGATCTAAGCTTTGATTAAGAAGAAGAAAGACAGATTTAAGAAGGTAATTAATATAGAGAAGAAAATGCAAGAAATGAAAATAAAGATTTAGCTGATTCTTCTCTAAAGTTTATGCCAAATAATGTAAATACCAAAAATGAAATGGATTACTAAAAGCATGGAATGAGTGAGCTTAGTAGCATGAAAAGCGACAGAAACATTTCAAAGGCATATGATATAAATCTTGGTAATCAAAACACCCTTACCAATAATAATACTAACTAAATTAAAGTAGTACAAAACAATAACTATCTTTAAGTCCATCAACAACAAAGTAAATAGAATTTGTAAAATAAGAGTGAAAAAAAATCGATACAAGAAGTGAGTCTCATGGAGTACTGTCTTACTGAATAAGATGAAGAACCTACTGCAAAAATTGTATTTAATAAAAACCATAAATATATTGTAAATAAAAATTAAACGGCACTTTAAACAATTTTCCTTTCATGTTTATTGTGAGTTTCTTTTAAGCTGAAAAGATGCTTAATTGTTCAAAAAAAAAAATTCTGCATGTGAAAAGGGAGGGATTGTTTTTTAATTAAATCAATTATTCTTTTAAAGTATTTTTTCAAAAATTTAGTTTAATAAAAGTAAAATATTTTTTTCAAATAAATTTTTTGAAATGCATTCTGAAAAATAGAAAATAAATTTTTGTGATATTAAATGATTTCATTACTTTGAATAAAGCTAAGATAAATAATTTATTGTTTTTTATTAATTTTTTAACTAAATTTTATTTGTATCTTGGTTTTTAGCATATTTAAATTTAAAATTAATTGTTTTTTTAAAAAATTAAAAATTACAAAAATTTAATTGATAAAAATTGGTAAATAAAAATATTTCATAATATTTTAAATATTTATTTGTTACTTATGCTTTCGTCTACAATAAAATAAGTTAATTAATTAATAATTTTTGTTTCAAAATTCCCATGCAAATCTAGTTTATAAAATTTATTTAAAATAAAAAATTAGTTATTGCCAATCATCATTTTTATTCAAAATTATATAGAAAATAATGTAGCTGGTACTGTTTGTTAGAATTCAGAATTATTTATTTATTTATTATTTGTTTTATCAAAAAATTGAATTAACAATGACGACATTACATTACATGACATGATGGAATTTAATTTAATTTAGTAAAGTTAACAATTTTATAATTGCCTTATACAAGGATAGTTTTAAATACACATAGAAAAAAGAAATCAAAATCAATCTTAAAATTAAATATGAAGTAATTCAAAGAAAATATACTCTCATTATGAATTTATGAATGAAAGATTGAATGAATAAATGAGTGAAATAAAGAAAGAAACAAAACAGGTCTATTCATTTTTTTTTCAATTGATTTTTATTTAATTGAATTGAAAAATATGTAGGTATATATGTATGTATATATTCATTCATGCAATCAGATCTAGTCAAGTAAAGTAAAGTAAATAAAAGGATCTTTTGAAAAATTAATTAAAAAATTAATAACAAAAAGAAAGAAAAATACATATATTGCTTGCTTGCTACTCTATTATTAGAAGTATAGAGTGAATTCAAATCTATTTTAAACGATTGATTGAAAAGACATAAATAATTACTAAGGTAACCAGATTTACTCAAACAAATATTATAAATATAACAACTTCAGCCGATATAGAATTGCATTTCAATACTAAGTCAAAAGAGGTTACAATAAAAAAGGCAAGTCAAGCAAATAAGTTTAGGTATGGGCAGCTGTTGTGGTAAATAAAAGCAAGACGGCAAAACTGGCTAACATTAGTAGCCAGGCCAAAAGCTACACCAACAGCCATAGCAAAAACAATCTTTATAGTCAAATAATTAAAATGATTAAAACAATAATTGGATGCAAAGCAATAATAATCAGGCTTCTACTAAGCACCTGACTAAGAACACAAATGAGCATCAGGTAATAGCGATTCTTCCTTTTTTCTTTGGATTGATAGCGAAAACAAAAATTTATTTTTATTGTTTTTCGTCTGCTTTTTATGCTATCTTTTTTATTTACACTTGAAGAAGATTTGTAGAAAACCCAAAAATTTAAATTAGTTTATTAAATAAAAAATGATTTTGAATTATTTGCATTAAATAAAAGGATGATCATGTTGGTGGTAGCGCCAATTAGGGATAAAGTGATATGGCTATTAATAATAATAATAAACTAAGTTAAAATAATTAGCATAATATTTATTCTTCAAAAGAAAATGCTGAATATGAGATGCTTAATAATGCAAAAAATGATAAAATTATAAATGGAGGAGTTAATCCTTAGTCTGCAAGGAAGGATGTTCTCAATTTAGAATAAGTTTAATTGCAATTTAATGATAAACAAGATGCGAATTAGCAGAGCACATAAAAAAATCAAGAGGTTAGTAATGCTACTACCTCCCCTTTCACTTCTAACAAAGAAAATACAAAGTTGTAAAATGGCATTCACACTAATGGACAATAGTAAGAATAAAGCAATATTTCAACTATTCCTTAAGGCAATAAAAATATGCAAATAAAATCTGCAAATGCTAATACATAACCTATTCAAAATTAAGGTTCTAATTTGTAAAACTCTTAATAAATAGTAGGATAGTCTTATATGGAAGGAGAGAGTATTGATAATGTTGAATAGATACTTTAAAATAAACCTAAAAGCCAAGAACGAGGCAGCTAAAATAATCGTTCTAGTATTTACAAAGAAAATTATTAGCAAATGACAAACACAATTATTTGTAGAAACGACATTTTTATCTTCTCAAACCATCAATTTTAGAAACAAGTTAATTCGAAAAAGAAAGGATTCGAATTGTACTGCTACTTCTCCGAAAAGGAAAGCAAAATGTACATGCACGAATTAGTAAAAATGCAAACAAAATCCACTCATGGATCTACTCTTGCAGATCTTGATGCTTAATAAAACAATAATTTCTCCTCATAAGCAGCTTAATTTTCTAATTTCTAGGACTGGACAAAATTACTTGAAAAGTACTAGACAGCTTAGGTTACTAAAGTCTTAGATAAAGATAGCAAATCTAAAAATTTCCCTAATTAAGAAATTTTTTAGTAAATTATCTCTATGAGAGAAAGAGCTTGGTACGAAGAACTTGTCTAACTTTACAAGGTAAAATAAAAATAAAAATTTCAAATAATTTCTATTTTTTTTTGTAATATCAACAAATAATTTATTTTTTGATAAAAATTTGCTTTTGGTTATAGAATTTCTAAAAAGCCAGTGAATTTTCAATTAAAGATTTAGAATTTTTTCAATTTTAATTTAGTTTTTACTCTATTTTTAATATTAAATTTAATTAAAAAATAGGAGAAAAACAGTGCAAATAAAATTAACATGAATATGCAAGAGACTATTTTTTACAAGAAACTAACTATAATAAATGATCATTTTAGGTGGTTTGTTACTGCTGTCGCTAATAGCACCTTTAATAACACTTAATTTGCCTCTTAGTTTGAATTTCCTCCTTAAACTCTTAACATGAAAAAGAGAAAAACAAGTAGTGTAAACAGCTAGTCAGGTGCTAAGTTATGTCATTCAGATAAAAGCGATGGTCAACCAGAGTAACCCAATCTAAAAACTTAGCAATCTTAGTTTAATTAAGTCTAAATGCAGCTTAACACTTAGCCTCCGCTTTCTCCAATTAAAAAACCCAGCGTAAATAATTAAATAAATGTTTTTTATTATTCACATAAAATTAAGCTTTTATCTTAAAAACTAATTATAATTCAAATTAAAAAATTAAGTTATAAACGGAAAACCCATATTGTGACACTCTACCTGAAGCATTTTCTCCCTTGTGGTTAAGAGGATTTATTTGGAAAGGAGTTTATTTTAGACTTTTATCAAAGAAAAAAGCAAAACATGCCAAATGTGAACTAAAAGCACTAAAGCATATCGGACTTGAGTATTTACAAAATGATTCTTCTTTCAAAGTCAACAATATTATGAATTAATCTCCTATATTTGTCAATTACTTGCTCCCATTCATAAGTATTGTTGAGAGTTCTTCTTTTGTAATTTATGGAACTCCTTATATATACACTAAAAATAACTCTATCGAGGAAGGTCTTGTCAGATAGAGTAGAAAATATTTTTTATATTAAAATAAAAATTAACTAATTGATTGTATTTTTATTAAAAAGGTGGCTTCAATTTATACAGCGCTTATAATAACACTTATCTATTGAAGAACTTAAAAGAAAACAACCTGAAACTTTACCATAAAATAGAAGAAAATGGAGGTCCATAATAGCCAATTCAAAATATTTTTTATATTATAAATAATGCGAGAGACTTGATGCCAAAGCATTGTGAAAGCAATCTAATGTTTAAAATTAGTTAGGATATTACTGATGGCATAGTATTTTAATAGCCTCCTAAAGATGGATTCATAGAAATAAACTCTTTGAAAAAGGCTATGGGTTATCCAGATATTAATTTTAAATATGCTTCATTGAATTATAACTAGTAGAAAATAGAAAAATAGTAAGAATAGTAAAACCAGCAGAAGAGCTCTTCATACAAGCTAGATTAAATCTCATTTAAAAAGCATGGTTGGCTTTTTAAAATGATTTTCATGTCATAACATGACTCCAATCGTTTTAATTTGAATAAAAGAGCCAGCGAATTACTCAATTTAGCATAAAGAAAATCCAAGTAATTTTTTTTTCTATTAAATAAAAATAAAATTTTATATTAAATTTATTAGGGAAATAAAAAATGTTTATGGAAATGTGCTAATTTTTGCTAAAATGCTTAATCAAAACTGTGTTATAAATCCAGCATTAGTTTATTCCGAGGACATTAACTAAATTCTAAATGTTCCAAAGTAATTTTTGATAAAATTAAATCTAGATTTTAAAAAATTATTTTTATATTAAGTTCTGAATAATTAAGACAACAAAAATCTTCTTTTTCTTTGTTGATCAACGAACAAAGAGAAACTTATTTATCATAGACCATTAAGAAATAAATAGACTAATTGGTAGCCATTCTTGATAGAAGCGATGTTGTTATCTCAGCTAAATCTTTAGTTGAACAATTCCACAAAAAGGGAGTTAATATGCGCTATGCTATGGTTGTTTACTCTTTGTTAAAGACCTAAAAGTAAAAAAATATATCATTCTTAAAACATAGTGAAATATATTTAATTTTTAATTTTAAAGAGCCAAGAATATTTTAGGATGTGATATAATTGTGAGGGTTCTGAAGCAAATAATTTCTGAAACTACCTCAGGAACTTTTAAAAAATTATCTTTGATCTCGCAAGATCCAATATTATCTCAAAAGAAAAGCCAAATTTCTAATGGTGTTTCAGATGATACATAAGAAAAAAATGACATATTCTCAGATAATTTATTTAAAAATACTCTTTGCAGATATTTAAGTTTGCTAATTAAAGGAGATCCAGTATGTTATTATAATTATATAGGAAATATTTCAATTCATTTTAAATATTAATTTTTAAAAATATTAGAATAGTGAAGATGCATTAGGACTGCAAGAGATTATCTAAGGGTTGAATCTGTACAGGTTAAGGACAATATATCATTCTTAAGTAATCCTTAGTGAAAGTGCACTGGCTTTCTATCAAAGCAGCTAATTTATTAAAGAACTTATTTCGGTCGCTTAATAAAATGCAGGAATTTTAATGATCACTTGTCAGCTTCATCTGTAAATAACTTTATCTGCAGACTTAGAAAGAAATATCAGAAACGATAAATATTATTTCACAATAAGAAATGTTGTGCCTAAACCTCAAGACATAACTCACATTGTTTACGAATCAATTCCTTATCTAACAATTAAAGAAATAGCTTATTTATTTTTAATAAAACTTTCTTAGGAGAATGTTCAAAAGTAAATTTATTTATAAATCTTAAAAATATTTTAAATAAAATTCATTTCTTTTAGGTTTGTCTAAATTTAACTTCCTAGTTCTCTTTACAAAATTTCTAAGGACTAGTAAAATGGATTACTCTCTGATGCTTACTACATGCCAACAGGAGAAATTCTAAAAGATTTAATATCCTATTTAAACTGCATTTTTGGAAATCTCTACTCATTAAATGCAGAACAAAATTTCTTCCTTGATCTTTACATATTTTAATTATTTGACTCATTTTTTATCAGTAAAATTTTATTTTAATTTTTTACTTAATCCAATAAAATTTATTTTAATTTTTTTACTTATTCCAATAAAATTCATTTTAATTAAAATATTTTTTTATTAAGTTTAATCAAAACTTAAAATTCTTGATTTAAAATTTATTTTTAAATTTTGTGAAATATAAAAAAAATAGGCAAAGATGATGAAGAATTTGTAAAAAATATAATGAATGAAAAGATTTAACCTTTTCTATAAAATTAATACACTTTCTCAGCTGAATTAGCAATAACTATTTACACTTGGATAGGTATTTTATAAGAAACAAAATCTTTGTTAGAATGCGAGCAGTCTTATATGATGGCTTTATTAGCAATTCATAAATTATACGGAGATCCAAGAGGTAGAGGAAGTACTGTTGTTCCATGGGAACTATTTATTGCATGGAGATTGAGTATTATTGCTAGATTGCAAGGTAAAAAGCATGATGCTGAGTATGTAGAAGAACTTTATGACAGCATCCAATTTAGCATGTAAAAGAATGTCTTCAACTACTACAAATTTAATCACTATATTTACTGGGATCCTTTTAAACCCTTTGAGTATAATTTAAAAAATGCTAATTTAGATAAAGATTTACCTTCAACATTTACATCACTTATTTCTCTAAGATAAAATTAAGAGAACCTCCAACCTACTACGTTATCTTAAAACGAACCAAACCCTTAACAATTAGAAAACAATTTACCTTTTAATCATTGGACAGAATACCAAACTTTGGATGAAAATTCTCCAATCATTGACGTTTTAACCTCAACACTAAGAAAAAATGATGGTTTATTTAAATGGCTTATGTAGAATTTACTAATTTTCTAAGAATCAGGAGTTATTTGGGAAATAAGCAGTTTGAGAGCTTTCTAACTTTCAATAATGCAAAATGTTTTCCATGCGAATTCATCTTGCTCCTCAGTATCAAGCCATTCAGATAAATTCGATTAAGCAACTCCTAAATCACAGAGAATTGAAAGTAAAAATAAAGGATACATCCAATCAAATTAGTCTGGAAATATTGTTCAGATTCTTGAAAAAGATTACAGCACTTTTTCTAAAAAGGATGCTGTAGGAGTAATGTTTTCTTGGGGTTAGAACACTGAAGGTTAAATGGGTAACGTATATGACCCAAAATAAAATTTACTCAGCAAAAAAATAAAGGTGAATTTCCCTAAATTAATCGTGCCCTTAAAGGATACAATAGTTACGTCTGTAGCTTGTGGTTATCAGCACAGTGTTGCTATAACATATGCAGGAACTGTTCTAGCATGGGGTGATAATTCTCACTCCTAACTAGGTCTAGGAGAAAAATCACCATCATCTGTTCCATTCCCAACTCCCATCCCCGCTCTTACAAATATTCAATCTGTTTCTTGTGGTTCTGAACATACACTAGCCTTAGACTATATAGGTCAAGTTTTTAGTTGGGGAAACGGTAATTTTTTTTTTTAATTTTATTATTATTTAAAATTTAAATGATTATCATGTTAATATAGGAGAAGGAGGTTTGCTTGGACATGGAAACGAAGATGTGTGTCCATCTCCAAAAATTATTGAAGCACTGAAGGGTTTAAATGTAGACTTCATTGTATGTGGTGGTCTCCACTCACTTGTTTTAACTAAAAATCGCCAAGTTTATAGTTGGGGTAGAAATGAAGGAGGATAGCTTGGTATTGATAAAAAACTGTTTACAAATGAGAAATGCTACTTAACAACACCAAAAAGAGTAAAAGGAAATTTAGAAGGCGTTGGTGTTATTTAAATAGCAGCAGGTGAAGCCCACAGTTTAGCTTTGGCATTGAACGGACAAGTATACGGTTGGGGATATAACATGAATGGCTAAATTGGACTTGGTATGCAAACCGATACCTATCCTGTCTATGAACCTTAGCTGATCCCTAAGTTAAATAAAATAGAAAAAGTAAAATAAAAATTTAACCATAATCTCAAATAAAGATGTTTAAATAAAAATAGATTTATTCAGGGCAAACATTCTCTATGTTCATGAGTTCGAATAAAGAAGTAATTATTATATCATTCATTTATTCATTTTTATATTTTGATTTTATTTTAAATTAATTATTTTTACATTAGATCTTTTGCTGTGGATTAAATGATTCAAACTAGCTTGGATTGGAGAAAGAGCCCATTAAAATAACTTCAACTACAAACAATATTTTAGGTAAAAAATTTACTTTTTAATATATTTGAAAATTATAATTTTTGTATTTATTTTAGATCAATACAAACCATAAGATTAAAAAAGAGCAGTAACAGATGTTTTTATTCCAAAGAAAATGGATTGCTTCCATTAGATTCCTGTTTTGCATGTCTCTTGTGGACACAATCACTCACTGGCTCTAGTTGTTGCTGACACAAAGCATTACATGCTATTTGCATGGGGTAATTATAATTTACTAATTTTGTTTTTTAAGTATCTTAATGACAAATTAAATATTTTAGGTATGCATAAACACGGGTAACTCGGTATAGGCGAAACAGGATAAAACAGTTCTGTGCCTCGTCCAATAACATATTTATAAGATGTCACAACTTACAGCGTATTTATATATATTTCTTTGAAATATTAGTTTAATTTAAAAATAATTTATTTATTTCAAATAGATGGCTTGTGGGTCATATCACTCTTTAGTAGTTGCAAATGATGTGAATCGTATCTTGAAAAAAGAAACAATTCGTACAATTAAAGAAAATCTAGAAAAGTATGATCAGAAATGGAATCTGTCATTTAATCCCAAGGATAATAAATATTCAAATATTAGCGAATTCATACATACAAACAGTATCACAACTAACAATAACAACAATAATAATAGTAATAACATTGAAAACATCGCTCCTTCAGAAGAAGGAAAAATAGATAATCCAAAATCTATTTAAAAGGCCAATCAGTACTATGCCTTAGGCGTGCAATTTTCCTGACAAATAAATAAATAAATAAAATATATTGATTAAATTTTGAAATTTTTAATTCAAATAATTAATCAAAAAACAAAGCAATTTTAACAGAAATAATTAAATAACTAATCAATAAATCAATTAACTAATTAATTAATTAAGATAATGAAAAATAATAATAACCAAACAAAAAACGAATAAAACCATAAATTTAACTATAAATCCCTTAAATAAATAAATAAAATAATTAATTATCTATATGTACACTTATTCTTATTATAATAACAAATTTTAAAATAATTAGATCCAACAAGAATAAAATAAATTTTTAAAATTAAGAAATTCGTTTACCATAAATAATCATAGTTATTCTCATAATATGAGCAACATTTAAAGAGATATATTTACTATTTTATCATCTAAAGTAATTAATTATGAGAAGCTTAAGAAAAAAACGTAGAATGGTTAGTAAGTAATCTATAAATGCTTTGAAAATAATAAAAGACTTAAATAAATAAATAACACAACACAAAAAACTCATCTTATTTTAATTTTGTCTTCTTTTTTGGTATATTTATTTAATTTACCAAAAATAAATAAATAAATTTTATAATTCTAAAAACTTTTTATAATTTATATTTAAATTAAAAAATATATATTTATTTTTATATTTTGCACAAACATTTGCTCTTAATAAATAAAAAACTCAATTTCAAACAACAAAAAACATAATTTTAAGTAAGTTAAATAACAATATTATTCTTTAAGAAAACATTTTTAATAGTTTATTTCAAAATATAAATTAATTTTAAAAATAAATAAAATATTTTTATTATAAAATAGTATTTATTGTATTTACTTATCTTAAGGTTTTATTTTTTTAAAGAGATATTTGTCTATTTAAAAAGAATAAATTATAAATTGGTATGTTAATTATATTTATAATTATTAAATATTTCTGTGTCTAGTTATTTTTTAGTTTATTTTTATCATTTATTTTAAGATACTCTCAATAAATAAATAATTAAATAAGCATATAAATAAATCAAATAAACAAAAAAATAGATAGATAAAAACTAACTCAAATAAAAATTTTATTTTAAGATAATATTTTAAAATTTAAACAATAAATTCTAAGATAAATAAACCAAAACTTAAGTTAAAGAAAATTTTTTTATATAGAAAAAATAAATATTTATGTTTTTAATTTTAATCAAATTAGTATCTAACATACTTTCTAAAGTAATAGATAAAATTATATTTTTTACAATAGTATTAGTAGACATAAAGTAGTTTTTAAAATAGTAACCAGAAACTATTTGTTATAGATACATTTAAATATAGAATAAATAAATATTTATGTTTTTAATTTAAATAAAATGAGTGTCTAAAAAACTTTCTAAAGTAATAGATAAAATAATATTTTTACAATAGTATTAGTTGTCATAAAGTAGTTTTTAAAATAGTAACCACAAACTATTTCTAAGATACATTTAATTGTATTGATGATATCAAAAAATTAAAAAAATTGGATTATCTCTATCTGAAAAAACCAAATTTAATAAGATCTTCATAATATTTTATTTTCTCAAGCAGCATGAATAGAACTAAATTTTATTTTGAAAATAATTTAAATACTCCTAAAAAATGATTATTATTTTTAAAAAGAGTACTTTAAAAGATAAATAATTACATTTGATATAAAATTAACTCTATTAAAAATAGTATAAATGAAGATTATTTCTTTATATTTGGCAGAAAGTAACATTTTAACATTCATAAAATAAATACCACATAAGCAATATATAAAAATACATAATATTGATTTATTTATCTAAATAATTTTATTATTAATATTGAATTATTTATAAAAATATAGTTTCTATATTAGATATAAATATTTTTAAAGTATTGAAATAAGTTAAAAACAAAATTAGAATTTATTTCAATTTGTAAGTTGTTAAAAATATTATGAAAGTTTGTAAAAAATCATCATTAATTTCTTTTAAGCACAGATGCTTAATTAATTTAAGTAGAGTTTTTATCTTTTGTTAATGTCTAATATATCTATATATATTCTGTTTTGATAAAGAACATATTAATTATCAAGTAAGAAAACTAAATATCTATCTGACAAATACAATCAAAAAGTGTCTGGAAGAATTTAAATTAATATTTAATCAACAGCATTTAGTGCTTTATATGAGTAATCGTGCATGAAAATAAATTAAATAAATAATAAATAATTAAAGCAAATATCATAATAGATTCAAAATAAATGGAAGATCATTCACAATAAGGATAAGACTAAATAGATGTAATAATTTATTCAAAAAAATTGCTTTTTTAAAGTTTTTTAAAATTTTTTTATAGACTTCAGAAGATTAAAAATACTATAGTGAGATTTTAAGTAAATTGAAGAAGATAGACCCAAAGAAACTGAATGTTGTTTTAACTTTAGGAGGCTCTTTCTATCCTATTCACTTGAATCATCTAAAAACTATTGAATGCGCTCAAAGATAGATCCAGGTAATGAGACCTGATATAAACATCATAGGTCTCTTCTTAATTCCGACTTAGATAGAATGCTTAGCTAAAAAGTTGAATGTTAAGCAAAAGGAGTTAAGAGATATTGATATTCACAGATTAAAGATGTGCTAAATTATTGTCTAAGATCATCCAGATATCATGATTTATAGCTACCTGTATAACTAATCGACAAATAAAGGACTAGCTGTGGCTACTCTTCGTCTTTAAGATACTTTGAATAAATACTTTAGGTTATGCCAAATGTAGAAGTAAGATCAAATTTAAGCTATCACAGTTACAGGTATTGATAAATTTGAACTACTTGCAAGAAAATCTAAAAATGGCCCTATTGTTTTTGTTGAGAACAGACCTAGCTAAAATATTAGCATTCATCCTTAATAAATAATAGAAAAAAATAAGCTTCAGAAGTATTAGTAGAATATTATTATAATAGAAGATAAAGAAAACTCACAAGAAATGAGTTCTACTTTAGTAAGACAGCTTTGCAACTCTGGCTAAGACTTTTCAGCATACACTGGGGCTGATTTATACAATTATCACCTATAAAATAACATCAAGTATGTAAACGCAAATGTTTTAAAAGAAGAGAAGATAGAAGAAAAAATCGTCTTGGATATCCCTAATTTAGAGGATATAATTAAATTTAGCTATGATTCAATTAAGTATGAAGAAATTACAGACTTAGATTTTACTTAATAGCTTGGATTTGGAGTTTAAGCATCCGTTCACAAAGCTACCTATAAAGGTAGGCCAGTAGCTGTTAAGGTTTACTCACTAGAGAAGGAAAAATCTTAGAAAATTAAATGCTTTTTAAGGGAATTGAGAGCTTTAATTTTAAGTAGGCACCCAAATGTAGTACATCTATATGGAGTTGGACAGTATAAACACTTGTTTTATTTAGTCTTAGAACTTACTTCAAACTAAAATGTTTTGGATTTCATCTGTAGAAATAGAAAGAATTGGGATCAAAAACCATTTAACAACGAATTTATCAGGGCTTTAAGTGAACTTTCTTTAGGCTTACATTAGATGTCTGTTTCTGGGATCCTGCACAGAGATATTCAAACAAAAAACATTCTAATTAGCCATTCAGATCAAAACTTTGATTATTGTAATTAATTAAGTTTAAATCATTTTTAAATTGTTATTTTAAATTAAAGAAAATCTTACTCAGTTAGATAAAAACTGCACCTTAAAAATCTGTGATTTTGGTTTGAGTGCGATTGAAGAAGATAAGGATTCTATTGTTAGAGGTAGTACAAGACATTACTCTCCAGAATCCATGGAAGATAAAAGGAATTATTATCCTCAAAGCGATGTTTACATGCTTGGAAACTCTATTTGGGAAATGGTATATACTAAAATTATATTTACTCATTCTAATGTAGGTGAAGTGCATAAAACAGTTATTTCAGGAGAAAGAGAAGAATTTGATGACAAATGCCCACCAGAAATCTAGAGCGTTATTGAAAAATGTTGGAAACATAACTATCTAGAAAGACCCTCCTTTTTAGAAATATCTAATGACTTAAAGCAAATTTATATGTAAAATTTAGAATCTGAAAAACATAATTAAGATATCAAGTAACCAATTTAGCTAGATGATTAGCCAAATTAATTAAATATTTAATAAAGCACAAATTGATATTCTTTAATTGTGAATAATATTTAACCTAAGTTTAAAGTTTTTTTTTGTTTAATTTTAATGAATTCTTTTGTAATAAAAAAAATTTTAATTACTTTATAATTATTAATAACTGCTCACTATATTTAAAACATATATTTTTTCTATTAATTTTTGGTAGCTTCATTAAAATTTATGTTTTTATTATAAGTTAGTGATATCTTTTATGCTTTACAATTTCTTATATATATAAACTTGATATCAATAGATTGAGAGAGATTATTAAGAAATTAAAAAATAAAAAAAAATAAAATTATTCAAATTTTAATTAACTTTTATAAGTTTTGTTTTTATTGAATATTGCTAATCCTGTAATTAAAATATCACCAACTGTGTAGGATCAGTTTAATTTTTATGATTTTAAGATAATTTTACTTTTTTATTTTTTAATTTTTTTATCACTCTGTTTTTATTAATGAAGAATTATTTTTAGTGTTTAATGTATTTCCTCAAATTTTGAACTTAAATTCAAAAAATTTTTTTTTACATATTTTCGAAATATCCCTTACATTTCCCTAAAAGATTAAATGAATTTTTAAATATTAAATAATATCTTTACCATATATATAATAACATAAAAAAAAAAATAATATATTTTTATATAATATAAAATAATAATCAAGTTAAATCTCAATTATTAGGTCCAGAGTAGTTTCCTCTCTTTTTTAAACAGGATCCATTCACCAACTTATATCCTTCTCTACAAGAATCACATGAACGAGGATCCATAGCTCTTGTACATGTATTGCAGGATTGGTGGCAGCCTCTGGAGTTATTATTAGAGCTCTTTTAACAATAGAAATTGTTATAAGTATAACCAGAGACACAGCTCAAACACCTATTATCATAGTATTCGCAAGTTGCACATGGAGAAGAGCAGGGTTAACACTTTTCATCACGATCAACATACTATCCAGGTTAGCAAGAAATTGAGCAGCTCTATCTTTAATTATCATACTCATATCCAGATATACAGCTAAGACAACTATTAGCATAATATTAGCAACTTTAGCAAGGGTGTTCACATGATTTGCATTAGTTATCATAAACATCTAAAAACTAATCTGCTCTACATGTAGGAATACATTTACCTTAAATTTTGTCTAAACTAAAACCTTATTAGCATGAAGTACAATAATCTGAATACCTGTCACACGTTAAACAAGAATTATCACATTGAAGACATTAACTTCTGTTATTTAAATAATGACCATCTTTGCATGATAAGCAGGCAGAATCATTATTAGGTGAGCTACAATTCTTACATGAAGGATGACATTGTTATTTCTTTTATCTTCTTATACATTTTTAAGTTGCTTTATCTAGAGTGTATCCTCTGGCACATTCAATACAATTATCTTAATTGTTTACACATTTAGTGCAAGATTCACTACATTATAAGCATCTCCCTTATTAATTCATGAAAAATCCATCTTAACAGCTAGAGGGTAAGCAAGTATATCTTGAAAGAACAAAGCCAGATTTACAACTGTTACATCTTGTGGATGTTTAAATGCAAGTAGCACATGATGAATCACAAAGCTAGCAATTATTATTAGCATCTAAGTATTACCCATCTTTACATGTAGGATAATCGTATTCGCAAGAAAATGTTTAAGAGTTGAATTTGTAGCCAGAAATACAACTTGTACATCTGTTAGGATAGAAGAAACAAGATGAACATGGTGAGTAGCATTTTTAACATTTATTATATCTGTCCAAGTATTCGTCACTTTTACAAACAGGTGTGCTGTCAACACAAACACCGGTCATAGGATCTTTTGAGAAACCAGTTTCACAAGAAGTGCAATTTGTTGAAATTCCAGAGCAGGTCAGACAAGAGCTATGGCATTTGATGCATTCGTTATTTTACAGGAACTCATTCTTTTTACAAGAAGTGCAAACGTTAGCATCTCCTTCACAAGATTAGCATTTATCACTACAGGATAAACATCTTCCAGACTACAGATACTTTCCTTTACTACATAGTGTGCAAGAATTAGGATCATCATATCTATTACATTAAGCACAACTTTCATGACAAGCGTTTCTTGTAACCTAACAAGATTTATACTAAGGATTGTATGTATAACCAGCTAAGCAACTAGTACAGTGTTCTTAATAATATTTGCAAGTAGCGCAAGGAGACTTGCACTTTTAGCAGTTACCAGTTCTATCTTCAAATTCATCAGTCCTGCACTTTGGAATGCAAGTTTAATTATTTGAGTCAAATTTGTATCCATCAGCACAATAATGACATTTTTTAGGGTCATCTTTGCATCCATAGCAACTTTTATCACATTTAACACATAGTTTATTTTACATTATGTAATTGAAAGCACACCTTTTGCAAGCTGTAGGATCATCACGAACTGTACATGTATCACAACTTTTATGGCAATTCATAATACATCTTTAATAATATGCATCGTATTCCCACCCATCACTACATTTTATACATTTATTCTCTCTTTCAGAGCATGTAGCGCAAGATTCATCACATTTTTAGCATCTACCATAGTCATTGAGGAAAAAGCCATCCCTACAAGATGTACATTTTGTTGGGTCTCTATAAGCTGAGCACTCAAGACAAGAGCTATCACATGTATAAATTGAAACACATTTTCCGCTAAACTTATCCATTTCGTATCCTTCTCCACAAGAAGTGCACTCTGAAGCTGAGTTATAACAATTTTCACAAGGATGTTAACATGGTTAGCAAGTTTTTCTAGAGTCCAAATAATAACCAGCAGAGCAAGAAGTGCACTGATTTGAATAAGGACCAGAGCATTATTGGCAACTAGGGTGGCAAGTAAGATCAACGCATTAGTTTCTTTAAAGAGAATATCCTTCCTTGCAAGAAAGACATTCATTAGGAGAAGGGCCATAGCAGGAAGAGCAGTTAGATGAACATAGAGTGCAATTACCAGTGGATTTATCTCCATATTATTTGTAAGGACAAGTCGATTTGCAAGTATTGTCAAAGTTTTTGAATTATCCAGAAGGGCAATTATATACACAGCGAGCACCATCCCAAACTTAGCCTTCACCACATCTTTTAGAGCAATCAATACCAGCATATCCTTTGAGACACATGCAGTAGCCATTATTACAGACACCGTTATTAGAGCAATTATTAGGACACGATTTAGGGAAATTGCAAAATAAATCAAAATCATGTGGACATCTCATAGTACCTTATGTAGTTTTAGTTTAATCTGCTAAATTAATGACTTAATTTGGATATTAGCAAGTAACATACTCATCTCCCCAAATATTAACTTTAATCGAGGATAAATCATCTGCACATTAAGCCTTAAAGCATCTACCATTCATATCTAAAACGTCAAGTCCTTTGATGTTTGCATTTGATCTAAAGCATCTTGATCCTTCCCCTGTATTTTATCTCAATTTTTCATTAGGTTTAAATGAATCTGATTAGCAGCGAGAGTTTGAATAGGAAGAGATTGTTTTGCACTAAGAGAAGTAATCATAATTTTAGAGCTAACCGATACCTTAAGAAAAGAAATCGCACGATTCCTTTTCACTATCATCTGGGAATTCAGGGAAATATTTTCCAGTATTGCAGGAGTTATTGAAAAAATCACATCCTTTATTCTTACCCCAATAAATAGGCATGAGTAGATTAGTATTGATTTCAGCATAAAAACCTGTATCTAAAAGTAGCGCAGCAGTGAATTCTGAAATAGTATATGTATTATAAACAATACTAGCTGTCATAAATTCATTATTAACTAAATCTCTTTCCCAGTGAGAACCCTTAGAACCAGATCCACCTTAGTTTTCAAGATACATACCATCAATAGAAGGACAGTTATAATAGTTTCTAGCAGTTTTCAATAAATTTTTGGTAAATATCTTAGTTACATTATCTGTTTACCATCTTCTTTCTATTTTGTGCATCTTGAATTTGTTTTACCATCCATAAGGGCTGCCTGTGTCAGGATCAATCCAGCAATGGAACCCACCTTATGAGAAACCTAAAATATGGAGAATTTCATGCAAAGCCGTAGAGAAGTTATTCTAGAAAGATTAAGTAGAGGATTCATTAATGTCCATTGTACCAATATTGAACTTGACTCTTCCAATATTAGGCTATGGATCTAATGAGCACCAAACTAATTAAATAGTTAAAAATATTTACAAACATGATAATTAAAAAAAATTAAATTTTTTTACTTGCATTAGCTAATTAAGTGATATTTTTTTAATTTTAGTAGGTGACGATGATATGCAAGTCAGAGTTATCAATACCAACTGTTTTTATTTAGTTATTCAATTTAACATCGTAGCATTTATCACTATTCCAAGCATGTTTGTTAGGCTTTTATCTAGGATATACTTTAATGAGTTTATTCAAATATGTTTGAGCAGCATACATAATTTTTTATATGTATTCTTTTATATTTGGCGTTACTCCATCTCCATTCTAAGGATTATCAAGTTCTTCGAAATCTAGTGTAATTCTAATAGGCTAAGGTTCTAAATTCTATAGTTTTCTGTGTCCATATTTTTCTTCAAAAGTTTCAAAGTAGTCCTTAGGAAGTATTTCATCAATGTCAATTTCGTCATCCAAATAAGTGTTCACAGGCAATTAGTCCTCTTATTGAGTATTTACTAATGAAATTGTTAGTAAAATTAGAATCGTAATTTTATTCATATTCAAAGCTTCTTTTTTAGGTATTTTACTTTTTATTTTAATTTAAAAATTATCTAAAAAACCATACTTATGTCTTGCTTTTATATGTAACTATGCATAGCTTATTGATGAAAAAGAGGGAAATTTTATTTAAGAATTTATAGTAGCACAAACAATTATTTACTGGTTGATTCATTTATTTTAATTTACTATTACAAAATCGATACTTAATTAATATAGATAGAACTATTATTTTAATCTAAAAATAGAAAAAAAATGAAAACTTAATAAAAAGTTGGTTGGATTTCTATATATCATGCTAAAATACTAAAAAATATTTTATTAAAAAGTAAAGAAAATAAATAACAAACCTATTTTTATAAGTATTAAAAGATTTTCTTAGGGTAGCTTTCAAATAAAATATAAATCAAACATATTTACTGGATTTAAAAAAGAAGATAAAAGATCTAAATTAAAAAAATTACTTACTAAAATTTCTGTAGTAAGATTAAGTAATACAAATATAGTCTTTAAAGATTAATAATTTAATCTAATGAATGAATAAATTATAAATAGATAGATATATAATTAGAAATTATTTATTATTTAAATTTTTTTTAATATTTTTAAAAGATATTTGTCTTTTACTCTTTAAAAATCCAAAATACTTTTTTAAACAACTAGTTATAAGTAACTAAAATAAATATTCTATGAAATATACCATAAATACTAATAATCTTGCCATCTTCTCATAAATTTAAAATTCTAGTGAATAGAGTAAAGACATCAAACTTTTAGTAATTTAGAATATTACCAAGGTACTACAAGTATAAGGAATACAAGTAAATACAGAAAATTAAAATTCAAATTAAAATATTAATTATTCTTTGATTAAAAAGTACATGAACTCAAATAAGTCAGTAAATAATAAATAATTCTGTTTAAATATGTTATCCGCTTTAACAAAAAAATTAATTTAGATACCTTTTAAATACACTAATCTACTTTTTTAGTCTAAAAATAATTGAAAGTTATTTACCTAAGTCATAATAAAAAAATGTTTATTTATAAATCTTGGTGAAAAAAATATTTTTTGAGAAAATAATTATCTTATTATTACAAGCTTATTAGTAAATAAGAGTTTTCAAAAATAAGTATAATAGATAGACTTAGTGAATTCATTTCAAGAATTAAAAACTCTCAATTATAAATGAATTTAATGTTTATTTTTAGTTAATAGAACTATTATTGACTTTATTTTATAGATCAATGTAAACTAAATATTTAGATAGATTATTGACACAATCAAAATGTATTTATCTAATTATCTTACCTATTTTAATAAATAGATTTTTTTTTTGATATTTATAGAAAATAATATGTTTGCATTCAAAAATTAATAAACTACATATTAATAGGTGTCTGTCTTATGCTCTATAAATATTTTGTTATGTTAAGTTGTTTTTTAATGCATGGAAAACTTTTAATTATTTCATATTAATTTTAGAATCAATAAAATTTTAAAATAAATATTTAAATTATTTTAAATATCTAGCAAAAAGAATTTTGATGATTTTAATTAACCTTTAAAAATAAAAAACGAATTAACTACTTGTTTTAAAAAATTTATAGTTTAAATTATAATTATTGCTAATTCTAGAAATAAAATTATTTGAATTTAAAAAGAAAATAAAAAATTTCATAAGAGATTTATAAAGTGATTATAATAAATTCAAAGTTAAATTAATATGATTTATTGAAAAATAATATTTAAACAGTTAAGTATATTCATCTAAAAAAGTATTTAAAAGTACTAAAATTATAAATATACTTTTTTTTTTAACAACAAACATACTTAGTTTTTTCATATTTGAAAATTACTTTCTGTATTTTGAGTGAAAATACCATTTATTAACATTTACTAAATTTCAGATAAACTCTTAATAATTGAAGGAATGTTTAAGAAAGAATTTACGGTATTATTTTATGTTATTAAACAAAAATAAATTAACAGATATTTGAAAGTAAATAAATTGTTGATTTTTTTATAAATTGATTTTGCTGAAATTTTCTTTAATTTTGTTTTTAAATTTTAGCATAAGAAAATATTAATTGATTAATATGAAATTTGATATTTTTTAGATAAATTATAAAGATATTTGAAATATCTTAAAATATTAATATTTTTTCTGTAATATAATCTATTGTAATTCTCAAGATAGCAATTTGATGATTAAATGTTAAATTTGTAAATATTTTTAAATAAGCTAACATAAATTATATTTACTGCGCATATTTATTTTGATTATTTTATTTATAAGTATGATTGAATGCATAAAGATATTTTTCATAGAAAGAAAACATAAATGTTAAATTATTTATTTATTTGCTTTCTTTTAAATAAATCAGATATCATAGGCTTTAACAACTATTCTTTTTAACTTAAGAAATTTATTTCTTAATTCTCTTGATGATGCTTATTTCACTTTATTTTTACTTTATAAAAAAAATTAGTCATTATGAAATAAAATGAATTAAATAAAAAATAAAATATTAGTTTATATTATTTCTTTCTTTCTTTCTTTCTTTATTTATTTATTTATTTATTTATTTATTTTTATATTAGTTTTCTATTATGAATAAAAGAATCAATTGTAAATAAATAAAGACTATACCTCAAGAAAAGACTTAATTCTGAAAGATTAAAGCAATTTGCTAATGAAGAATGTAAACTTAAAATTCCCTTGTCACTAATTTCATTATTACTATTAAATAAAATAAAATAATTATTAATTTTCTAAATAAAAATATTAATTAAAAAAATGTAAGTTAAGAGATAAAACATCAATTTAAAATTAAAAAATAAATGAGCAACAAAATATAAAGCAAATGTGTGAATAATTAATTAAGTATTTAATTTAGATTATCATTTTTGTAAAGAGTTGAAAAATAAGAAAAACCAAAAAGCATTTTTTTACAGAAGGTAAAGACGCAAGCTATGGAGTTTAATACATTTTACAAAAGCAAAACCTAATTCAGAAATACCCTCATCATCGATTTCATTTATACTTTAACATTTAAAAATCAATAATACAAATAAAAGGTAAAATATTAAAAAGAGATAGTTAATAAGAAATGTATAAGTTGATTAAATAGATTATAAATTTAAATATATATTTCTTATTTTTATTAAATGAGTGAGTTATTAGGATTTTTGCTTCTAATAATTTTTAATAAATTTAAAATAGTTAAATATTTCATTTTAAGAAGAAATAAAATCGCTTAAAGCCACTTATAAAATGAAATCAAACACTAGCAAAAAAAGCAAAATTATTTTGTTTGCATAATTTATGCATAAATTTATAATCAATACAACAAAAATCTAAAGCAAATAAAAATTTTTACTCAAGGTTAAGCAATAAAACTGTTAGATTTGAGCATTTTGACAAGCCAGAAGCTAAACCGATTGCACCATTAGTCAGAATTTGATTTTTTCTTAAATTTTATAAAAAAAAAGAGTTTATTAGAAAAAAGCAAAAAAATAAATTTAAGAGTAAGATATGTAATAAAATAAGGTCTTATACAGTAAACATGAGTGAAATATAAAAATAATTATTAATAAAATTAGGTTAAATTCAAAAAACAAATAAAAACAATTTTTACATAGCATTCAGACTTAAATTCGAGAGATTAGTGCAATTAGCTAAAGATAAACTTAAGTCAGATATTCCCTAATCACCAATTTTATTGTTACTATAAGTAAATATAAATTAAAAATATCAATAATTAGAATTGCTAAAATAAAAAGAAAAAAAATTGACACATTATGTATCATTATAGAACCATAATCTTAAGTTTAAATTAATAAAGTAATAAGTAAAAGCAAAAAATGAAATATAAATTTAAAATAATTAAACTTTTTTAATGTTTTCTTTAATTCATTTAAATAAATAGAAGATTTATAAATAAATAAACATACAAACAAACAAACTGCTTTACTCAAGGCAAATTCTCAAAGTTGAAAGATTGTTGCATTATGCTAATCCAGAACATAATTATTTTGCACCCTCACTTTAAATAAAGTTGTTGCTTTTAAATTTAAAAATAAATATTTTGAATTATATTTTTGAAAAATAAGAAGTTAAAAAATATTAAATAAGCAATAAACTAAACATATTTTATTTTGCTTTTATCCAAATTAATCTTCATCAACTACAAAAATAAAATAATCTATATTTTTTTACTAAAGATTAAGATCCAGTTTAGTTATTTTAGAGCAGTTTTTTAAACTAAAGCCTAGGCTTTATGCACCCTCAGCTCCGATTTTATTTGCACTTAATATTTTAAAATATAAATTTAGTAATAATTTATATAATATTACAAAATAAAAATTAAAAAAGATGGGAAAGTGGAGAAGAGAGGAGGCAAAAAGTAAGGTTAAAATATTACCTTTAAATTTTCTATTTAAATAAAATTTATTTAATTTCAAATTTAAAATACTGGGTAATAGGTTTAAACCCCTCCTCAAATTATTAAGTAAAAAATCAGATGTAATTAAATTAAGGAATTTGCTTGCTATCTTAAATTAATTTTTAGAAATTGAAATATTAATCTCAAAAGCTTATAAATTATTGTTACAAGAGATCTAGGTTTAATTGTTAAAGATTAGTGCATTTAGCAATAAAAATACCTAATTCTGATGCACCCTTAGCACTAATTAGATTACTCCTTTAAAAAAAATAAAATAAATTATTTTCTTTCATCTTAATAAAAGATTTTCAATTTTATGATCATTTTTTAATTAAAATAAAAATTAAATAAAAAATTAAGAAGTGATTTTTACTTAAGTTCTAGTTTTAAATTTGAAAGTTGATTACAGGCTACTAAAGAAGAACACAAGCTTGCTATACCTTCATTGCCAACATAATTGTCTCTTATAATATTTTTATTGTTAAAAATAAAATTCAATAGAACTATTTTTCTTTAAAATAAAATAAATAATTAAAAAAATAAAAAGCTTTTACTTTAAGCTAATAATCAAATCTTAAAGCTTAGAACAATTTGCTATGGAATTTCCTATGGTTGATGCACCTTAAGAACCAAATTTATTATTACTTTTTTTTTAATTTTATAAATTATAATTTGATAAGTATTTAGAAAATACTTAATAAAAAATTAAATCTAACATTTAATTTTAAAAGAGAAAAAATTTTTAATATAAGGAATCTAACACAAATCAATAAAAAAATAGTATATTTTATTATATTTTTATTCAATAATGATAAAAAAAACAGTTTTTACTCAAGTAATAGTTCCAATTTCAAAAGATTAATGCATTTAGCTAAAGACGAGCTTAATTAAATAGCTTCTTTTACCTGAAAACTTGAATAACTATTTAAAAATAAAAATATAATTATATAAAATTTTGAATAATTAATTATCAAACTAAAATATCTTTTTATATATACTTGAAATCAACACTTAGATTAATATGATTTTAAAGAGAAGAGCCTGCAAACTTTTATTGTTAAAAAATAAATTAATTAATAAATAATATAAGTAAATAATAAACTACAGTTGCCAAATTATCAAAGAATTAAATCTATTACATCATTTTTTTCTTAGAAAATCAAATTAAAAATCTAACAAAAAATTAGCTAATTATTATTAAAACTTAAGTACAAAATTATATTTAAAATGGAAGGATTTTAATTAATAAAGAGGTTATGAGATCAAATAATTTTTTTAATTAAGAGAGATTGTTTTTTAAATATTAATTAATAACTTTGTAAATAGCTAGTTTTAACTTAAAAAAATATATTACAGCTTATTTTAAATGTATATATTATAAACGAACTCCTGATAATTAGAATTAATAAATTGGATTATATTTTTTTCTTCTTGATCCAAATATTTCCTTTTGTTTTCAATATCTATCTTTACAATTTTTATATTTAAAATTTGAAAATATTGAAATTATAGAGATGTAGGTGCCTAATTATGATATCTTTTTTCACATATATTTATCATCTAGACCTAATTTTTGAGCTTTTTCAAATAACTGATTTAATTAAAAAAAATTGAAATATCTTTAATTTTAATTTTAAGTTGAATGCTTTTCTTTATTGCTTTAATTAAAAATATTCTACTTAATAATAATTTTATTTTATTCAAATTTGAGCTATTAAATTCTAAATATTATTGCAATTTGTTATTTTAAAAATACTTGATCACTGGTAATTAATGAACATGATTTTTTTATTCCTAAAAATAAACTTTTCTTTTTAATTTATAATAAAATTATAAATACTTGGGTACGCATATTTAATGAGGATTTGAATTTAACGAGAATTTTTATTTAAGGAGGAAAAATTTTGAAATAATTATTTTCCTTATATCCTTAAATATGAGTATATTTTTAAATTTATATTTGTTATTTTTATAAATAATTATATTTATTTTAACTTTTATTTATTTAATTTATAATATTTTAATTTCTTAGAAAGTACATTTTATATAAATATTGATGAAAATTAATGTTAAATATATTTAACTTTTAATAATTTTTATATTTAATTATTAGATAGATATATGCTATATGTGAAGTATATTAAAATTATTCTACGCGCATTCATGCAGCAATACGACAAAATAATAAACAAAATATGTCTTAGCTAGTGCTACGAAAATGAAATTGTTCATTTAAGTATATTAAATTAATAACAAACTTTATGGCTTTTAGCTATACAACTATAATTTTAATGCATATTCAAGTTTTAAGTATTATATTTGTATAAAAAATGTTGAGGTTTAAATATATTCACTCATCTATAATCCAATTTTAATATAGATTAGAGCTCCAATATGAAATATGATTAAGAAAATAATATTTATTTGCTTGTATTTTAGGAAGCATTTTTAAAAAAATATTATTCAAAGAGAAAAAATCCTACAAATAGCAAATAGGTTGTTTTAGATAAGGTTTATTATGAAATTTATTAAAAAAAATTCAAATAATTGGTTGACTACTTTAAACTGCTTGTTGGCTGTTTTTGCGAAAGAAAAAAATATCTTGCAAAAGATATTAGTATATTGATATATCAGTCAAAACTTTTTCCTTAGAAATTAATTAATTAACATAGATAGATATTTTTGTATGAAAATAAAAGTGCTTTTCAATTAATTATTATTCATTCATTCACATAATTCTTCAATTTTAGCCTGAAATTTTGTTCCACCAAAGTAATCAAAAAAAATAAAGAGCAGAAAGAAACTAATCTAAGTATGCACATGTTTAGTGAATAAATTTCTACCACTGTTTGTCATCTAGCCTAATTTAACATCCATGGCAGCTAAAATAGTGTAAAGCGATTAGGATTTAGCTCATCAAGGTTTTAATAACTATATTTGAGTTTCTTTGAAGTATTAATATTCATTAGAATTAAATACTAAATTTCTTATTACTATTTTATTTTAAATAATTATGAAAATTAAAATTTTTAAACCTATTTACTTTTTTAATTTTAATTTATGTTACACTTACCAATTAAATAAAATAAAATAAATTTATTTTATCATCAAATACAGTTCATTCTTTTTATTATAAAAATAACTATTATTTTGTATTTTAAAATTAAGTATATTTCAATACAATAATTCAATATATAATTTTATTTTTATAAAATAAAAATAATATTAATTTTTAATTTGTACGCGAATATTTAACGATATAATTGAATAGATGTTAGTATATTTGAAAACTAATTAAAACTTCTTCTTGATAAGGCTTTTTTTTATCGGCTAAATTAATCAAATTTCTTTGAATTAATCACTATAAATAGTGATACTCAAAATCACTTTTGCATAATAGTTTTCACATCAATATAAAAACACCTGTTTTTAGTAAAAAAGCAAACCTCTCTGCCTACTCTTAGTAAGTTAGTAACCCAGCCAACCCCTCCCCCCCCAATCGCATAGCGTTAATCAATAGCAAAAATGTCCAAAGCATTATAAAGCTAATTAGTCAAAACAATTTCAGAAAAAATCTCCAAGGATTGCCTGATTCAAAAGGCCAGTTTGAAAGAAATAATCAAATTGATGTTCAGCCAGAAAAAATAATTCTCAAATTTTGAGTACTTAAGCAGTGGTGCTTACGCTCTCGTCTTAAGAGCTTAGAACACTAAGGAAAATCGAATTGTTGCCCTTAAATTCCTAACATGTACGAACAAAGAGGACAAAAATGGCATCGAATCTATGAAAAAAGAATATGAAATGCTTCAGAAGTTCAGCTAATCTGATTTTTTGGTAAATGTTTTTGATTGCTTCTATTTAATGGAAGAAGATGTAGAAGAGGATGAAGATGGTAATGAAAAAGTCGTCTTGACAGATGAGAAGTCCTATTTTGTGATGGAAATGGAGCTTTGCTAGCGTATTCATCATTTTTATTTTTCATCCATTTTTTTTTTCGCTTCCCCAATTTTTAAAAAATTATGAAGAAGCTCATAGAATATGATTCTATTTTATTTTTTATCGCCTTTATGATAATTGAATTTCCTCCATTTTAAAAATATCAATTTCATAATTTTTCTAAGTCTTTTTGGATTTGATTAAATTTGAAGAAAAGTAGATTTGCGTTAAGCAGATTTAATTAATTTATAAAATATAATAGAATTTTTTATTTTATAAAATTTAATTACTTTTAATTTTTAATTCCCCACTGTTAAGGATTTTTTAATTAAATTTTCATTGAATTTTAGGAGGTTTCTTAATTAAATCTTCTAGAAGATTAATTAATAAAAATTTTATAATATTTTTCACCAATATAAAAATCACAATATTTCATGAATAAAATTTACATAAATTAAATTAAACAAATGTTTCATTAAAAAATATTTAAATTAAATTATTAATTAAAAAATAAATTTAAATATCAAATAAAAATTAATTAATCAAAATTAAATTTTTATTTAATATTTTAATTTGATAAATAATAAAAAAAATTCAACAAAACTAGCTTAAATTATATAATTAAATCTAATATTTTTGATAATTAATTTTAATTAGTATAGATTTTTTCATTAAAACCAGTTTTTAATTTTAAATATCAAATATTTTTGAACATTTTTCTTTTATTTCTTAAATAATGTAAATTTGTATTTTATGAATAGAAAATCTAAAACAGCTCTTCGATTTTTTAAGGAATGCATAGCTACCCTCTAAAGAAATAAAGGAAATAATAGCTATTCAAATGTTAGAAGGGTTGAATAACCTTCACGTCAAAAATATCATGCACAGAGACATCAAACCTCACAATTTCTTAGTTTGCCCTTCTCAAACTTATGGATTTACCATCAAGCTCTGTAAAAAATTTTAATTTTTGCAAAAGTTATCAATTTAAAAAATTATTTAAAATCAAGGTGATTTAGGATTTGCATCTGCAGTAACGAAATCGAAAAGTCACTACATATCAAAGGTTAAAATCAAAATTTTATTTAAAAATAATCTTACATTATTTTAATTTATAGAAAGGAACTGAAGCTTACTTCGCTCCTGAGATAGAAAAAGGATAATCTAGAATTCAGGTTTTTAAACAAAAATAATCTTTAAATTTTTAATTTAATTTTAATGTTTAAAAGTCGGACCTCTTTTCTCTAGGATTAGTTTTACTTGAGCTCGATAATCTAAAAGTGCTAAATGAAAATTGGATTGACTCTTTTACAAAAGAAGAGATTTACTAAGGAAAAGCAATAGCTTCAAAGTATTAGATTGATAGAAATTCTAATATTTTTTAAATAGCGAAGATTTGCTTAAAACCAAATTATTTGGAAAGGACATCTTCAGGAGATCTACTTTCTGAGCTTATTAAGCTTCATGGAAAACCACTGAAATTCACACTCACCTCTATGATATTAGAAGTAATAAATGCATTTACCAATTTTTATCTGGATATTCTAATTAATCATTTAATTTAATTTAAGACTTTACTTTTTGATAATAAAATCCAATTTAATAAAAATATTTATCTTAAAATAAAAAATTTAAAAAGCAAAAAATTATTATAAAAAAATTTGAAAAAAAACTTTATTTCTTACAATCAAAAAATCCCTGAAAAAGAAAAGTAAAACCAAACAAATAGAAATGGTAAATAAAAACAAGAGTAGGAGGGGTAGCACCAATTATAGTGGGTAAATACATTATAAATAATGCTATTAACACACTATTCTACCCTAATTCTAAATTTAAAAAGTAAAATCCTCCCCCCCCTTTATTTTTCATGTAAAAAAATATTTGTTTCATGAAACATAACTTTAATCATGTTATTAATTATGATTAATTAAAATATAATATAAACTAAATCTACATCTCAAATTTATCTTAATAATCAAAATATTAACATTTTGATTTTTAATTAAAAGGAATATTTTATTTTATGTTTCTAGATTTTTATTTTTAATTTTAAAATTGATGGATTCTGTACTAATTTATTTCTTTTATTTAGCTAAAAAAATTAGTAAAAATACACTAAAAACACTCTTTTTTTTTGCACTTACTAAAAAATTAAATTACTTCTTATAAACAATTCATATTAACTATGACTTTTTTAATGATAGGAACAAATTCCATAGTAAGCATAATAAATATTCAATAGAATGAATGAGCTTCAAAAAAATGTAAAAAAAAAATAATATTTCTATTTTAAATTCTTTCCAAATTATTAATTTTAAGTTTTTGATAACAATATTTTTACAAAGCAAACTTAATTTGAGGAGTATGCACAGATATTGCTTGACAATACAGATTCAAAAATAAAGAATAAAGATACTAATCAACAATTTACAAAAGTAGAAATACTATCCAAACTATTAAAAAGTCTATATGAAGATAAGAAGTATGTGAATAATTTCCAAATTCTTAGCTTTGGAAGCTTTGGTATGGTATTATCCACAAAAAAAGTTGAGTTGAGCAACAAGGAAATAGTACTAAAAATACAAAAGATTGTAAATGAACAAACAATTTAAAATGAAATTAGAATAATGTAGCAGTTAAAAACTCCATTAGTAGTCTAGTTATATGACAATTATGTCATAGAAAAAGTTACAGCACCTGAAAAATATGTAGTATTTGAATTAGAAAAGTGTTCATGTAAATTTATATTTTAATTATAACATTGCAAATATTTTAATTTTTTATTCAATTAAATCTAAATTTTAAATTTACTACTTAAATTATTAAGGTAGTAAATTAGGCTATAGCCAGTAATAAGCTATACATTTATTATTGAGGTTATAATGTATAATCATTTTATCCTATCATTTATTGTAAAAAGGTTCACTTTAGGATTATCTTGAAAGATAAGCAAAAGAAGGAGAATTTAGTGATGAAGAAAAATTGAATATTGCACTCCAAATAATTGACTCTGTCAATTATATTCATTGTTTCAATATTATTCATAGAGATATTAAACCTGACAATTTTTTGGTTTGTTTGGATGGAAATTAACTTTAAATCAAACTATGTAATTAATCTGTTAATTTTTAATTTTTAAAAATAATTTAATCATTTTGAAATTAGGCGATTTTGGATTATCAGCTTAACTTGAAAAAAATTGTGAATAGATTGAAATTTTAGATGTAAATTATTTAGTTACTATGAAAATAGCAAAAAATTTTAATATATTTTTAGTGGGTAGGAAATATAGGGTACATGGCACCTGAAATTTTAACTAAAAAAGAACATGAAAATAAGATATACTCTAAAAAAGTAATTATTTTTATTACAATTTATAAATAAATATAATAAATTTTTATTTTCAGTCTGATTCTTACTCAGTTGGTTTATTGTTATCTTTGCTTGACAATTACTTAATTTTGAAAGAAAAAGAAGGATATACTTTCATGACTATGACTTTAAAATAATATGATGAGCCATTCAAAAAATAAAAAATAAATATTAAGCGAGACACTGAAATATTTAAATTTATTAAACTATTAGTTGTATGGGAAAGAGTCAACAGAGCTTCTCTTTCTATTATTGTTGGATAAAATTCAAAAAATTTCAAATCAAACTAAAATGAGATGAAATAAATTTTATCATAGCATTATTTAGGTCCTATATAAAATTTTGAGACTTAAAACATCGGATATGCTGATCCTTTACTTTCTTAAAATTAGATTCCAATTTAAGATATCAAGTAGATTAAGATATAGAGTATGAGTGATTTGTATAAAATTACAGAATTTCATATTGTCGAAATAGATTTAAGGTAATTATATTAAAATTAATTTAAATTGAAATAATATATCCAAAAATTATCTCTTATGAATTCAAATAAATGATTTAATTAACAATTTATACTTTATAGAAATAATGAATGATTTAATATTTAATCATTTGTGAAAGGATTTTTTCTTTCTATAAAAAGTTAAAAGCGTTTTAAATTAAAGATAAAATTATTATCTATTATTAAAATTTATAATAAACAAATAAATAAATTTTATTATTTAGTATATTAAAAAGTATTTTTGGGTGGTAAGTAAAATTTGCAAATGCAAAAAATCGTAAAAACATAAAAATCAAAACAACACAACTAAAATACTAACGAAAGCCATCGTTTTTTTACCATCCTTTCTCCTCCATATTTATTTATTTAATTCGTTATTTATTCTTATATTTAAAGTTGGAATAATATTGGTGATGACGGTGCTAAAGATTTAGGCACAGGAATAGCCTAGTGCAAGAATATCACAACTTTGACGCTATATTTATTGTAAAAATTGAATTTATTGATTGATAAACTAATAATTGAGAATGGATTATTTTAAGCTTTTGACATAGTTATTAGCTAATTAAGCCAGCTTGCTTGTCATTTACTAACTTGCTTATTTACTTATTTACTTAAAAACAAATAAAATATAACGAATTTCTTTACTTACTCATCACAACACAACTAAAATACTAACGAAAGCCATAGTTTTTTTACCATCCTTTCTCCTCCATATTTATTTATTTAATTCGTTATTTATTCTTATATTTAAAGATAGAATAATATTGGTGATGACGGTGCTAAAGATTTAGGCACAGGAATAGCCTAGTGCAAGAATATCACAACTTTGAATCTTTACTTAAAGTAAAAATTGAATTTATTGATTGATAAACTAATAATTGAGAATGGATTATTTTAAGCTTTTGACATAGTTATTAGCTAATTAAGCCAGCTTGCTTGTCATTTACTAACTTGCTTATTTACTTATTTACTTAAAAACAAATAAAATATAACGAATTTCTTTACTTACTCATCACAACACAACTAAAATACTAACGAAAGCCATAGTTTTTTTACCATCCTTTCTCCTCCATATTTATTTATTTAATTCGTTATTTATTGTTATATTTAAAGTTCGAATAATATTGGTGCATAGGGTGCTAAAGATTTAGGCACAGGAATAGCCTAGTGCAAGAATATCACAACTTTGAATCTTTACTTAAAGTAAAAATTGAATTTATTGATTGATAAACTAATAATTGAGAATGGATTATTTTAAGCTTTTGACATAGTTATTAGCTAATTAAGCCAGCTTGCTTGTCATTTACTAACTTGCTTATTTACTTATTTACTTAAAAACAAATAAAATATAACGAATTTCTTTACTTACTCATCACAACACAACTAAAATACTAACGAAAGCCATAGTTTTTTTACCATCCTTTCTCCTCCATATTTATTTATTTAATTCGTTATTTATTGTTATATTTAAAGTTCGAATAATATTGGTGCATAGG